ACGATTCTTTAAAATTCTGTGATAAATATCGCTATTTCACCATTTCTAATTAAATTTCTTTCACCTGTAAATGTCTGGCTAATTGCACACTGTTAAAAGTCCTTTCTCCAATCCAATAACATTTTCAAAAAGAAATGAGAGGGGAAAAAATTAATTCTACTAGGATACTTTTTTAATATGTTTATACATTTTGAGTCATAATTGCTCAGAAAACTTTAGTTTGCATATAACAAATTCAGTTGTAATTCATAAGAGTTCTGTAAAATCTCTTCAAACAATATTAAAATATGTTTATATATTTTGAGTCATAATAACTCAGAAAACTTTAGTTTGCATATGAAAAGTCAGTTGTAATTCATAAGAGTTCCGTAACATCTCTTCAAACAATATTAATGCATTAATATAGCGCTTAGAGACTTCGGTGGTAAGCACTTTATAAGCACCGTCTTTATTATTATTATTATTATTATTATTATTATTATTATTATTATTATTATTATTATTATTATTATTATTATTATTATTATTATTATTATTATTATTATTATTATTATTATTATTATTATTATTATTATTATTATTATTATTATTATTATTATTATTATTATTATTATTATTATTATTATTATTATTATTATTATTATTATTATTATTATTATTATTATTATTATTATTATTATTATTATTATTATTATTATTATTATTATTATTATTATTATTATTATTATTATTATTATTATTATTATTATTATTATTATTATTATTATTATTATTATTATTATTATTATTATTATTATTATTATTATTATTATTATTATTATTATTATTATTATTATTATTATTATTATTATTATTATTATTATTATTATTATTATTATTATTATTATTATTATTATTATTATTATTATTATTATTATTATTATTATTATTATTATTATTATTATTATTATTATTATTATTATTATTATTATTATTATTATTATTATTATTATTATTATTATTATTATTATTATTATTATTATTATTATTATTATTATTATTATTATTATTATTATTATTATTATTATTATTATTATTATTATTATTATTATTATTATTATTATTATTATTATTATTATTATTATTATTATTATTATTATTATTATTAGGTGGTCTGTTGAAAACAGATCACCTATTGTTTTCGTCAGAATTTTCTTTCTTCTTTATTATTATTTATTTATTCTTTATTTTTATTTCTCCCCTTTTTTTGTTCAGAGGATAACTGAAGATCAGTTTAATCAATTTCTTTTAATTTTAGCACAGTTATAGGTCATTGTCATGAGACGTGACAGGAACATTTTCAAGGTCATTAGGTTATCGTGACGTCATCCAGACGCCATTTTGTGAAATCACGTTATCCATCATATCTTCATGATGCATAAGCAAAGGTCATTCATATTTATATCACATATACTTCAGGTCAAGGGTCAACAGGTCATGTCATCAAAGGTCACATAAAGGTCATGACGCGCGCGTACGCGTGCGTCAAAATTTTAAAATGCTCAAAATCACCTAACTATTAAACGAGAGTACGAATCAGGCCATTTTAAGCTTTTCAAAATTTTCCGTCCGTACGTGTCCCCGCGCGCGTTGCGCGCGCTCACAACGCGCGGAAAAAGGTCAAATTCAAAATGTTTACATGATTTAGATTCCTCTTACCGTAAATGACAATTTACATTAATTTCAGTCACCCTTGACCTTTCATAAGGCCGTGAGCGCGCGTCAAAGTTCAAAATCCGCGCGTGCTGCTATGGGCAATATAATGCAAATTTGATCAAAAACATGCCATTTTAAAAATCAAAATAGCTCTTCAGATAGTCCAATGACCCCAACTTTTATATCATGGTTAGAAAAAACATGAGTTGGAGATATGATTTCATGTCTCATTTGACCCTCAATTAATTCATGACGTCATCCTAATGGCCTCCCAACTCAAAATTTCAATTTGCATATTATGACGTCAGCAGATTTCTGGAAAATTGATTGTATCTCTGTAAATATTGATCGATTTTCTTCCAAATTTCGATATGATCTAGCTGAGACAATTCTCTACAAATGCAGTTGCCCCACTTTTTCATTTTGACAAAGGTATCATGGCGTATTTTTGTGATTAAAGGTGGCATGTCAATTTTTCACATTTTGCGTGTATTCTCTATGGGACATGACTTTTTCTCAAAACTGGATTCTACATCCTGTCTTTTGCGAGCAATATCTCCGTCGTTTTAGCTTTGTTTTCGCTGAGCTTCGAGTATGTTGTAGCTGAGACAATAAGCTATCACAAGTGTGCCCTTTATTTTTCGATCAGATGCCGGGATCATGCTCATATCTCACTTGCAAAGTGGGATTTGATCATTCCATTTTCCGTTTACGTGTAATCTCTATGGAAAATGTTTTGGTATATCGGTAACGCACTTGACTTCCGACCTCGAGGTCCCTGGTTCGAGTCCGGGGGTTTCCAACAAATTTTTTTTTCACTTTTTTTTCTTTTTGACCTTTTACTGTACCATCTCCTTTAAATATTAAAACACGTACAATCGCAAATAATGTAATAGACAACCATATTTACTTTATTATTACCCTATTATCACTTGATCCATTACTTTTTGCATGTAATCCTTATGGGAGATGACTTTTTCTCAAATCTGGATTCTACATTCTTGTCTTTTGATAGCAATATCGCCATTATTTCGGCTTGATTTTTGTTGATTTTTGAGTATGTTGTAGCTGAGACTATACGCTATCTCAACGTCCCCTCATTTTTTTAATCAGATGTCATCATGGTCTGTTGATGATCATCAACATCACCATCATCATCATCATCGTCATCACCATTACTATCAAGATCATCATCATGATCATCATTCTTTACATGTCTATATAACTTCTCCCTTTTTCAATATAGTAAATATTGAATTAAAGATGAGCATGAACATAGGAATTAAAGACAGACCACCTAATTCGTCCCCATGACGAATTAAATTTCTAGTTATTATTATTATTATTATTATTATTATTATTATTATTATTATTATTATTATTATTATTATTATTATTATTATTATTATTATTATTATTATTATTATTATTATTATTATTATTATTATTATTATTATTATTATTATTATTATTATTATTATTATTATTATTATTATTATTATTATTATTATTATTATTATTATTATTATTATTATTATTATTATTATCATTATTATTATTATTGTTATATAAATGTGCATACCCTTCCCCACTTTGACTTCCATTAAGAATACAATTCATACAATAGTACTACTGTGCATTAAACCTGTCATATTCCACATTACCATTCGGTACTAAGAGTGATCACCTTTGAATAGTTTGAGACGAGTTGTAACTTATTGAGTTTGTTATAGGTCAAAAGTGGCAAATACCTTCATTTTGACATAAATTGTTTATACCTTTTTTATAGTAGATTGCACACCACAAATAAAGACATTCAAAAGCAGCATTATATATAAATACAAATAAAGAACAGATGGCGCAGTACGTTGTTAGAAGTCTTAATTAAACATTGCCATGTATCTACCAATAAACAGGAGAAGCAAGTCAAGGACTTTGCCCTGTAAAAATAACCAATGCAGAAACGCCTCGTATAACGACAAGAATTTGTCTTTTCATATCTTTGTTATAATAAAGCAGAGCAGATAAACATCTGTAATACCATCTTTAAACCTGCAAAATAACAAATGCAGAAATACCTTGTACAGAGACAAGAAATTGTCTTTTCATACCCTTTTTTATAATGAGGCTGGACAGATAAACATCTGTATTACTATCTTTAACCCTGCGAAATAATCAGTGCAGAAATATCTCGTATAAAGACAAGAATTTGTCTTTTCATACCGTTGTTATAATACAGCAAAGCAGATAAACATCTGTAATACTATCTTTAACCCTGCAAAATAACCAGTGCAGATCATGTATAGAGTCAAGATATTTCACCATGCCTAGAACCCCAGCAATTATGCACTGCTTTCATTTTGTATTGTTAATGTGAAAATTTTGTTATGTTTATTACAGATATATAGACGGCAAAAAGACAAGTCATGACTGAATTCTTTGAATAAACAGGTATCTTCAACATGCCTGTCACGTAGGACAAAGACATGAAATGAACAAATACCGGTAACTGTTTGAGGCAAGCAGACAGTTAACACTTTAATGACTAGGTAATGGAGCTTTCACATATACACTCTGGGGCCTGTACGGCAAGTAAAAACAAACATTTTGGGAATTTTCGTCCAATGCCCGACCGGCTCCCGTACAGTTCCTATGGGCGCCGGGATATTTTCACCAGCTGTACGGCCGCGGTGGTGCTGAGTTGGCTGCTCCCAATTTTCCTGGTGTTTTCATCTGACGGTTATGCCGTAGAAAGCCAGTAAATTAGGGCCCAATGGGGCACCGTACGAGTCCTGTGCGGGCTCCTGTCGGTACCCGGATGGCCCCTCACAATTTTTTCTGTCAACTCTCAATGGAGGCGAGAATGTCAGAGGACACATAGTTCAGCTAGTGCACCAACCAGGCGCCTTAAGGACCCCTGCCGGGCCCCGGGAGCCATGGGGTGCACCTTTTCATCGGACGGAGTCCGTAAGCTTACCGGTCGGCATCCGACCAGCGCCTTCCATTTTCACCCGACCATTTTTCACCGGGCACCTCCCGGGTGCAACAGAATATGTGACCAGACATGCCGTAGGAATGAAAATCAGAAGTGTCCCGTACAGTCTCTAAAATCAACGGCAAGCCGCCGGGTAGAGAAAATCGTAAAGGGCCCAGTGTATATGTGACCTAGGCATAAATAAAGCCAGCAGTACTTGGCTTGTGGATATACATGTATAGAAAATAAGTATGAAAATCATCTGAAGAAGAAAGCCAATACCAAAACAAATGTTAGATGATAACTGCAGCCCTGCACAAAACCAGTGGCTTTAATTAAGTTCCCCTTTGCCTAATAAAGCTGTTTCATCGTCCGTCTCATTGTTGTGGCCTCCGTAGTTTCCGTCACGCGTGTCTTCGCCAGTGCTGGACATGGCATTGTAGCTAATGGTTGTAATGGGTGTCTTGGGATCACTATTGAAGAAGAGATGGGTACCTGGAGTATCGCTTGGTGAAGCACCGCGGTATCGAAGAGTTAGGAGATTGATGGTGATGAGGATGATTATGACACCTACCCACTGCAAAACAAGATGGACAGAATTAAAACCTTCAATTGTTATGTTGCTGTGTACAGGGTATCACAGAGAATGCCTAAAGTAACCAACAAGAAATTCTTCCATTCTGGACTATTTCTTCATTTCTGGACTGTAAAAAAATACTGAAAATACTATTTAATCCTTTTTTATTTTATCTTTTATTAACCATAAAGTCACAAGTCTCTGTTATTAATTGGTAGAAACAAAGGTAATTGTTCCTTTTTATTTCCTATCTTCTGCAAGAACAAAATGATATTTCTCTCAACCTCTCTACCCCGTCTTAACCCTTTGACAACTGAATATTTTCATCACAGAGAACTTTTTGTCAAATCAAATTTTTATTTCGTCTGAAAAATTATGATTGTGCCCCATTTTTTAATACATGGACATATTTAGTCTGTAAAATTATGATTGGGCCCCATTTTTTAATACATGTACATCGTTTTTAAAATATCTGTCTGGAAAATGTGCACCGGGTACTGACAAACATATTGTCAACACACTAAATTACTTTGGATAAATATTGCTTGCTATCTAGAAACTTTGACTTGGCTTTGCATCATAGCCTTCAAACATTAAGCCATTTAGGGTTCCAGCAGATATGTCAATAATTTGGTGATTTCAAAAGATTGAAACTGTCTTTATTCAAGGGAGAGAATGGTAATCCCCATTTAATTAAAATTGTCTTACCTGTACTATGGTTGACATGAAGCTTTCTGGAAGAAACTTGTACCAGTCTTCTGGACTCTCAGATATAGTGTTGTATGCCCACCAGATTATCAACACCACTGCTTCGATTGGTGCAATAAACCTGAAGAGTACATTGATAGCATAAAAAGTACTGGAGGAGTTTGATTATGATTGTAATAATTATGATAGTAATGATACAGTTATTGCTGCCACTGCAGATGCTATAGTGCTACTATTTCTATAATACGTGGAGGTACAATTTACTACTTCTAAACATTCTTCTTCTCCTTCTTCTTCTACTAATTCTTGTTCTTTCTTTCTTTCTGTTCATCTCCTTTTACTACTTCTCCTTTTAATTATTTTCCTGCTTCTCTTCTTCCTACCCCCTCCCCCTTTTTTTTTGTTGTTGTTGTTGCTTCTTCTCCTCCTTCTCTTCTTCCTACCACTTCTTTCTTTCTTTGCCTCCTCCTTCTTTTCCTCTATCTCCTTCCTTTCCTTCTCCTCCTCCTTATTTTTCTTGTCTTCCACCTACCTCTTCTTCTTCTTCTTTTTCTTATCCTTTTCCTCCTCCTCCTCCTTCTCTTCAGGTATTAATTTCAATCAAAGTCAAAGAACTCTGATATCTTGCTTTTTGAGGCTTGCCAAAGCTATGAGTATAGCATTAGTATTAGCTATAGTAATCTACCACGAATGAAAATAACTCACATAACGAGCCAGTCCCAGAAGGCATACAGATGCCAATCGTTGAGGCTGTACTCATTAAACATCTTCCGGCGGAAAGTAGAAGGTCCCACCCTTATGACAAGGTAGAGGAACATGAGACCGGCTATGAGAAGACCAAAACCCCAGACAAAGTCCTGTAGTGACAAATCATCAAGCAAAAAAATATGACATTTGTTGTATTGAATTAATTTTTCTTTTTAATTAATAGGGTTTATTGATACAAATTTGAAGTTGCAGCTAAAAGCTGACACAACTTGAATTTCCAAATAAAACTGCAACATCTGTAATAAATGCAGATAATACAATGTTAAATAGGCAAATATAAAATTAAGACATTCAGTAATTAACCCGATATGGTAAAAGGATAAAAAAGAAGAACAAGAAGAGAAAGAAGAAAAATAAGTAGGAGAAAACAAAAGAAAAGTGGCATATGTATTCATCTACCGCATGTCAAGATTCTAGGTCTCTGATTGGTCAAAACTGCAGGCATGAACTTCACTACTGACTGCTGGGCAGTATAGCGAAAAAATATTGACCGGGCATAGTACTACTTGCCCGTCAATGCATGGATGCACTGGATGCACATGATGTAAACTAAACAATGGATGCAATCAGTAGATATGTCCACTTCTTTCAGATTGGTTAGTTTCCCTATATTCTAAAATACATTTTGAACGAGACGTTTTGTAAAAATATCCTTTTTTTGAGAATCTACAAGCCAGACCAGACTTACCTGATTAATTAGGAAGTTGAGATCCAATGCGGATCCAAGACCAAGGAGAAATATAGTCAATGAGCAGAGAACTGTTGCTATTTTTCTATTAACTGCAATAGTATAAAAAAGAGAACAGAATATAGAACTAGCACAGATGTGTTCGATGGGATAAGCAAGAAGAACCAGAACGTCAATGACGTAGCACTCATCCGCATCTCGCAACAACAAATATCGTAAATTTTATGTGGTACACTTTTTAACTGGTTAAAAAATAAAAATTTGATGCCCTGGAAGGGACATAATTTCATTTCATTTGCATAAAGTACCATAAATAATCAATGAAGCAAAATCTCAAAATTCTGTGCAGAAGTTTAGTGTTCCAAATTTAGCTCTACCAGATAAGGCAAACCAAATCAAAATCGGTCAAGAAATGAGGGAGAAGAAGCAATTTTTGTTTTTGGGGAAATAAATTTGCATAGATTCCCATAATTAATTAATGGAGAACAATTTCAAAATTCTATGTACAAGTTTAGTGTACCAAAGTTAGCTCTACGATATAAAGCAAACCAAATCAAAATCGGTCGAAATATGAAGGAGAAGAAGCATTTTTTGTGATTTTTAAATTATTTTTGGAATAAATTTGCATAAATTACCATAATTAATCAATGGAGCAAAATCTCAAAATTCTGTGTGGAAGTTTAGTGTTCCAAATTTAGCTCTACCAGATAAGGCAAACCAAATCAAAATCGGTCAAGAAATGAGGGAGAAGAAGCAATTTTTGTTATTTTTTGAATAAATTTGCATAAATTACCATAATTAATTAATGGAGAACAATTCCAAAATTCGGTGTAGAAGTGTAGTGTACCAAAGTTAGCTCTACCAGATAAAGCAAACCAAATCAAAATCGGTCAAAAAAAATAAAGGAGAAGAAGCATTTTTTGTGATTTCGAATAAATTTGCATAAATTGGCATAGATAATGCATTTCACGATTCTGTGTAGAAGTTTTAAATCCCCCTCCTATAGCCCTATCATATGAAACAATCAGAATTGAAATCGGTTGAAAAATAATGAAGAAGAAGCATTTTGAAAACTGTGGACGGACAGACAGATCGATGAAAAGAATTCAGAAAAAAAAATTTGATCTGGATGCCTGATGGCTAATCATAAGCTACTCACGTCCGAAATCTTCGCCAATCTTGACCTGGAGTTCAATTTCAGCTGTGAGAGAGCTTAATCCAGCAAACACTATAGCTAGGAAGAATATGATGCACACAAAACGCCCTCCTTTCCCCATCTCATTGAAGAAAATTGGGAACCTACGGTGAATAGGAAAGATGTAAAAATTCATTCTTAGATGTAAAAATCAAGAATGAAATCACTTTCATCAATTGCGTAACATTAGAAGACACAAAAAAATGTGAATTGATGACATTGTGGGGGTAATGCAAATACCATACACATATTTGAATTTCCTAAACATCAGAGCATATAGTTAAAGAAAAACCACAATAGAGGTTTTGTACGTGGCATTTGTAGCTTTCAGCAGGCTTTAATCAATTGTGCTTAATCTATAAAATATTATTTGCCTACCATCCTTTCCAGTTTAGTCTAAACTATGTTATGCTTCACCAAAATTTACCCAAAATCTAAATCTCAATATTTTGCCTACCATTCATACCATTTCATAAGACCACAGACGAAAGAAAAAAAGCTGAGCCATGTAATATATGAGTGAAACATATACATTGTACCAATTTCTTTCATACTTACCAAATAAATGTAAGGCCTGTATTTGCTGGTCCGTTCTCTGAAAGCATGCAAGTCCACTATTTCAGTTTTGTTGAGATAAGGACTTTGAGTTGAAAAGACAGTTGCATATGTCAACATACCACACAACAAACTGCAAGAAAGAGAATACAACATAAAAGCATTGTTATGAAGTCAGTCATTACTAACCAATCAAAATATGGCGGGCAGATAGAAGGGCATACCATAAAGCAAATTTATGGTAACTCGATTGCAAGATTTGATTGCTCTATAAATCGCTGTACAATTTTCTTTAAAATAACTTCAATTTCTCTCATAACATGAAAAGCACATGTACATGTACTGTATGTGCTGATGAGATAGAAAACATCTGAAATTAGTTAGTTATCATCCATTTTAACTTTTTATTAGTAATTAAGGGTCTGTTAATGCTAAAAAAAACACCCGCTTAACGTAATAGTGCACTAATTCCGCACTTAGCAGAACTGCACAGGCATCGAAAAAGAATCTGTTCCTTGGATAGGATGGTAAATGCAGGTCCTCTCTTAGGTAGAGTCACCATCTATTCACTTAAAGCCATGATCACAACCAGCCGCACACCTTAATTTCTTTGTACAAGTCAGCACATTTTTTAAGGAATGCCGAACGAGTATTAAAATGCATGAGGTTTTTTGACATGTCCAATAATCTCTGGGTGCATGTGGCTAAATTTTGATATGGAAGGCATATGACATGTGCAGCTGTTGTACTTTTTTTGCAAGCATCACAAGAACTTTGCAGTGGCAACTTGCAGTGATTATGCACAAGTATGACACGTCAGCCAAACGTAGCTGTATTAAGACATCACAGTTTCGACGCACTAGCTGCTAGGGGGTTGTGAGTTTAAAGATAAAGGTGAGTTCTGGTCATCCGATTGCATTGTGAAAAAGGTGTGGAATGGATGAGAAAATGTTGATCATGTAGCATTTAAGTATTGGTGTGCACTGCAAAATTATGGAGTCATCAAAATCATAACAAATTTGGCCCAGTCTTGGTAAAGTAATAAGCACTGTACACAGAAAGATGTATATGGGACTACACAAATGGTGTCGGGGCTACTAACCTTGATTTCCTAATCTTTTTGTGCTCATTACTCAACCAGTATACATTTTCTACCAAAATTGTTTGGCAAATGTCATTTATTTGTAATCTTGAACATTCAGTGTAATTTTTGTTTGATTCTGTGAGAATTCATTTCCTTTTTTTTTTAACCAGAACTCACCTTTATCTTGAACTCAAGGATTCCTGAAGGGAAGGTGGGAGTATCTTTATGAGAAGGGTGCAAGAAGAATTTGCTAATCCTAGAAGTTGGCCTACCACCCGATTGCAGCTGTGGACATGCATCCACAAGCAAAAAGACACACAGCGGGGTGTGACCAAAGCATTTAGAATGGAATATGGAATTCTCAGTCAATCTAAGTTTGAAAATGTGTCAGTATTATTATTATTATTATCATTCATTTCTTAATGACCAAGACAAGAAACAGTGCAAAAAATAACAGTACAGTTTGAAAAGCCACATGAATGCTGGGAAATGGGAAAGATTTACCAAATAACTATAACCCAAAGATCTTCTTTTGTAATCCATGTGACTTTACATAAATGAAATATCATAAAGTAATGAAATACAACAAATAATGAATAACAAGCGACTATTTACCTGACTATATTATTTCCGATTGGAATGAGGGTGCCATATTTAACTATCCCGGTTTCAGCAGTCATGTAGGCAGAGTAGGAGACAAAGAGACCAGATCCTGCTCCTGTGTCAAAAGCATTCTGGCTTATAGCATCTACCCACATCCTTGGGTTGCGGAATTGTGCTGTATGACAGAAAAATAGAGAAAAAATAGTCAGGAATAATTGGTGTATCAAAGGAAGTAGAGAAAACAGATTTATGATGATAGATGTATTTTTTAGACATTGAGAGTTAAAGTCAATTCAAGAAATCTTATTTTTTTAATATATACATGTCAAAGCTCATCAGAGATGGATACTGGCACTTTTTAACTGAAGCCGTCAATATCATCATCACAATCATTCTCATCATCAAAGAAAATATCAGAAAATAATTGAAAACATGGGCCTTACTCTGGAAAGTATTCCAGAGTATGGATGTGTACTTAACCATGGACGTACAAATAACAAAAATATTTAGAAAACAATGTTCCATTTGAAAGGAAAAAAGTTCTACCAACAAATCAAAGCATTGTATAACACATGCTCTATACACTAATCAATATACAATACTATACCCACCCCTTACTATAAACCTTCATTGTAAATTGTAAACTAAGATTACTATTGTAAGTAACCCAAGTCAGGAGCAAATATCAGATAATAATAGTCACATCTGTATAGCGCTTAATACAATGTTTTTAATGCTTTACATTGTAATTATTTTTCCTTGGTCATTGGATTCAATTGGTAATCCACACATGAGAGTGCACATGTCCTGCTCTCTGGGCAGTATTCTGGACAGGCGCCATCTTACAAGCGCACACATGCCAATCCAACCACCATTAATATTTGCATCCTACCAGGTACCCATTTAACACCTGGGTAGAGAGTGATAAATGCAGATTAATGTCTTGCCAAAGGACATCAGTGCTGTGGAGGGATTTGAACCGGGAACCTTGTGACCACAGTCCGGTGACGTATCCACTGAGACCAGCCTAGTCAACTTGAATAGAAGAAAACTGCTAGTACGTACAGTCAAACCTGCTTTAGTGACCACCTGCCTACAAAGACCACCTATCTACAAAGACCACATATTTTGTTTCCCTTGAAAATGGTTTCTCATTGAAACATGTACTAAAGAAACCGGAACATAAAGACCACCTGCCTATAAAGACCACTTTTCTTGTCTTCATTGGGTGGTCTTTATAGACAGGTTTCACTGTATGATGAAAAAGACAGTATGAGGATGAAGGTGTTTCTCTACCCCAATCAGGCGTGAACAAGAATTGGATGCCGTCACCCGCGTTGGGCAACGTCAAACTCCAGATGAAGCAGATGAGGAGGAGGAGGAGGAAGATGGATACGATGATGGAATTGACCACCTCAATGCTTTTGACCCCCCACAGGACGGTAAGTGCTGCTAACACGATGGCAAAGGTATGAAACAGTACTGGCATGGCTGATTCCTGGTGAGAGAAAAAATGTAGTACGTTTAGAAAGGGCAGAAAAAGATAGAGGAACATAAAGGCAGAGAGAGAGAGAGAGAGAGAGAAACAGAAAGATAGAGGATGAAAGACAGATAGAGAGAATAAATGGAAAAGCAAAAAAGAAAGTAATATGTGAAGGAAAGAGAGAGAGAATAATGAAGGGGAGAGAAAAGGAGCAGAGTAGAGAGAGAGAGAGAGAGCACTTAGGTTTGAACTTTAAATAGGGGGCAGATGGGAAAAGACTGATAAAGAGAAAGCAACCTAAAAGAAAAGATAGGATATCTAAAGAGAAGAAAAGGGAGAGCAAGAAAGAGGACAATTTGAAAAGAGAGAAAGAGATAGAGAGATATATATATAAAGAGTAAAAGAAAGAGAGAGAGAGAGAGAGAGAGAAGGAGAGAAAAAGAGAGAGAGAGTTCAAAACGGGATGTAATGGGGAAGAAAATCTGGCTACAACTATTTCAGAAAGTTAAGACAAAAAGATGAAGAGAAAGAAGGAATGGCACAACATACACTGTACATGATACAAAAAAGGAATGCAGAGACTATAGGCGCATTTATACTGTCAAATACCTCATTTTGAAAAGTCGCGATGTTTCGCGCAGCCGTTTACACTTGTGCGGAAACATCACCGACTGAAAAGCTCAGTGATGTTTTGGCGTGTTTCAGTTGGTAATGCGCATGCGCGGCACTCCGATGCAAACACTTTCCTCTTTCTATCTTTCCTTGTTATTCTTTGTTTTTCCTTCTATCACCTTCTCTTATGTTATTCTTTATCACTTCCTTCTATCACTTTCTCTTTCTGTGTTTCCTTATGTTATTCTTTATTTCTTCCTTTTATCACCTTCTCTTATGTTATTATTTGTTTTTTAATCATTCTATCACTTTCTCTTTCTGTCTTTCCTTATGTTATTCTTTGTTTCTTCCTTCTATCACCTTCTCTTATGTTATTCTTTGTTTTTTATCATTCTATCACTCCCTCTTTCTGTCTTTCCTTATGTTATTCTTTGTTTCTTCCTTCTATCACCTTCTCTTATGTTATTTTTTTTTTTTTTTATCATTCTATCAATCCCTCTTTCTGTGTTTCCTTATGTTATTCTTTGTTTCTTCCTTCTATCACCTTCTCTTATGTTATTCTTTTTTTTTTTATCATTCTATCAATCCCTCTATTTGTGTTTCCTTATGTTATTCTTTGTTTCTTCCTTCTATCACCTTCTCTTTCTGTCTTTCCTTATGTTATTCTTTGTTTCTTCCTTCTATCACCTTCGCTTTCTGTCCTTCCTTATGTTATTCTTCGTTTCTTCCTTCTATCACCTTGTCTTATGTTATTCTTTGTTTCTTCCTTATATCACTTTCTCTTTCTGTCTTTCCTTATGTTATTCTTTGTTTCTTCCTTCTATCACTTTCTCTTTCTGTCTTTCCTTATGTTATTCTTTATTTCTTCCTTCTATCACTTTCTCTTTCTGTCTTTTCTTATGCTATTCTTTATTTCTTCCTTCTATCACTTTCTCTTCCTGTCTTTCCTTATGTTATTCTTTGTTTCTTCCTTCTATTACTTTCTCTTTCTGTCTATCCTTATGTTATTCTTTGTTCTTTATCCTTCTATCGCTCCCTCTTTCTGTGTTTCCTTATGTTATTCTTTGTTTCTTCCTTCTATCACCTTCTCTTATGTTATTCTTTGTTTTTTATCATTCTATCACTCCCTCTTTCTGTGTTTCCTTATGTTATTCTTTGTTTCTTCCTTCTATCACCTTCTCTTATGTTATTCTTTGTTTTTTTTATCATTCTATCAATCCCTCTTTCTGTGTTTCCTTATGTTATTCTTTGTTTCTTCCTTCTATCACCTTCTCTTATGTTATTCTCTGTTTTTTTTATCATTCTATCAATCCCTCTTTCTGTGTTTCCTTATGTTATTCTTTGTTTCTTCCTTCTATCACCTTCTCTTTCTGTCTTTCCTTATGTTATTCTTTGTTTCTTCCTTCTATCACCTTCGCTTTCTGTCCTTCCTTATGTTATTCTTCGTTTCTTCCTTCTATCACTTTCTCTTTCTGTCTTTCCTTATGTTATTCTTTGTTTCTTCCTTCTATCACTTTCTCTTTCTGTCTTTCCTTATGTTATTCTTTGTTTCTTCCTTCTATCACTTTCTCTTTCTGTCTTTCCTTATGTTATTCTTTATTTCTTCCTTCTATCACTTTCTCTTTCTGTCTTTCCTTATGTTATTCTTTATTTCTTCCTTCTATCACTTTCTCTTCCTGTCTTTCCTTATGTTATTCTTTGTTTTTTCCTTCTATTACTTTCTCTTTCTGTCTATCCTTATGTTATTCTTTGTTTCTTCCTTCTATCACTTTCTCTTTCTGTCTATCCTTATGTTATTCTTAGTTTCTTCCTTCTGTCACCTTCTCTTATGTTATTCTTTGTATTAATCGTTCTATCATTGTCTTCAAAAGGACGACATCTAGCCCCGCTCCTCAAGTCACTTTACCTAACATCGCGATGTTACAACTGCGAGCGTTTATACTTGCCAAACACGCCAAAACACGCCAAAACACGCCAAAAGATCACACTTCGTTTTGGAATGTTTGGGGCTTGGCGTTTCTACCGGTAAAGCGTAGTTGCCCTTGGTAACATCGCGGCCAGGCTCCGGTTTGGCATTTTTTGGCGTGTTTGGAAGACAGTGTAAATGCCCCTAGTCATTCACAGTTTAAATAGGACTTTAAATGGTGTGTTGAGAACAAACAAACAGATTGCTATCAGCTACATATAATTGCTCCCTTTACAATACTTCAAGGTCTTCTACTTGGCTATGAAAAATAAAGGTATGATGGTAAGCTAACAGAATGAACATACATGTGTCTATTTCTAATGCTCAAATAATGAACAATAACAATGAACTTTATGAACCTTATGAATTTTAGAGCTGCTCTGCAAATGCAAAGAGATACTTTGGTACATGTAGCTACAATTCCATCCAAAACAATACAAACATGAAATACACTGTACATGCACAGCTTATAGAATTGTATTAGAGGCAGCGCTCAAAATACACGGGGGCGATGGGTGATTCGCCCCCGTGAGCTCCATAATCGCCCCCATCAGGTTGTCCACGGGGGCGATTGCAAAATTAAAAATCGCCCCCGTGGAATTATAAAATAAAGATTTTCAGCGAATTGAATAATATTGAAAAGGATGCAATTCATAGTTGTACTTGATAATTCTCACTTAACATATTCTCTCTCTCTCTCTCTCTCTCTCTCTCTCTCTCTCTCTCCCTGTCTTGCATAAAGGAAATATGAAAATAATATTTTGCCTTGATTAAGACAAATTGAAAATTTTATCAGTATTAAACAGGGAGAAGGAAAGGGGAGGAAATTAATCAAAACAATCATTGAAGAATCCAATTCATTGTTCTTTTGAGATGCATAAGAATGAAAATATATTAAAAGGTGAAATAATAAATTGAAGTGCGATGATGAATCAATTCTTTGACGTTGATTGATTGAATAAAAAGTAATGAAACAATATGGTCTGAAGGTCATATATCTTCGAATATTAGAAAGTTTCATCCACCATCGTGTTGTTGAACACTATTTGCAATTTAATTTTAATGCGGTGACTTGTCGGTTACGAGCAGAAGGTCATATCAGGCTTCTATATTTTATAATACTATCAACAGATATCTGGATAGAGACACTTCGTCACATCAAGCTACGAGAAAGTATATCATCATCTCACAGAATTCTACTCGAACACCGCATCAAAATTCTTTTCACCCTTTTTTTTCCTTCTTCCTCATTTTTGGTCCCTTTTAGCTCTCCTTTTTTCCTTTTCCTTCCTTCTCTCTCTTTTTTTTTAGCGGGGGCGGGGGGAGGCAAAGGCCTTTGCCCCACCCCATCCGCAACTTGTTGGCGGGAAAATTGCAAGTGATATCCCCCTTCTTTTCTTTACTTCTTCCTCAATTTTCCTTCCCTTTATCTCCTCTTTTACTTTTTTCTTTCCATTTCCTTCCTTCCTTCTCTCTTATTTTGTTTTATTGGGGGAAGGCAACAGCCTGGGAGGCAAGGCCCTTTCGCCCCCCCCCCCCCCCCCGATCTCCTTTTTCCCCCTTTTCTTTTCTTCACAAAGAGATTTCCGGTTTGTTTCCTAGATTCTTTTCGAACAGCGGACTAAGACTGTCAGCAGCTTCAGCTTATCTTCATAATCTGACTGAACCTGTTACCTCTCCGTTCTCGATCATAACTAAAGACAACAAGAACATTCTTGCCACGCCGACTAAATCGATATATCGAATCTTCAACCGTGCTATTAACTTTCTTCCTAGAGCTCAAATTACTCATTGGCACGAGGCTGGGTTACTTTCCCCTTCTAAACTAATCAACTGGACTGAAATCTACTGCTATCCATCATCTAAGAAAGATGGGGACACTCAGTACAAACTATTACACAATGTTCTTCCGTCGCTTGCCGTTCTTCATCATCTTAATCCCGATATCTCCTCTTCATGTGGATGGTGTGGCAAGAAGGGAACTATTCTACACCTCTTTATCGAGTGTACTTCTATACAACCGGCCTTGGATCTTCTTCATCATCTTCTGTCAAGTCTTCTACCCGAAGTAAACATTGACTTTGACCTCTACTGGACTCTGGTTCCACATGCAAGAGGTCGTAACAGGGAGGCCGTGCGCCTATCCAACTTTTTTATTGTCATTCTTAAAAGCACATTATATTGGCTTTATCGTACCTCTCGTTTTCTTGATCCACTTCCTTTTTGGAAACTTAGAATCAAGAACAGAGTCATTCTAGATTATGAATTTCACAAATTACAAAACAATTTGGTGTTATTTCATAAGATATGGTCGTACAATAATGTACTCTTTCTTTCAGATGATATTGATCTCACATGGTTGATTTAATTGTTGTTTGTGATAAGTTTGTCTTGAGAAGAAGCTCATAGTTGGAAGTTATGAATTCCCATAATTTAATCGTTTTGAAACACTCTATGGATGTGTAATCATTTGTAATCAGTGTTTAGTACAATTTATGTTTTTTCTCAATTTCTACCGTCGAATTTATTGTTTTTTTATGAATTGTTTAATGGTTACTTTCTCATGTATTACGTACTACTTGTTGTTGATTATTGGTATATGATTCACAAACACTTATTATATTAAGTGCATCACTGTTATTTTTTTTATCTGTTTTAATTATTATATGTATTGTAAATAAAGTTTTACTTTCAAAAGTCAAAAAAGTCCTCTTCTTTCTTTCCCTTTCTCTCCTCTTTCCCTTTCCCTCTTCTCCTTCCCTCTCTTTCTCTCTCTTTCTCTCTCTCTCTCTCTTTTGCGGAAAGGGGTGGGGGGGGGGGGCAAGGCACGCTCACCCCCGCTGGATCCACGCCTGCATCTAACTTATATCTACTAACGTTAGACCCTAATAATGGATCTAGAAGATTGATTGACCTGGTCTCAGTGACGGGTAAACTTTTTTTTCTCAATTACTTGGTCTAACCATGAAAACCGTCTAATTTTACTTTAGATTTTCAAACAGTAACAGTTACGACCTAAAGTAGGCCTAAGGCCAGGGGCTGTACTCTACATGATTTTAATAACAAATTAACGTTAACGTTAGACTTAACTTAAACTGTTGTTTCTCTGTGATACAAGTGGGAAAGGAACACTTCTTTTTTCAAAAAAAAGAAAGAAGAAAATTCCCCTTTTTTCCCCCTTCTTTTTTCCCAGGGGGGGGGGGTGGGGCGGCCCAAGTATACAGCTATGTAACAAGTAAATTTTTAAGAGGGAGAATGCCGATTTAAATAAATGATAATGATAAAATACCAAGGAATTTAGGAGTTTCATCCAATGGAAATTTGTATCAAAATAAGAGCCCCCGTCAGCACTAAAAGAGCCCCCGTGAGAAGGTTCACGGGGCTCTTTTTTTTGGAAGAGCCCCCGTGGACAAAAAATTAATTTGAGCCCTGCATGCACAGCTTATAGAATTGTATTAGAGGTAATACAAAGCGGGAAGAAGCAAATGAAAGAGAAGGGGAAATAGGTAATAAGGACAAGGAGGGAGTGTATGAAAGGGAGATAGATACCAGTAGATGGATAGATAGAGAGAGGGAGGGGAAAGAGAGAGAAAGAACAAAAAGAGAGAAAAAAGAGAGAAAGACAGAGAGAGAGAGAGAGAAAGAGAAAGAGAGTTGACGGTGTAGGTGTGGACAGAATAACAAAAGTGGGTATGGAGAGTGATAAAAAGAAAGAGAGAAAGAGAGACAGAGAGAGACAGAGAGAGACAGAGAGAGTGGGGGGAGGGGAGAGAGAGGGGGAGAGAGGCATAAAGAGGGAAATGTGTGAGACAACAGAGGAGCCAGGAAAGGGGAAATATATAAAGAATGTAAAGGGAATATAGAATGAGAGAAAGATGAAATAGAAGAACGGTAATGAAAGGAATGAGCAAGAGAGAAGAAGAAATAAGAAAGGGATAAGTTAAGTGTGAAGAGTGAGAAAGAGAGAGGGTGTACAACTTGAAAATTGGAAATTGGAGAAGAGAGGGAGAGGAGCATGGAAGGAATACACACAAAATGAACTGGAGGGAAAGACAGCGAAAATGGTGGTAAATACAAATGTGCAGACATAAAATGTGAACTCATAAAAGTTCTTGTTCTCGTCCTACATCTGAAATACAATAAAGTTCTCAATGCTAACCAACCAATTGTCAAGCCCTATATATTACACTTATCAGCCTACTAAACAGTTTAGTACTTGGTAAATAATGATATCTGTACTTTACACATCTATATCCCATTTAACTATGTGTGACTGGCAACAAAACAAATAATGAAAATGAAGATAACATTTATGTATATATTTATATATATATATATATATATATATATATAGAACATCTACAAAAACATGTGATCTTAAAGGTACTATGTCCCATTTGCAGGCCCAAAAAATGAAAAAGTTAAATTCCAACTGCATTTGAAAGATAATACTAATTTAGAACTTCCCTAAAAAAGGTGGGGCGTGAAAATGTCTTCAAGTGGGAAAATAACGACTATTAGTTGTCAAATCGACTTTAGGGCCATAGAGCCCAAAAGTAATAGTCTTGATTTTCAGACAATTGTACCGAATGGTCATACGTTTTATGCTGCGCAAAGATTCAATCAGTTTAATCTTGGCCATCACAAGAAGTGGGTTATTGATGTAGACAAATGCTCATGTACCCTTTACAACTCTTTTCATGTATGTTATTACCAAAGAAGAAAAAAAGCCAGTCAGTCACTCAATAGTGTCTGACAGTGAAGTCTAGCAAGTAAACGGGTTTCCTTGCATGATTTGAATATTAGGACACTGCTAACGTTTAAATTTCACAGATATGACATATATTCATAATTCCTGCAAAGTTCTACAGAATTTGAGGTTGGCTGCAAAAGGGACATAGTACGTTTAAATGCATGTGATACATGGACTTTCAAGGATTTTTCAAGACCCAACTCCATTTTCAATGAGTAAGATTTGGTCAAAATGTAATTTCTTTAAATGCATTTACATAAAGGGTTTAAGAACAAATTAGTTATTACCGTAGCCACCTCAAATATCTAATACTTGTATTTCCTTTGTCAATTCTAGTTTCTAATTTCCACTACTAAATATAACAGATTTCTCCTTTGGGAATTCCATGATGTTCTATATTTTAAAGATCTGGAATGTGAAATGAACCTTGTCCATAAAGTACATTTAGCAATGTATCATCATCAACTGACATGCTGTTACATCAGATTTCTGTATTAAACAGACATCCTGTTTGGATCTCTAAAAGTACTAGCACAAATAAATCTTCTGTACCAGCAAACTAAATTCCACGGAAACCTTGATTTGATTGGATGTTGAGTGATGTTGCAATGGTACAATTTTGATGGCATAGTTACCATATGATCAGTGGTAAGTTTTATGAAACGGGGCCTTGGGCTGCTGCCATCACATGACAAGCAAAAAATTATTCTACCTTTAGAAGCCCCCCCCCCCCCCCCCACCTCAGTCCCCCAATCCTTCAAGCGATCCCTTGCAAAATTAATTATCATGCAATGAATTCTACAATGGTGTTCATATTCATGCAGTAATATCGAATACAACCACTTGAGCCAGATAGTGCATACTGTACATATATATACAACACTATTACACATTCATAACTTACAAACATTTTAATACCGCATGTTCTTCACCATTTAAGTGCTGGAAAATTGGTCAAAACTGTAGAAACTGGACCAGAAACAGAATTACTGTGTTTTCATTATAATTACATGTACATGTAAGCAGTAAAAATTAAAGTTCTTATCCTCAAACACAATGTATCACACTGAACCAATATGGCAGAAATCTTTACAGTATAAAGATGTAGATATCAAAAGCGATTTCTTCTTACTTCATCAATTTACTAATTGCCAGTTTGTTATTTTACCCTTTAGAATCAGATCATAATTTTTTATTTTTCATATAGTTTGCTGAGAGCCAGAAGGGGAAGAATGCTGAAGTACCAACACATCATTTGCTATCGTTCCAGCTCTCAGCCAAGGGTTTAATCTGTTATAACAAACCAAAATTGTACACAGACTCTACATGTATATTATGACCTTAGATAGGTGTCAACAATGTTATCATATGACAAGTTCAGCTTGCCAACAAATGTAAAGTCATGTGCTGGGTTAGTAGTTTGTGGACTTTCCTTCTTTTAAGGAAGCATTCGTTTCCTTTTGAAAGGAAAACAGTAAAAATGAAATTGAATAATCACAATTTTTTTTAAATAAGGAATTTGAGTTTATTTCACAGCATACACAGGCACACACATAGGTACAGGAAAGTATTAAATAGGGCACAGAGCAAAGTACAAAGTATTAATAAATTCTTGACTTTGTAGTAATCTATTCTTCATTGGTCCACTCACAAAAAGAAAAAAAAATTGGTGGTGTCACATGCTGCATGATAAGTAGCCTAGGCACTACACTGTATAAGAATTCATGTAATAACAGGATTTCCCTTTGTTGCGCAATTAATGCAAAACTTCCTGTCAGATGTTGTCAATTCCTATTTTTTTTAATGAGCCTTACTGACATCCAAAATAAATCTCAACACCACTTTTATGAGAAATACTAGTTTAAGATAGAATGACTAAAATTGTCTGATCAAAGAAAATCCAAAAATGCACCATATACGCATTAAAAAATAATAAATACGTAAATCAAACAATTGATCATCAAACAAAATAAAATGTTGTATAGATTTTATAAAGGAGAAACGCACGCAGTCTCTTTTAATGCAGGTCTTGTGTTTAATTCTAAGTCAATATAATTACTTCTGAAATTTACAAAGCTTTGACATATATAATTGATTAAAACAAAGAAGTTTAAAATCTAAATGGTAAATTAATGGACAAGTCCTTTCCAGTACACACATGTACAAAATAATGTAATAATAATGAATAGAAGATACATTTTATTGTTGACATTTTCTTATTTGATTCATACTAGCACACGAGACTAAAACTGGCAGAAAATTTCCTGCTGCCATACAATGTCTATACTCACGTTTGCAAAGCTTTGAAAGGTTGAGCTACTTGTAGCATAGTCTTCTGGAAGAGCATTGCCCATGTAATAGAAGAGATGATAGATGCACCAGCCCACTATCACAGAGTAGTACCCACTGCACATAAGAGATTGGGGATGGAGGTGAAATAAAGATGGAGGAATGAATAAAACCAACATACTAGTTATGATAAGGAATTGAAATACAGTGAATATAAAGACCACTGATTGAGACAAGAAATCTGATCTAATCTGATAGTACCTTTAAGATGACCTAAAAATAGATGCGCAAGTTCCATGATTAATCTTTTTTATATAAACATATAACGGTGGGAGGGGGGGGGGGGAAGGGAGAGAGAGTTTCATATAAATATCAAAGCAAAGTAAGTATGTACAAAATTTGATCGGAATATGCTTTCTTTTTCCTCTTACTGTAAATCTCCATGTATAAGGTGCACTTTTTTGCCGCCGAAAAAAATTGAAAGTCGGGGGTGCGTCTTATACACAGGTACAGAAATTTTTTTTTTTTTTTTTAGTTTCGATTTATGGCGCTATGCCTGGCAATGTCTCCCAGCTCAGTAATCTGATTAAATCAGTGTGTTGACTCACCACTCGGAAACTACAACAACACTCAAATTTGTCTGTCATCTTGATTTGAAAGTAATCTTTCTAATAGATCTCAATATGTAGTTTATGATAATAATTCCTCAATTTTTTTTTCTATAACGTATGGTGTACCACAAGGTTCTATCCTAGGTACTCCATTACAGTCAGAAATTTAGAGGATGCTATTGATATCATGCATGACTATTGATGTTTGGTATAGAACACAGTGCTTCTGCTAGGTGATGTGATGAGGCTGGTGTGGGACACTTGGTATCATGAAGCCTTAGAGTCTGGACCTGTTTTTAATTTATATTAATGATCTTACACATTCTTCTTCAACGACATTGTTACTATTATTTGTGACAAGTTCACAACTTCAACTGCACCTCGATGTTAAATGAAGGTCCTTTCCAACGTGGGTTTTCGGCAACAAAACAACAACCACAACAAAATAAAAAACAATTTTTTTATTTTTTTATTTTTTATTTTTTGCCCCCAAAATAGGGGTGCGCCTTATACACAGGTCCGCCTTATACACAGAGATTTACGGTATTTTTACTTCTTCTACATGCGTGTGTGAGTGGGGGGAGGTATATGTACCCCTGTGCATCACGGAAGTTAAATGCCAATGACTACGTACATTATCTTGAGGCTTGCAATGTACATTATAAGTCAGTCGAATGTAATAAATTCTGACCTTATTCCTACGCTGATGACTCCGATCCAGCCTCCTGCCCAGGCACTTTTAGGCCCTGCTAACTCCTGAAATGAGGCTACGGTGGCCTTCTTGGTGTAGCGCCCTGTACCATACTCGATCAAGATTATTGGTATGGACCAGAAAAACAGGAACAATAACCAAACCAGCAGAAACTGCAGACAACCTGAGGGGAGGAAAAAAGAGAAAATGACTGGTTACTATTTGGTTTGGTTTGCTTGTTTTTGTTTTGTTTTGCTTTTGTTGTGTTTTAGGGGAGGCCGGGCATTACTCTTTTATTTTATTTTCATTCTATCAAATGCAGTTTAGTTTTGAAGATGATTAATAGAAAGAGCTTAAATTCTACATTTACATACTTTAGAAATTGTTCTTCAAATCTACACATCCTCCTGTTCCACACTCTCCAACTAATTTGTATTGAACATTTAACATTAAATGAAATATAATATATTGTACAACAATATGACGGTCATTCTTCTGGATCATCACAGCATGCAGAAATATCCGACTGATAGCTACCAGTAACCAGCTAGGTTTACATGTACATGTACCGTACGTAGGTCAATATCTCTTTTCTTGGTACAATCATCATTCAACAAGTGCGTCTGTAGTCTGTACTGGTGATGAGCCAGAGTACACAAACCAATTCTCTCCATTGTGTTCATGTGTACACAAATCTGTAGACTCAATAGCTTTTTTTGAATGACTCCACTCATTGATGGCAACTTTCTTTATGACAAGGCATGTAAATTGTTAACAGGTAATTTCTTTTACAAGTTGATGGTTTTAACTATTGAACTATATTTGCTTGAAGTCTCTAATGATATACAAAAATCAAATTTTATTTTACATTAATACATCTGGATCAAACAAGTGTTTAAAGCAAAAAGAAATTAATATCAAAAAATATTTAATTCCATATTATTTCCAAGGACAAAAAAAGAAGTAACTAGATGGAACTTCGACTGCGCGCAGTCGAAATGATGCCTCCGTCATAGAGCAATTTTACAAACCAAAACATAAGAAATTGTTCAAATTTAAGTTCAATTGTAATCCATTAACAGGTTCTCATAATATCGTGATTACAAGCAATTTCTTATATACATATATGACCCTTTGATCTTTGACCACATGACCCTAACATCTACTCAGTTAATTGGCTCTGCAAGATGTCCCGAGTTAAATAGTAATCCATCTGTCAGTTCTAATGAGAATGCATTCACAAGCTATTTTTTGCATGACCTTTGACCTCATGACCCAAGAATCTACTCAGTCCATTGGCTCTGCAAGATACATACATGATCTAAGTTTGGGAGGAATCCATCAATCTGTTCTAATGATAATGCGATCACAAGCTATTTTTGCATGCATAATGAGCCGCATGACCTTTGACCTTGACCTCATGACCCCAAAATTTAATCAGTTCATCGGCTCTGCAAGTAACATACATGACCTAAGTTTGGCAGGAATCCATCAATCGGTTCTTGAGATAACGCGATCACGAGCTGTTTCAGCATACATAATGAGCCCTGTGACCTTTGACCTTTGACCTCGTGACCCCAAAATCTAATCAGTTCATCGTCTCTGCAAGATACATACATGACCTAAGTTTGGCAGGAATCCATCAATCGGTTCTTCAGATAACGCGATCACAAGCTGTTTTTGCATACATAATGAGCCCTGTGACCTTTGACCTTTGACCTCGTGACCCCAAAATCTAATCAGTTCATTGGCTCTGCAAGATACATACATGACCAAAGTTTGGCAGGAATCCATCAATCGGTTCTTTAGATAACGCGATCACGAGAACGGGACGTACGGACGTACGGACGGACGGACAACCCGAAAACATAATGCCTCCGGCTACTTCGTAACGGAGGCATAAAAATGTGTAATTATCAGTGTGTTAAAATGAAAATTGCAAAGCTAAATATCAAAAAAGAGATAATGTTCATGTACCTGTGTGTACGCGTGTTCATGTATGTACATGTACACTCAAACTGTATACCGGTATACCGGTACATATATTGAGCTAGCCGTATGTCATGGCCATATTGTCAATACCTCGGGAAAGAATTAATCAATCAATGCATAGGCTATGTAATAACACTTCGTATAGACAATGTTTGTTCTAGCTTGTTATGAATTACATGATACATGAGCCGAAACAGAAACATATCTTACAACTGACAAAGCTGAATCATAATGCTATTTAAAGCACTGAAATCTGTAATTTTTGGAATTCAAAAAGTCACATTTCCATTTCACCACATTAGTATTTAAATTTTAATCAAACAACCTAACAGGTATAACTTCTTCTTTTATTTTGTCTTAAAAAGAATTTTGTTTTTGGTTAAAAAAGTCTTGTTATACTCACCTTCATCGCCGCTGTTGTTTGCTAGGATTCTCGGGAAGCGCCAAATATTGCCAGTTCCTACCATACACCCAATACATGTTAGCACGGTACCAAAGGTGGTTTTGAAGGTACCACCTGGATTAACCTTGTTCGGAGCTTCGTCATGACCCTGAAAATTAAAATATATATAGTCTAGGCAAAAAATTAAAAATTGACACAAAACAGATAAGAATTAAAGATAACCACTTTCATTGACTGAGAGAAAGAGAGATTGAGTAATAGATCATGATCTCAGTGCACAGCGCTCAATGCGGAAAGTTCTACATGTACGTGCCGGGGTTACCTGACTGACCCAGTTTGTCTTATTGTATATAGATCTAGGCAAAGACAGAGAGATGACCAAGTCTAAGTGAACGTGCTGCTAGATCAACTAATATTATTTTGCCTACTCGCATCCGCACAACTGAATGATACATACCGTTAAAACTAAAAGAACAACAACCATTTGACTTGTTTTGAAATGATTGATACATGCCGTTAAAACTAAAAGAACAACAACCATTTGACTTGTTTTGAAATGATACATGCTGTTAAAACTAAAAGAACAACAACCATTTGACTTGTTTTGAAATGGTAAATCTCACCCCCCCCCCCCTCCCCCCAAGCACCTTCCCTGATTCCCCATTCATATTAAAAGCCCTAGATTATTACCTCAGAATGCAGTAGCGTGGTTTCACTAGCTCCATTCATCATCTTTACCATGGAAACACGATAGTTAACATTACAACACAAGACTCAAGTCAAGACCGTCACAAGAGCAGAGATTTTAGTCATATGATCAGATCAGGCCAGGCCAGGCCGCAAATTTGCGATTCCCAAACCATTCAGCTATGGGAGACTTTATGAGCAACGTGATTGGTCGAGAGAAGAAATAAATATTAGTCTATGTCATTTACTGCACGCTCGGGCTCGCTCACAGCTGACACAGACACACAAACACTCACAATGTTAGTCTGCAAGCACAGACTCTAAGTCTAATTTGACACTTTACGAAAGATATCATGTCTGAGGGAAGTCTATCTAGATCTAGGTCTAGACCTACATGAAATGGCCTAGATCTACTAGATCTAGATCTAGATCTAGATCTAGATAAAATTAAAAAATATCATCCAATCGATATCTATATTTCATTAGAACATACTTGTATCTAACTTAAAAGATCTATCATCTAAATCTACATGTAACTTGTCTATGTTCAAACAATGCATGGCTAGACTCAACAAAACACTCAGGACTGGACATAGGTCTACACTATGACTGTTAGCCAGTTAGGTACAATGCACTTCACACGTGAGCTAGCTATAGACCTATTTTTATAGGCACATACAGGCCGACCGTTATCCATTGTTTATGTGCAGCCCATTCATGCAAACATCATTCCAAAAGTCATAGACACGGATCTGATCATGGCGACTTCATAATAAAATAATTAAATACAGGGTCTAAATATCTACTTACATGCAGATTTGGAAAATCATTTTGAAGATTTGATGGTTCATTCGGACTTGGCCCCAGACACATTCGCACCGCCATGATGAGATGGCTCGCGTCGATGTGGGCGTGTCTTTATAACTTTTTTAACCAATCACGTTGCTCAAAATGTTTCCCATAGCTGAATGGTTTGGGAATCGCAAATTAGGCAGCGTAGTTAATTGATCAGCTCAGCAGGATCAGGAGCTAGGAATATCATTTGTACACAGTGAATTCGCACTTTGCACTGATCACATGGGATTGTATTGTGCACTGTTTTACTTTGAAATCTAATAATACCAGTAAGTCTATAGGAAATGATTGACTGGTATTGTGGTAAATCAAATTTAATTGCAAATAAACAAAAACATAAAAATACGTGGCTGGCGCTATAGTCTAGCTAGACCTAGAGTACCTATATATAGAGAGTAGCGACAACTTGCGCATTGACGCCATTTTGTTTCACTCGCCCGGTCTACCGCGCGCGCGCAGTGCATGTATAAACTTTGAAGTGCATATACTGTGTTGTGTCGGCCACATTTCAAACACAACTGTGCGAGCCAGAAAGCAACTCGCGCTATTGTTTGTATTGTATCTCAACCCCCCCCCCCCCCCCCCCCCCGTATATGGAAAAGTGGGAGGGGGCTGTATGTCCATATACAAGCTAACCTTGCAGCCCCCAAACCAAAAGTTTTGCTGCTCATAAGAGGGGTGGGGGGGGGGGGGGGAGTTAATCAGCATGCAACCATAACCCACATCATAAAATAAAGACATCACTGGCAAAAACAATCCAACCCATCCCCCCTCCCTTTCCATAGACAATGCCCAAATCGCTCATAAAAATGAGATTTTTTTTTTTTTTAAATCCATGCACATCAATACCTTTACACACATTATAAACATATCCTCCCATACATCTGTTTACTCACAATTCCAGACACAGAAGTATACCACCCCCCCCCCTTCCTCGACACACACACACACACACACACAGCTCCGAGTATAAATTTCACACAAAGTAACTTTGAAATTGGGCAATTCATTTGTTTGTTGCTTTTTTTTTCTTCAATTTATTTCATGTCATAATACATATACATGTTCCTTCTCGAAAAGACATCCTTTTCAACAATACATAATGGGTATGGTATTAAGATAATGTAAGAAAAAAAGGGGGAGCAATGTAGACAATGATATATGTATTTCCCCATGAAAATCATGTCATATTATCCTTGCCCAGTGTCACAACTTTACCTGAACCTGCATGTACTTTAGTTCTACACGTAGTGATGATTCAATTTAAACTTAGAATAGAAAATCTGAATACCATTGCACATCTTCTTCAATTCCAGATACTGCACAACTTCTCCCATACCATTCCAGTATAGATATACATTGTGCCCTTTTTTTAAAAGCGGTATAAAAATATGCTCGCCCTGCATCAACTTGATTTTCTCCAGGCAAGCTCCAAACTCATGTCTACATGTACATCCCTGACATGACAAAACAACTTAAAAATTTGGAAATTCAGACATTATACAATGGGACTGTCAGGATCATCAATTACTAAAAATTTTACCAAACATAACAAACTGGAATGTGATGGGTATCATTATTTATCTGAAATGTACAATTCAACTTTGCTTAAACAAGCAAATGTACATAATCATGAATTATGCAACAAAACACATGGGCCTACTGCAATTTGCAAGCAACAGCGCAAAAAATGGGTCAATCTCTACTTGCTCAAGGAAATCTTCCATCATTGGAATGGTTATTTCACAAAATGAACAAACAGAAACAAGTCTATTTGGCCAGGCTTGAAATTGGAAACTAAGAACTTCAGTTTATGCCCAAGTACAGTACAGTGGGTTCTCATTATAACGAACTCCTTGGGACCAAGGAAATTACAGTTAACCTTGCATAACTCGAAGTCACATAAGTCAAACTTTCCCTAAGTCGAATCAAATTTTTTGACCAAACTATACAAAACATGTGTTATTTACATTTCCTATGTCAAATTTTGCATACATGTAAGTCAAACTATTTCTTGTGATCCCAACAGATTTGACTAATGCAAAGTTAACTGTACATCTTTATATCGAAACCTTGTTATATCAGGGCTAAAAAAGAGTAGAATACAAATAAGCAGGACCAGCAAAATTACCTTTTCATAATTAGAGTTTCTTTTAACAGTGCTCTTTTTAAGGAGGTTGTAGCATATTGTTCCCAAAATAAGTTGTGCTTTCTAAATGAAAAAAAAAGGTTCTACTGAATTTCTTTCATGGCAAAGAACTGGCAAATAAATATTACAAATATGATATATCTATCATCAAGTATTTAAAGGGAATGTGTCCACTGCAAACACCTTTACTGTATATTCTATGAATACCTTTAAAATGTTAAATACAAGAATAATTTTTGAGATACAGGGAAAAAAAAACCAACCATAAGTCTTTGTGAGAATAATTCCCTTACAACGCTTGAAAGTGCTTTTTTTTTGCTCTAAAAGTTAACAAAATGTGATCAGAATTGCAAAATATTTAGGATAGCACTATTAAAAGAACATTCTTTTCACATCAGAATGTCATTTTTCAACACTCCTTTTATTATCAGGATTTCTCTTACAGCAATTATAATGTAAAAAATTAAAGGTACAGATTTACATCCTCTTTGTATCAATACTCTCAGACTGTTCTTGGGAACAGATAATCAGAGTGATATCAATGACTTGTATCACAATATTTTTGCATACTTAAAAAAAAAGGAGTTTGTAGAAATATACATTTGTTTGATGTCACGGTCGCGGTAAGAATGATAGCGCTGCGCTGCGCGCGCTGCGGAGTGAAACAAAATGGCGCCAGGAGTCACGTGACCATCAAATTCCGGTCCCCCTATGTCGCTACTCTCTATATATAGGTACTCTAGCTAGACCTATATCTGTTTATTGTGAAGACGTGTCTAAATTTGTTGATACTCGTAAATCTGTGAAAGTGTGATGTGAGACTGAGAGTAAATCAAATTTAACTTGAGGTTCAAACTAGACTACAGTAAGTTCAAACCCTGACCAAAATATTTTTAATTCTTTGATTGGCTTCTTCCATTAGGGTGTCTTGGCAAGTGTTGCAGACTTGTAATAAATCCCATTAGGGCTTTTCATCTGTTTGTTAGCAAGTGCCTACACTCGTTCAGAGCTTCTTCTTTTTTATTGCAATGTGAACCTATTGTATCATTTGCTAACATACAAAATACCCCCACCCCCCTTGACACTAAAGATATTCATCAGATTAATACACACATGTATTCCCTTTGAAACAGGAGTTATTATATTATCAAATCAACCAAATTCTACCTCTGTAGTGTCATACGCGTGGACATGTATATGTAGGTGCTGGCCAAAACTGCCATGTCATTTCATATCGGGTAATGGTATTTAGTACGCCCTAAGTTACCAACAGCGCATGATACAAGCAGGCCTACAATGGATACAGGCCTACTCTTTAATGGAGTGAGAGAGAGAGAGAATAATCGAGATACATGTTTATATAGTGCATGAGTTATTTCAAATTTATTGCAAAAGATACATCCCACATTTTAGAACTTTTATTAAATGATTAGTATAACAGAGATGCCAACTTTTGGAAATCAGAAATAGGGAGGATTTGTAATCGACACCAATTAATGTGCGCGTAGCGCACATCTCGAGCGCGTAGCGCCCGACACATGCGGCCGGGGTCCAGGGCCCGCCTTAGGGCCCTGGAAGCTCTGGGGTTCTAGATGCTCTCTGGTGCAATCTGAGCCTTATTTTGGAGCATTTTACATGTGTATTTAGTTAAATAATTCCCCCTTTTTTTTTAAATAACATAAAAATTGTACAAAATGCATGATGAATTACTTTCAGACTTCCGATTACACAGGTACTTGATACTGTATTCGGTCTTATACTTCCGAGACCATTTCCTGGTCTTATTTTGCTGATTTTCCGCCATTTGGATTCTGTGGCAATATCCACGCATTGGTTACGGCGATCCATATGCTGAAACAATCTTTCGCTACTCTTAATTTGTCTTTTAACATAGTGGAATTATTACATGCTTAAGTTAGCAGATGATATTTCTCTTTCAATTCACAGATATATATACTGATAAGCGCCCTCCAAAAAAAATCATAATAAAAAAAAAAAAAAAAAAAAAAAAAAAAAAAAAAAAAATCATTTTTTTTTTTTTTTTTTTTTTTTAATAAATCGGGAGGATAAGGATGGTGATCGTAAGGTCGGGAGTTGGGGTGAATTATCGGGAGCCTCCCGATAAAATCGGGAGGGTTGGCATCTCTGGTATAAAAATAGAAATTGTCCACATACAACATATAATCATTGATCTGATAAAATTAAAATATAAAATTAACAGATAGTAAAGTATAGTAAAGTATAGTGACAATATATGCAAAGGTAACATTATATATACATATTACAGTTTCCATTCCTGTCTTTCAGCTCTGAATTAGATAAAATAAGTAGATACAATGTTAAAACACCAATTCAAAAATTTAAAAATATTAAATAATGTTCAACACTTAACATCGGTGTGCTATTCTATTTTTTTAAAATCAACCACAAAAGAAGTTCAAAGGAAATGAAACCAAAAAACACAAAACATTAGCTGATAATCCTATCCATTATTACTAGCCAGTCAAAAAAAATCTTGAGATTATTCATATTTGATTAACTGGAGAGGAAATATTATCTCCTAAGTTTGCATTTTCTTTTCTAGCCATTCTCCCATGGGAGTTGCCATCTTGATTTAAATATTGATGTCAGAGAGAGTAGTACATATCCATTGACCTGAAAATAATGGATGTGGTTTTGAATAGTATCTGGCTATTGTATAATCAAATTAATTGATACAAACAACAACCATCTTGTTATTCCTTTGAACAGTTAAATGTTTTGTCTTTGTCACTCTTTTGAATTATGAACAGAGCCTTGCCTGACAAACAACTTATGTATTCCTAATGTTGTTTAACAAAAGAAACTGCTCAAGTGTTCCAAACAACTGAACCAAATATCTTGTTACAGTATGTGATCAAAGAATATCCATTCATCTGAATGCATTAACAAAATGGTCTATTATTACGAAACAATTTTACAACTGCATTTAACAGGTGAGTGTCCTACATTGTAGCTAAAATACATGTCAGTGGGTATCTCACAAGATGTACTACTGTGACATAACTACTTCGATCAAAATGGCAGCTACCTAGAAAGAATGGCTAGCAAGGAACTGCAAACTTAGGAAATACTGTTTTCCTTGCTCAATCAAATACAAATAATTTCAAGTTATTTTTAAGTGACTTACAATTTTGAATAAGATTATCAGTTAATGTTTGTTTGGTTTCATTCTCCTTTAAATACATATGCATAAAGCCTCTGTAATATTTCATCCACAACTGTTGATTAAGTACTTGTAGAATAATCAATTTTTTACTAGAGTTCTGTCCATCAGCTGTCTCCTTGAATAAATAAATATTAGCACTTATTGTAAATTTTGTTATCAGGCTGCAATTGTTTACCATTACATGTAGAGTAATATATACAGTAATACAATTTATCAAAAATTTACATTTATTAAGATAAATTGCTTTGGGATAGTTTTGTTTAAGCATGTTTAGAGTACATCCATAAATCAGTAAATCAACATAAATAATCCCAATATATATTTGTAAACAGGGATGTAGAAGTATGCAAGTATAACTCATATAGTGATGAAATAATATACCTACATAATAATATAATAATAATATAAAGCACACAAGTTGCAATGCAAAAAGTGAAGCAGCATCTTGAAAAGTTTCAGGAGAATGTCATTTCAGTCCATGCACTTACGGAAGAGCAGCAGTGCAGATTGGTACCGTCAGTTTTTTACTGTGATGAACTAAATTGATTAATGACCAAATAAAAGTGAGGGAGAAAATATCTCTCTTGAATTCCATTACGATTCTTTAAAATTCTGTAATAAATATCGCTATTTCACCATTTCTAATTAAATTTCTTTCACCTCTAAATGTCTGGCTAATTGCACACTGTTAAAAGTCCTTTCTCCATTTCCATAACATTTTCAAAAAGAAATGATGGGGAAAAAATTAATTCTACTAGGATACTTTTAAAAATATGTTTATACATTTTGAGTCATAAGTAACTCAGAAAACTTTAGTTCAGTTGCACATAAAAAGTAAGTTGTAATTAATAAGAGTTCTGTTACATCTCTTCAAACAATATTAAAATATCTTTATATATTTTGAGTCATAATAACTCAGAAAACTTTAGTTTGCATATGAAAAGTCAGTTGTAATTTACAAGAGTTCCGTAACATCTCTTCAAACAATATTAATGCATTAATATAGTGCTTAGAGACTTTGTTGGTAAGCACTTTATAAGCACCATCTTTATTATTATTATTATCATATTAATGTGCATACCCTGCCCACATTGACTTCCATTAAGAATACAATTCATACAATAGTACTACTGTGCATTAAACCTGTCATATTCCACATCACCATTTGGTACTAAGAGTAATCACCTTTGAATAATTTGAGACGAGTTGTAACTTATTGAGTTTGTTATAGGTCAAAAGTGCCAAATACCTTCATTTTGACATCAATTGTTTATACCGGTACCTTTTTTGATAGTAGATTGCACACCACAAATAAAGACATTTAAAAGCAGCATTATATACAAATACAAATAAAGAACAGATGGCGCAGTACATAACATTGTGCACCTTGAGGCAGTTTCATTTTGTAATTACCCAAAGAAGTCTACTAAAACTACTTTTATCAGGCTTTTTCAAAACCCTGTACAACACTAATTCATTAAGACACTTCAGTATTTTGTTTGGAAGAACAGACATCTCTTTGGTCAAAAATTACTGTTTAAGGTTTGAAAGCTTTTGTATCACATCCAAAAGGATCAGACATCTTCCTCAGACACAAATTAGCAGGCGTCTGAGGGAGATGTCTTAGCTCTAGACATTGAAACTGTTGCAGGTAATTTTCACTTTTGAATGCGATACAAGAACTTTTTAACCATTATTACAACGATTCTGATAAAACTCTTTCACACTTTACTGTTGAAGGCAGTAGAGGATTTGAAATATCCAGTTCTGACAGAGAGAATTGAATACCGGAAGTAGAAAATTTGGTAGAAACTCTGAGCGACAAATTGTCCCTGACTAGTATGAGTCTGTGAACATTGATCCATTGCATGTACAAAAAGTATTATGAATGACAGGAGAAGCCAAAAGTAGAGTGAAAAATAGAGAAAGGGTTTTTAAGACCCAATATGTACAATCTAATTAAGATGTTAGAAGCCTTAATTAAACATTGCCATGTATAAAATACCAATAAACAGGAGAAGCAAGTCAAGAACTTTGCCCGGTAAAAATAACCAATGCAGAAACACCTTGTATAAAGACAAGAATTTGTCTTTTTATACCTTCGTTATAATAAAGCACAGCAGAAAAACATCTGTAGTGTAATACTGTCTTTAACCCTGCAAAATAACCAATGCAGATATATCTTGAGTAAAGACAAGAAATCGTCTTTTCATACCTTTTTTATAATGAGGCAAAGCAGATAAACATCTTTAACCCTGCAAAATAACCAATGCAGATATATCTTGAGTAAAGACAAGAAATCGTCTTTTCATACCATTTTTAAAATGAGGCAAAGCAGATAAACATCTTTAACCCTGCAAAATAACCAATGCAGATATATCTTGAGTAAAGACAAGAAATCGTCTTTTCATACCTTTTTTATAATGAGGCAAAGCAGATAAACATCTTTAACCCTGCAAAATAACCAATGCAGATATATCTTGAGTAAAGACAAGAAATCGTCTTTTCATACCTTTTTTATAATGAGGCAAAGCAGATAAACATCTTTAACCCTGCAAAATAACCAATGCAGATATATCTTGAGTAAAGACAAGAAATCGTCTTTTCATACCTTTTTTATAATGAGGCAAAGCAGATAAACATCTTTAACCCTGCAAAATACCCAATGCAGATATATCTTGAGTAAAGACAAGAAATCGTCTTTTCATACCTTTTTTTATAATGAGGCAAAGCAGATAAACATCTTTAACCCTGCAAAATAACCAATGCAGATATATCTTGAGTAAAGACAAGAAATCGTCTTTTCATACCTTTTTTTATAATGAGGCAAAGCAGATAAACATCTTTAACCCTGCAAAATAACCAATGCAGATATATCTTGAGTAAAGACAAGAAATCGTCTTTTCATATCTTTTTTTATAATGAGGCAAAGCAGATAAACATCTTTAACCCTGCAAAATAACCAATGCAGATATATCTCGAGTAAAGACAAGAAATCGTCTGTTCATACCTTTTTTATAATGAGGCTGGGCAGATAAACATCTGTATTACTATCTTTAACCCTGCAAAATAACCAATGCAGAAATACCTCGTATAAAGACAAGAAATTGTCTTTTCATAACTTTTTTATAATACAGCAAAGCAGATGAACATCTGTAATACTATCTTTAACCCTGCAAAATAACCAGTGCAGAAATACCATGTATAGAGTCAAGAAATTTCACCATGCCTAAAACCCCAGCAATTATGCACTCCTTTCATTTTGTATTGTCCATGTGACAATTTTGTTATGTTTATTACAGATATATAGACTGCAAAAAGACAAGTGATGATTAGATTCTTTGAATAACCAATCTTCAACATGTATGTCAAATAAAAGAAAATCCACATACCGGTAGGATAATGAAAGAAATGATATAAACAAATAACTGTTTGAGGCAAGCAGAGAGTTAACATTTCAATGACTAGGTAAACAAAGCCGGAAGTACTTGGCTTGTGAACATACATAATAAGTATGAAAATATTCTGAAGAGGAAGCCAATACCAAAACAAATGTTAGGTGATAACTTCAGCCCTGCACAAAACCAGCGGCTTTACTTAAGTTCCCCTTTGCCTAATAAAGCTGTTTCATCGTCCGTCTCATTGTTGTGGCTTAGCACCGCCGTTCCGATGTCGTTATCGCTGGTGAATGCCACAGAGCCTCTGTAGTTTCCATCATGCGTGTCTTCGCCAGTGCTTGACATAGCATTGTAGCTAATGGTTGTAATGGGTGTCTTGGGATCACTATTGAAAAAGAGATGGGTACCTGGAGTATTGCTGGGTGGACGTGAAGCACCGCGGTATCGAAGAGTTAGGAGGTTGATGGTGATGAGGATGATTATGACACCTACCCACTGCAAAACAACATGTACAGAGTTAAAACCTTCAATTGTTATGTTGCTGTGTACAGGGTGTTAAAGCCATCATGATAAGATTGAGAATGCCTAACCCCTGTTAAAGGTTATACAAAGTTTTGGTATGGGGTCATGAATTTGGTTCAAATAAACATATTGGAAGCATGTGCGATCCTACAATATTCAGTGATCGTTTTCGCGGTTGAAATTGAGTCTAAAATGATGAAATTGTAAATAATAAACTCTTTATGATGTATAGCTCCCTCTCAAGATCAAGCTATTAATTTAACTAAATACAATGTTTCTTGACTAAAGTCGACCGATTGGCTATTCCTATTTGGAAATTATATATCAGAACTGCATATTCCGAGATTTTCATGGTCACAGCTACCATGGAATGGCCTTAGGCGCTATTTGAAATACTTGAAATTTACCGGGAGCACCAGTAAATTTTGTATTATTCAATTTCTCGAAAGCAGAAGTGTTTTAGGGGCTACATTTTCTAGTGCTTATAATACATCCAAATATCACAATTTTAAAGAATTACTATCCATCCAATTTAAAAAATTTCCCAAAACTTTTTTGATTTCATTTAAAGTCTTCATGATAAGAATGAGAATGCCTAACCCCTGTTAACCATTTGACTACTGAATCAGTTCATCACAGAGAACTTTTTGTCACATGATTTTTTTTATTTAGTCTGTAAACTATGATTTTGCCCCATTTGTTAATACGTGTATATTGTTTATAAAATATCTCTTTGGAAAATGTATATAGACAAACATATTATCAACAAGTTAATTACTTTGAGTATATATTGCTCGCTATCTAGAAACTCTGAAATGGCATTGCATCATAGCCTTCAAACATTAAAACATTTAGGGTTCCAGCAGAAATGTTCATGTTTTGGTGATTTCAAATGATTGAAAATGTCTATATTCAAGTGAGAGAATGGGAACCCCCATTTAATTAAAATTGTCTTACCTGTACTATGGTTGACATGAAGCTCTCTGGAAGAAACTTGTACCAGTCTTCTGGACTCTCAGATATAGTGTTGTATGCCCACCAGATTATCAACACCACTGCTTCGATCGGTGCAATAAACCTGAAGAGTACATTGATAGCATCAAAAATACAGAAGGAGTTTGATTATGATTGTAATGATTATGACAGTAATGAGACAATTATTACTGCCACTGCAGATGCTAGTGCTACTTCTTCTATAATATGTGAAGGCACAATATACTACTAAACCACTTTTCTTCTTCTTCTCCTTCTTCCTCTATAATTCTCGATCTTTCTTTCTTCTTTTTATTTGCTCATCCATCTCCTTTTACTACTACTCCTTTTCATTATGTTCCTGCTCCTCTTCTTCTTACCCCCTCCCAATTTTTTTCTTCATTTTTTCTTCTACTCTTCCTTCTCTTCTTCTTCCTACCACTTCTGCTTTTTTCTGCTTTCTTTGCCTCCTCCTTCTTTTCCTTCTCATCCTCCTCCTCCTCCTTCATATTCTTCTCCTATTCCTCCTACCTCTTCTTCTTCTTCTTCTTATCCTCTATCTCCTCCTCCACCTTCTCTTTAGGTATTCATATCAATCACATTTAAAGAACTCTTGATACATTGCTTTTTGAGGCTTGCCAAAGCTATGAGTATAGTATTAGTATTAGCTATAGTAATCTACCACGATTGAAAATAACTCACATAACGATCCAGTCCCAGATAGCGTACAGATGCCAGTCGTTGAGGCTGTACTCATTAAACATCTTCCGACGGAAAGTAGAAGGTCTCACCCTTATGACAAGGTAGAGGAACATGAGACCGGCTATGAGAAGACCAAAACCCCAGACAAAGTCCTGTAGTGAAAAAAATCACCAAGGAAAACAATATAACATTTGTTGTATTAAACTGATTTTTGGTTATATTGATAAGGTTTTTTGATAAAAATTGAAAGTCACAGCTAAAAGCTGACACATCTTGAATTTACGAATAAAACTGCAACATTTAAAATAAATGCAAACAGTACAATGTAAAATAGGCAAATATGAAAACAATGTAAAATAGCAAATATGAAATTAAAACATTCATTAATTAAATTGATATGGTAAAAGGAAAAGAAAAGAAGCAAAATAAGAAGGAGGATAAAACAAAAAAAGTAGTATATTATATGTATTTTTCTGCCACAAGTCAAGATTATAGGCTTGTTATCAGTCAACACTGGAGGCATGAAATTCACTGCTGACTTCTGGGCAGTGTAGCGAAAAACATTGACCATGCAAGGAAGCTAATGCCCACACTTGCCTGCATTTTGATTTGTGCATAGACACATACTCTTGCGTGGCAATGCGGGAAGTTTTTGTGGTAGAGTGCGAGAGGATGCGGGGCCATGCGTGAAATGCGTGACAGGATTTTCAAAATGTTTGAAATTTTGGCACAACAATTTTGTTTGGCAACGTTCGTGAACTATGCGCACCCTACAGTATGCGCTACCTAGTCGTGCCAGTGCGCGCCGATGCACGTGTCCCTTGCCCTAGTGGCACGCATGTAAAAGTATTGATGACTGCTTTAATATTCGAGAAATAGTTGTTTTTATACGCTCTCGGGAAGGTCACAATTGGGCTATTGCCCTTGGCACGCCTCGGGGCAATAGCACAATTTTAACCTTCCCTTGAGCGTATAAAAACAACTATTTCTCTCAAAGCAGTCATTAATACTATAATATATCAGGAGAGGAGCTTGTCCATTTAGAAAAAGTGAAAGGTGTTCTGTTGATGACTACATAAAAAATGTCAGTAAACAGTTGATGACGTCGATAGCTTTTCTCGGTACAAATATAATAAATGGTACCGTCAATCAATATTAATCCCTCTAACTTGGAAAGGTATATTTGAATATGTGACATAATACTTGTTTAAAACAATTGTTTAACACAATAAGTGGATAATGCATTCCTATTTGTATGCCCTTTCTTCACTTGTTTGATTGTATAAATATGGAAAAATGCAAAAATTCAAATAAATTTGCATTTGATTAAAAATGAATTGTTACACTCATGCAAACAATTATAGACCAGACTTACCTGATTAATGAGGAAGTGGAGATCTAAAGCGGATCCAAGTCCAAGTAGAAATATAGTCAGAGCACAGAGAACTGTTGCTATTTTTCTATTAACTGCAATAATATAAAAAGAGGAACAGAATATAGATCTAGCACAGATTTGTATGATGGGATAAGCAAGAAAAAAAATGACCAAGGGAGAATTACAAGTTGCTTTATACAAATAAATCTCCATAAACGTTTCCTTCCAGTGTAATTTTCATCAGCATAATAAAACGAGTTCCTATTAATGAATTTCTTCTGTCGAAAGAAAAGCAGAAAATTTCAAAAGAAATTGTCCAAATTACTCTTTCGTATAATTAATAAAGCATACAATTTACAATGAAATCAAACTTCAAGTCATATATGAATTTTGAATTTGAAAATGTTCCACCTTTTGGCATCAAGATCACTCAGTGCTTAATACACAGTACCTAATGCCTGAACCTCCTCCAAATTTAGCTCTGAGCTTGTTAGACCAAGCAAAAGCAAAACGATATTAAACATGGAGTCATACATTAAAGGTAATACAAAGTTTTGGGAAATTTTGAAAATTGGGTGGATAGTGAATCTTTACAATTCCAATCTTTATATATTTGGATGCCCCTGTGGATGTATTATAAGCACTAAAAAAATAACCCATAAAACACTTCTGTTTTCGAGAAAAATTTAATATAAAAATTTACCGGTGCTCCCGGTAAATTTTGATAAATCTAAAATAGCTCCTACGGCCGTACAATGGTAGCTGCGACCATGAAAATCTCAGAATATGTAGTTGTGATATATAATTTCCAAACGGAAATAGCTAATCGGTCGATTTTAGTCAAGAAACATCGTTTCATAGCTAAATTGATATCTTGACCTTGAGAGAGAGCTATACAACATAAAGAGTTTATTATATAATTTCATAACTTTAGACTTGATTTCAACCGGGACAACGTTCAATGAATATTGTAGGAACGCATATGCTTCCAATATTTTAATTTGAACCAAATTCATGACCCCATACCAAAACTTTGTAATACCTTTAAGTCTTGGGATAATACACTTCATTCTTGATAAAAGGAATTTAGAAAAAAATCCTTGTGTCTGGATTCCTGATGGCTAATCATAAGCTACTCACGTCCGAAATCTTCGACAATCTTGACCTGGAGTTCAATGTTAGCTGTGAGAGAGCTTAATCCAGCAAACACTATAGCTAGGAAGAAGATGATGCACACAAAACGCCCTCCTTTCCCCATCTCATTGAAGAAAATTGGGAACCTATGGTGAAAAGGAAAGATGTAAAAATTCATTCTTAGATTTAAAAATCTAATGAGAATGAAATCACATTTATCAATTGCGTAAAATTAGAAGACACAAAGAAATGTGAGATTTTATGACATTGTGGGGGTATTGAAATTACCGTACACGGCGTACAGATATTGAATCTTCTAAACAGGAGAGCATAGCTAAAGAAAAACAACAATAGAGGTTTTGTGAAGGTGGCATTTGTAGTTCGGGACAAAAAACCCTCAGAAAACACATGTTTATTGTAGAGTGAACTTACATAACTTTAAAAACTAAATAGCTTTCAGCAGGCTTTATTCAAATGAGTTTAATCTACAAAATATTATTTTCCTACCATTCTTTCCAGTACAGTCTAAGCTATGTTATGGCATGCTTCACCAAAATTTACCCAAAATCGAGATCTTAATATTTTGCCTGCCATTCATACCATTTCAAAAGACCACAGACAAATACAGTAATATCAGTAATACATGATAAAGTGAAACATACATTGGATCACTTTTTTTTTTATACTTACCAAATAAATGTTAGGCCTGTATTTGCTGGTCCGTTCTCGGAAAGCAAGTCCACTATTTCAGTTTGGTTGAGATTAGGACTTTGAGTTGAAAAGACAGTTGCATATGTCAACATACCACACAACAAACTGCAAGAAAGAGAAAACATGGAGGTAAACATAAAAGCGATCGTTATGAAGTCAGTCATTACTAACCAATCAAAAAGTGGAGGGCAGGCAGAAGGATATACACTATGAACATGGCAGACAAAGAAAGCGGACAAAATATACAGTTCCTCGTTCTACCCTTATCAATTGCTGTGGTAGACAAAGGAACATCCCTTCACTGCCATTATTTAAAAATGTGTAGAACAGGTGTCACATGCATGTTCACCTGTTCTACACATTTTTACATAATAGCAGTGAAGGGATGTTCCTTTGTCTACCATAGCAATTGTTGAGGGTAGAATGAGGAACTGTATATTTTGTCCGCTTTCTTTGTCCGTCATGTTCATAGTGATAGAACATGTGGATGCCATAAAGCAAATTTCTGGTAACTCGAATTGCTCTATAAATTGCTTTACAATCTGCTTTTAAATGACATAAATATCTCTCTTTCAAATTGACCAATAAAAAGTGAAAATGGATGGTAACTAACTAGTACCTGTACCTAATTTCATAAGTTTTGTACCTAGTAAGTACATACATGTACTTCTTAAGGGTCTTTTAATGCTAACAACTCTTAATGAAAAAGTCAAGAAAATAGTGCCTTGAATAACAGTACAGTTTGAAGAGTCACACGAATGCTGGGAAATGGGAAAGATTGACTAAATAACTATAACCCAAAGGTCATCTCTTGTATTAATCCATGTGACTTTACATAAATGAAATAACATAAAATAGTGAAATACGAATTGCCGGTGACTATTTACCTGACTATATTATTTCCGATTGGAATGAGGGTGCCATATTTAACTATGCCGGTTTCAGCTGTCATGTAGGCAGAGTAGGAGACGAAGAGACCAGATCCTGCTCCTGTGTCGAAAGCATTCTGGCTGACAGCATCCACCCACATCCTAGGGTTGCGGAATTGTACTGTATAACAGACAAATAGAGAAAAAAATAGTCAGGGGAGTTACTTTAATGGCTGTTTCAAAGGAAGTAGAGATAACAGATTAATGATCATAGATGTATCTTTTACACATTGAGAGTTAAAGCCAATTAAAAAATGGTATGTTTTATGTATACATGTGTAAGATGATAGCAAGCACATGAAAGCCCATCAAAGATGGATACTGGCACTTTTAAACTGAAGCTATTACCATCATCATCATAATCATTCTCATCATCATCATCAATATCAAAGAAAATATCAGAAAATAATTGAAAACATGGGCCTTACGAAGGAAAGTATTACAGAGTATGGATGTCTATTTAACAATGTCGTACACATTATAAAAACATTTAGAAAGCAATGTTTCATCAAAGACAAGTCTATCGGATACACTGGTATACAAATGACACTCGAGGATCTAGCTGAAACTATTCAGTGCGAATAGTTTTAGCTTGTTCCAAGAATGAGTCATTTTATATTTGTTTTATATCCCTTCCATTTGTATTATTCCTTGTACACTTCTGTATTACATGAACCTTATACTAACATTCACGTCTACATTCAGATCGAAAAGAAATAAAGAAAATTCCACGGCTCAATTGAAACATTGAAGGATGTAAAATAATTATGTTTAGCTGGCGCTAGTGTAGTGCAGTTATCCCACAGCGTAAATTGCATTATGGCTTGAGCGCCGTGACACTGCGAGAGTGGACAGCGCGGAGGCATTTGAAATCATGTACGCGCTCGCTTAGAAAACGTATAGTTCAGGAATATGCGTTTTTTATTGTGACGTCACGCATAGTACCTTTTTTCCCTAGGGAAAAAAGGTACTCTGCGTGACGTCATCAATAAAAAATGAACTATTCCGATCTAGTCGGCAGGAAACATCTTTCACAGTAAAACTATTCTTTTTCTTGTTGTGTACACACCTAATGCAACAATCTTACGATTAGGGATATAATAATCAATATACGATGCTATACCCACCCCTTACTATAAACCTTCATTGTAAATTGTAAACTAAGATACTATTGTAAGTAACCCAAGCCAGGAGCTAATATCAGATAATAATAGTCACATCTATATAGCGCTTAATACTATGTTTTTAATGCTTTACATTGTAATTATATTTTTCCTTTGTCATTGGATTCAATTGGTAATCCACACATGAGAGTGCACATGTTCTGCTCCCTGGGCAGTATTCTGGAAAGGTGCCATTTTACAAGCGCACACATGCCAATCCAACCACCATGAACATTTGCAACGAACCAGGTACCCATTTAACACCTGGGTAGAGAGCGGCTAATGTAGATTAATGTCTTGCCAAAGGACATCAGTGCTGTGGTGGGACTTGAACCGGGAACCTTGTGACCCCAGTCCGGTGATGTAACCACTAGATCACGACACCTCTACCAGCCTAGTCAACTTGAACGGGACATAAGGCCTGAAGAAAAAAAAGATGTTGTATTGCCCTTTGCGACGACCCAAAAACATCGAAATCTACAGTCAGCTTTAAAAAATTAAATTGTTTTACCATTTTTTAGCGAAAAATTATTAAAGCATCCAAAACTTAGAAATATCAGCCCAAAGAGGAGGAAGAATGAAGAAAAAAAAAGAAGAAGATTTCCGACCGACCGACCCATGTTTTGGCACCTAAATGGCAATACAACATCTTTTTGTTTAGGCCTAACTGCTAGTATGATGAAAAAGACAGTATGAAGATGAGGGTATTCCTCTACTCTAAGACTAACCCCAATCAGGCGTGAACAAGAATTGGATGCCGTCACTCGCGTTGGGCAACGTCAAACTCCAGATGAAGCAGATGAGGAGGAGGAGGAGGAAGATGGATACGATGATTGAACTGACCACCTCAATGCTTTTGACCCCCCACAGGACGGTAAGTGCTGCTAACACGATGGCAATGGTATGAAACAGTACTGGCATGGCGGATTCCTGGTGAGAGAAAAAATGAAGTATGGTTAGAAAAGGCAGAAAGAGAGAGAGGAACATAGAGGCAGGCAGGCAGAGAGAGAGAGAAAGAGGATGAACGACAGATAGAGAGAGTAAATGGAAAAACAAGAAAGAAAGTAAGATGTGAAGGAAAGAGAGACAGAGAAAGAGAATAAAAGGGAGAGAAAAGGAGCATAGTAGAGAGAGAACTTAGGTTTGAACTTGAATAGTCAATAGGGGAGCAGATGGGAAGGGAATGATAAAGAGAAAGCAACCTCAAAGAAAAGATAGGACTAATAGGAGATCTACATGTATAATAATAATACAAGAGAAGAAAAAAAAAGAGTCTGAGTGGCACAACATACATGTTACAAAAAGGAATGCGATGACTAGTATCATTCACAGTTTGAAGAGTAAATGGTGTGTTGAGAGCAACACACATTGCTATCAGCTACATACACATGTATATACTTGCTCTCTTTACAATATAGTACAAGGTCTTCTACTTCAACTTGGCTATGAAAACAAAAGGTATGATGGTAAGCTTACAGAATGAACATACATGTGTCTATTTCTAATGCTCAAATCATGAACAATAACAATGAACTTTATGAACCTTATGAATCTTAGAACTGCTCTATACATGCACCTACAATTCCATCCAAAACAATACAAACATGAAATACATGCACAGCTTATAGAATTGTATTAGAGGTAATACAAAGCAGGAAGAAGCAAATGAAAGAGAAGGGTAAATAAGGAGGGAGTATATGAACGGGATAGGGAGATAGATAGAGAGATAGATACCGGTAGATGGAGAGAGAGAGAGAGAGAGAGAGAGAGAGAGAACAACACAAAAAAAAGAAAAAGACAGAGAGAGAGAAATACACGCACAGCTTATAGAATTGTATTAGAGGTAATACAAAGCAGGAAGAAGCAAATGAAAAAGAAGGGGAAATAAGGAGGGAGTATATGAAAGGGAGAGGGAGATAGATAGAGAGATAGATACCAGTAGATGGATAGAGAGAGAGAGAGAGAGAGAGAGAGAGAGAGAGAGAGAACAACAAAAAAAGAAAAAGACAGAGAGAGAGAGAGAGAGGAAGAGAGAAAGAGGAAGAGAGTTGACGGTGTAGGTGTGGACAGAATAATGACAGTGGGTATGGAGAGTGATAAAAAGAAAAAGAGAGGGAGAGAGAGAGAGAGAGAGGGAGAGAGAGAGAGAGAGAGAGAGAGAGGGAGAGAGAGAGAGAGAGAGAGGGGGGAGAGAGAGAGGGAGAGAGAGAGAGAGAAGAGGGGAGAGAGGGGGAGAGAGGCATAAAGAGGGAAATGTGTGAGACAAGAGAGAAGCCAGGAAAGAGGAAATATATAAAGAATGTAAAGGGAATATAGAATGAAAGAAAGGTGAAATAGAAGAACGGTAATGAATGGAATGAGCAAGAGGGAAGAAGGAATAGGAAAAGGGAAACGGGATAAGTGAAGCATGAATAGTGAGAAAGAGAGAGAGAAGATGTAAAACTTGAAAATGGGAAATTGGAGAAGCGAGAGAGAGAGAGGAGCATGGAAAGAATGTACACAAAAAGTGGAGGGAAAGACAGAGAAAAGGGTGGTAAATACATGTACACATACATAAAATGCGAACTCATAAAAGTTCTTGCTCTTGTTATACATTTAAAATACAATGAAGTTCTCAATGCTAACAAACCAATTGTCAAGCCCTATATATTACACTTAACAGCCTACTATAAACATCAAGTACTTGGTAAATAATGATATCTGTACTTTACACATCTATATCCCATTTATCTACATGCGTGACTGGCAACAAAACAAATGATGAAAATGAAGATAACACTTATGTATATAGAACATCTACAAAAACATGTGATACATGGACGTTCAAGGATGTTCAAGACCCAACTCCATTTTCAATGAGTAAGATTTAGTCAAATGTTAATTTCTTTAAGTGCATTTACATAAAGGGTTTAAGAACAAATTAGTTATTAACCACCTCAAATATCTAATACTTGTATTTCTCTTGTCAATTCTAGTTTCTAATTTCCACTATACCCAGGGGGCAAGACAGGTTCTTGAGACATGGAATGTTGTGGATTTCTCCTTTGGGAATTCCATGATGTTCTATATTTTAAAGATCTGGAATGTGAAATGAACCTTGTCCATAAAGTACATTTAGCAATGTATCATCATCAACTGACATGCTGTCACAGACATTCTGTACCAGCAAACATGTATTTAGCCATTATGGTAACTTCCACGGAAACCTTGATTTGATTGGATGTTGCATTGGTACAATTTTGATGGCAAAGTTACCATCAGTGGTAAGTTTTATGAAACAGGGTCTAGAGATGCTGCCATCACATGAAAATAACAAATTATTCTACCTTTAGATGCCCCCCTCCCCCTCCTCCTCCCCTGATCCTTTGCAAAAATTAATTATCAAGAAATGAATTCAACAATGGTGTTCATATTCATGCAGTAATATCAAATACAGGTGACACGACATTTGCTCCTGCGACAATTGCTCCGGGCTTTATTTCGTCTAAGATGTAGGGTTAGGGTTAGGGTTTCAATAGGGTTTTATGTTAGGTTTAGGGTTAGGTTTAGGGTAGGGTATAGTGTTGAATCCAGGGTTGAAGTTAGCCATTCGATTAGTGTATGAAATTTACAGCGGAGCAATTGTCGCCGGAGAAAATGTCATGGAATCCAAATACAACCACTTGAGCCAGATACACATACAACACATCACATTACCACACTACACATTCATAAATGACAGTCATTATAATAGCGCATGTTCTTTACCAGTGCTGGAAAATTCGTCCTAACTGTGGAAACTGGACCAGAAACAGAATTAATGTGTTTTCATTATAACATAAGTAGTCAAATTCAAGTTATTATCCTCAAACATACTACCGTGTGAGTAAAAAAAAAGTTTACACCTAGAAAATTGCTAATTATTTTAAAAATCGTCTATGAACAGTAAATTAATATACATCTTATGAAAGAGTGTTTTATCCCGAATCATTTGGTATCATTTTTGTGTGGTATATATTCACGCTTGGATGAACAGGAGGCATTGTTTACGAGAGTGCAAAAATCGACTTGCGCCAAAGTGATGCCTACAGTATGTATTATGTTGGGATTAGTGGAGTGAGATAATGAATTGAATGTTTCAAATGAAATGCACTGCATATGCTTTTTGCAGAAGCAAAGTCACACACACACTCACACGCGCTCACAAAATGTTCGTTGATATTCAATATTTGATAAGTGTGGCATGATTAATTTTGTTAGGGATGTTGTTTGGATCTGCAAAGACCGAATTAATACCCGAACCACAATTGTTTTATTCCAACATCACATAAGCAACTTTGGCGCAAGTCAAATTTTGCACCTACGCAAACAATGCCTCCTCTTCATCCAAGCCTGAATATATACCACACAAAAAAGATACCAAATGATTCTTTCATAAGATGTTTAATAATTTACTGTTAATAGATGATTTTTGAAATAATTAGCAATTTTCTAGGTGTAAACTTTTTTGTGACTCACACTGTATATCACACTGAACCAATATGGCAGACTGAAATCTACATGGTATAAACATGTACCGGTACTGCATATTAAAATCGAAAGATATTTTCACATGCTACTTACTTCATCAATTTATTTCATCAATATACTGATTGCCAGTTTGTTATTTATTCCTTTTAGAATCAGATCATAATTTTTTTTTTTCATATTGTTTGCTGAGAGCCAGAAGGGCAAGAATGCTGGAGCACCAACATATCATTTGCCATCGTTCCAGCTCTCAGCCAATGGTTTTATCTGTTAGAACAAACCAAAAGCTTTACACAGAATCTACATGTATATTATGACCTTAGATAGGTGTCAACAATGTTATCATATGACAAGTTCAGCTTGCCAACAAATGTAAAGTCATGTGCTGGGATAGTAGTTCATGGACTTTTCTGCTTTAAAGGAAGCATTCGTTTCCTTTGAAAAGGAAAACAGTAAAAATGAAATTGAATAATAACAATCTTTTTGAATAAAGAATATCAGTTCATTTCACAGCATACACAGGCACACCCAGAGGTACAGGGAAGGATTGAATAGGGCACAGCCACACAGAGCAAAGTACAAAGTATTCCTAAATTTCTAATCTTTATTGGTCTACTCTTTGGTAGTGTCACACGATGCATGGTAGGTAGCCTAGGCACTACACTGTATATGAATTCATTTATTAACAGGATTTCCCTTTATTGTGCAATTACTGCAGAACTTCCTGTCAGATGTAGTCAATTTCAATTTTTTTTTAATGAGCCTTACTGACATCCGAAATAAATCTCAAAACCCCTTTTATGAGAAATATTAGTTTAAGATAGAATGACTAAAATTGGCTGATCAAAGAAAATTCCAAAATTGCACCATACAATATACACGCATTGAAAAATAATAAATAAGTAAATCAATCAAATTGATTAATCAATAAAATAAAAAATTAAATGTTGTATAGATGTTATAAAGGAGAAATGCATTCAGTCCCTTTTATGCTGCACTCTTATATTCTATTCTCATCAACTTATTAGTACATCTGAAATTTGCAAAGCTTTGACTTATGCTTGATAAAAAAAGTTTAGAATTTAAAATGGTAAAAAATTGACAATTCCCTTCCAGCAAATACAAATAATAATAATGCAGTTTTGCTGACATTTCCTACTTTGGTTCTGCTGCCCTACAAATCGATACTCACATTTGCAAAGCTTTGAAAGGTTGAGCTACTTGCAGCATAGTCTTCTGGAAGAGCATGGCCTATGTAATAGAAGAGATAATAGATGCACCAGCCCACTATCACAGAGTAGTACCCACTGTACATCAGGAGATTTGGGATTGGGGGTGAAATGGAAGAAAGAGAAATGAGCAATGAATAAAACCATGGTACTATGACAAGGAATTGAAATACAGTGCATATGAAGACCACTAATTGAGACGAGAAATCCGATCTAATCTGATAGTACCTTTAAGATGACCTGAAAATAGATAAAGCCAGTTGCATGACTAACCTTTTTTTTTTAATAAACAGGTAATGGGGGAAGGGGGTGGGGGAGAGAGAGTTTCATATCAACTTCAAAGCAAAGTAATGTATGTACAAAATTTGATCGGAATTTACTTTCTTTTTCTCTTATTTTTTCTTCTTCTGCGTGAGTGTGCGTTTGTGGGTGGGGGGATGTATGTACCCCTGTGCATCCCGGAAGTACATGTACCTATTTCAAATTGCTTACAATTAGTCACAGCTTTTTTGTCTTTCCCAATTAGAATCATGAACAGACATTTTTGGTAGTTTTTCAGTCTCATCAGCGCCTTTGATTAGGCAACTACATGTAGATATTGGCGCTTTATAAATTCCTGGATTGGATTGGATTGGATTGGATTGGATTGGATTGGATATCTTGAGGCTTGCAATGTACATTATAAGTCAGTCGAATGTAATAAATTCTGACCTTATTCCTACGCTGATGACTCCGATCCAGCCTCCTGCCCAGGCACTTTTAGGCCCTGCTAACTCCTGAAATGAGGCTATGGTGGCCTTCTTGGTGTAGCGTCCTGTACCATACTCGATCAAGATTATTGGTATGGACCAGAAAAACAGGAACAATAACCAAACCAGCAGAAACTGCAGACAACCTGAGGGGAGGAAAAGAGAGAAAATGACTGGTTACTATTTGGTTTGGTTTGGTTTGGTTTGGTTTGGTTTGGTTTGTTTTTTTGTTTTTCTGTTTTGTTTGGGGGGAGGGGGATTATTATTTTTTTAATATTATTTCCATGCTATCAAATGCAGTTTAGTTTTGAAGATGATAGAAAGAACTTCTACATATACTTCAGGGATTGATCCTGTACCACACTCTCTAACTAATCGGTATTGAACATTTAATATCAAATGAAATATATTTTACAATCTATCTCATTCTTTTGGATCATCACAGCATGCAGAAATATCCAACTGCTATGCCACCTACCAGTAACCCTAGATTTACATGTGCATTGTATGTAGGTTAATATCTTTATTTACTCTTCCATTCTGGGTACAATCATCATTTAACAAGTGTGTCTGTGCTGGTGATAAGCCAGAGTACACAAACCAATTCTCTCCATTGTGTTCATGTGTACACAAATCTGTAGACTCAATAGCTTTTTTGAATGACTCCACTCATTGATGGCACATTCTTTATGTAGATACAAGGCCTGTTAACAGATAATGGATGACTTGCAATTTCTTCTCACTATGAACATGACGAACAAAGAAAGCGGACAAAATATACAGTTCCTCGGGTAGACAAAGGAACATCCTTTCACTGCTATTATGTAAAAAGGTGAATATGCATGTGACACCTGTTCTACACATTTTCACATAATAGCAGTGAAGGGATGTTCCTTTGTCTACCTGAGGAACTGTATATTTTGTCCGTTTTCTTTGTCAGTCATATTCATAGCGTCTACAAGTTGATGGTTTTAACTATTGAACGATCTTTGCTTGAAGTCTCCGATATATCACAGTACCATGACCATACATTTGTATAACCTTGTATTTGTTATTTGAACGCAGAAATAAAATCAATCAAACAAACAAATATACGTCCCTTAACGAAAAGGCAGGCCTGCTTCTAGCCTGCATCAAGCCTGCTTAGCTGCTAAAAAGCAGGCTAATTCCTTAGCAAGCACTGACCTGCAAAAACGCCGAAATATGCAAATTAGGCAGGCTTAATTTAGCCTGTACATTTTAAAAGCAGGCTTATTTTAGCCTGCAAAATCATTTTAACCTGCTCAATTAGCCTGCAAAATTGCCCTGCTTTTTTAGTATGCAAATTAACCTGCTTTGTTAGCCTGCAAAAACGCTGAAATATGTAAGTTATGCAGGTTAATTTTAGCATGCTAATCTAAAATGCAGGCTAACAAAAATGAAAATATTTGATTGCCATCACTATCAGTACAAGACTTCTATTGGTATATCGACTCGGTAGAGGAACGAGGGATAAATTGATACATCATAATCAATATTTGCAAGTGTCCACCAATAGGAATATTCTAATCTCAATTGCATTTAGACTAACTCCATCACAAAGATCATTTGAAGTTAATACAAGATTGACTTTTGTAAAAGTACAGGCTCACACACCTATATATAGAAAACATACATGCTATTTCTAATTGGTTAGTAATCGTATAATCAATATATCTATTGCTAAAACGTGAATGTAAGTGTGATCAGACAAATAATCTATTGGTCAATAATTTCCAAAGAAAAATACAATCACAAAGTTGATATGTACATTAATTGTCATAATTTACTTAACTAAAATGCAGTCATAATCATGATAAATGTATTTTTCTGTGAGACGTGTAAAGTAATAATGAATATTCATGAGATACGTATTGCAGGTTAATTTTAGCATGCTAATCGAAAAGGCAGGCTAACATAAATGAAGGTTTCTATTGGTTTCTATTGGTCCCATTGGGTTCAATTACTTTACAGTAATATGCAATCTGGATCAAACAAGTGTTTAAAGGAGCTACACAAAGATAAATTCACTACAACTGATAATTAGAACAAATTACATACGGATGGAAAGATTTTCTCTTGAAAAAAACGAATAATTTGCTGAGAAATCATATTGATATCATGGAAAGGCGTAAAATGCAATTTTTCAAGACCCTTCTTAGACCCCCGAACGCCCCTGAACGTAAGCCAAATAGTGACGTCACACACTGGACAAACAGCTCAGTACCGGCCGCCTACCGGAGTCGCGCATGTACTAGTCTGCAGCTAGCCAGCCGTGTCTCGTGTGTGACGTCACAAATATTGACGCTCTACAAAGGACCGCTGAAGGCAGAAAATCTGAATCTCGGAACTAACATTTTTGAGAGTTGATTACTGCGGGCCCCAAACATATTTTAAAGAGGAGAGTTGCTGTATTTGATCAGTAAGGCTTCCCCTTCGCAATGATATTTTTGCATCAATTCAAAACACTTTTGATTCTTCGTTTGTCTACTTTAAAGCAAAAAGAATTCAATATTACACAATCTTTAATTCCATAGTATTTTCAAGGACAAAAAAAAAAGAATAAACAGCGTCAGGCAAAGCAACACACTAAAAGCTCTTCATATTGAAATTATCAGTGTGCTAAAATGAATATGGCACATCTAAATATCACAAGAGAGATAATGTTCATGTATGTACATGTACACAAACTTTATACATATATCATATGGAGCTAGCCATATTTCAATGTCATAGCCATACGGTATGTCATAGCCAGGGCTCAAATTAATTTTTTGTCCAAGGGGGCTCTTTTAGTACTGACGGGGGCTCTTTTTTGTACAAATTTCCATTGAATTGGTACCTATGATACTCCTCAATTATTTGCTCTTTCATCATTATCATTTTTATCAGCATTTTCCATCTTACAAATTTACAAGCTACATAGCTGTTACTGACTTTCATCCCGTGATGACATTCTCTCGATCTCTTCCCGTTGTGCACATTATTTCCTCCTCATTATTCAGAGCAACCTTTACATTCTTTCTTAACTGTTTTGTGTACAGGCGCGGAGCCACAGGCCGAATCTAACGGCCCAGCCCCCCACTCCTAGCCTCCCAAACCGGTAAAAAATAGGATAATAACGTAAATTTAACCCTAACAAAAAAAAAATCCCCCCCCCCTCCCCTGACCTGCCAGTGACATAAATGCAGCATCAAAATATATGTGCTTCTCTAACCGTAATTAAATGCCTAAAACCCCTGAGCCTCCGGGGGCTCCACCCCCTGAACTCCCCACTCCAATTCACGCTCGCTACCCTCAACCTGATCGTAAATACTTTAGCCCCCCACTTTGATAAACGTTCCACGGGGCCTGTGTATATAATATATATACGCATACAACACTGATCTTTATGATGTAGTGCGGTATGGTATGTAATTCTGTATGATTTTTTTGCCAAAGTTGATTTGCTGTTTTGGCTTCAAAAGGGTCCCAATTGGCCAAAAACTATGGGGTTCATATTTTCAGACCCCTCCTTCATTTCCTGGGGGGTCCATATTGGGCGCCAAAATGGCTTATATAGAGCACAATAGAGAAATTTGGTGTATTCTGGAAAATTTTAACCCCATCAATTTCTGATAGCTTGGACCCCAATGAATCCAAAAATGCAAAAATGCAAACAAAATTTGCACAAAAGTCCTACGGGAGCTGTTTCAGTGACATACCGTACCACACTATGACATACATGTATCTTCTTCTCCCCTTGCAAACGAGAAAGAAAACAAGGTCATTAAAAGGGATTAAGCAACAAATAATGATTGTGATTCAAATTGATGCGAATATTTGTTTCAATAAGCACTGCTATTCACCAGAATCTTCTTTGTAAAAACAACTTTTACAAATCTCAGCCATGCTCACCGAGTTGAGACGTTCCATTCAATTTAAAATACTCATTAAAGAATACACTTCTCCTAGTGTGAAAGTGATCTTTCAACACAGTGGCAGAATTGCATGGCTGAGATTTTTTTAAAGTTGTTTTTACAAAGAAGATTCTTGTGAAAAGGATTGCTTATTCAAACAAATCCTTGCATCAATTTGAATCACAATGATCATTTTGTCCCATGATCCTTTTATTAAATAACCTTGTTTTCTTTTTTGTTTGCAGGGAGAGAAGAAGCTATGTCACGTTAAGAAATCACAAAGATCAGTTGTATTATGCGTATATACATTTGATAACAGAACAAAATGTTGATTATCAGAACGTCATTTTGGAATACCTCCATACAAATACCCGATCTTACTGTGCCGATACCACATTGTCTTTATCCCGTATCAGTATTAGTATGAGCCAATATAAAGTTATTATTCTTTATTCAGTTCAGTATAATGCTTTTCCTCAAAAATAGTTTCGCTATTTTTTTAGGGTTGAGACGCTAAGAAATGGCTTCAAACGTACATTACACAAACCCTGAACCATTGCATAATGATGGTGGTTCTCTCTCTCTCTCTCTCTCTCTCTCTCTATTTATTGTAATCATGCATTATCATCTACATATAAAGCAGCAACACAAAACTTAGGGTTATCTGGGATAGGTGAAAGTGAGAGTTGAAAAAAAAATTTAAAAAATTAGTGGTCCTCCTCTCCAGCATCTCCCGCTTTAATATTCACCAGCCGCCTGAGTCTGCGCAAAAATGTTAAACCCCCTAACCCCCCGCCTCCGCCCCCCCCCCCCCCCCTAGATCTGCCCAGTGCCCATGTTACCATATCATTCAACGACATCTTGGTCTTCCTCTCTTTCCTCTCTTCCCAATAGGGACTTTTAGATTTGCGTGGACGTGGATGTGTTACGTCCTTTTAAGGCACTGGCAGTCACAATCATGTGACGTCCTTTTAAGCACTGGCAGTGCCTAAAAGGACATCAAGGAGGTCACACGTACGTTGCAGTCCACGTTCTCGTCGTGCAAATTTAAAAGTCCCTAATATTGATTTACTAGTCAAGGTTCACTATTTGCTGGTCATTTGAAATCACCAGATTTCAGCATGTTTACGCTTTTCAAAACGAAAAATTTCTCCATGTCCATGTTTCTGCCATTGCGCATTTCTCCCATTATGAATTACATGATACATGAGCCAAATCAGAAGAATATCTTACAACTGACAAAGCTGAATCATAATGCTATTTAAGAAGTACAAGCACTAAAATCTGTAATTTTTGGAATTCGAAAAGTCACATTACCATTTGGCCACATTAGAATTTAACTTTTAGTCAAACAGCCTACCACTGTATAACTTTCTTCTTTCTTTTTATTTTGTCTTACAAATGTAAAATATAAAGATTTCTTTTTTAGGAAGTCTTGTTATACTCGCCTTCATCGCCGCTGTTGTTTGCTAGGATCCTCGGGAAGCGCCAAATATTGCCAGTTCCTACCATACACCCAATACATGTTAGCACGGTACCAAAGGTGGTTTTGAAGGTACCACCTGGATTAACCTTGTTCCGAGCTTCGTCACGACTCTGAAAAAATAAAATATATATAGGCAAAGATTTAAAAATTGACACAAAACAGGCAAGAAAGATAATCACTTTTAAATCATAACCATTTTCTGAACAATTGTTGAAGATTTAGTTGATTTTTGGTATGTTATAGTATTAGTAGTCACGGGTCCAATGTGTGGTCACACTGTGACACAGTTCTGAACTAGTGCCTTTTAGCCTCTAGGCTTTTATATGCTTTAATCAAAGTTTAAAGTCACCATAGGGCAATTCCACGGTAACGGAAGGACACTCAGACAAGATTTTTGAACTTCAGGTTCATACTAAAAGAAATGTTTTATTAGTATGTATTAAACTATGGGGAACAAAATGTGTTTCAGTCAAGTGGAAAGCTTCATCAACTTCACAAAGTTTGGATAAACACTAATTAACTGGAAAAACCATGTCCATTTTTATGTCCTTCCGTTACCGAGATAATTAATATGCACATTCTTAAACTACTTAACTATAATGACAATTTTTGGGTGGAGAATTAAAGGCACTTATATAGGTATTATATCTGTACTGTTTCACATCTTATACTAATAAAACAGTTCTTTTAGTATGAACCTGAAGTTCAAAAATCTTGTCTGAGTGTCCTTCCGTTACCGTGGAATTGCCCCATACATAAGATGCGGCTCAGTATTTCAAGCCAGGCCGGGCACGCAGAACTTTAGCTTACATTTTATGCATGTGTATTTCGTTAATCCCGTCCCAGCCTCATTTTCGTAAGTTGGCACACATAGTGTGGTACGGTATGTCACTGAAACAGCTCCTGTAGGAATTTTGTGCCAAAGTTGATTTTTTTTTTTTTTGCATTTTTGGATTCATTGGGGTCCAAGCTATCAGAAATTGATGGGGTTCAAATTTTCCAGAAGACACCAAATTTCCCTATTGCGCGTTATATAAGCCATTTTGGCGCCCAATATGGACCCCCCAGAAAATGAAGGAGGGGTCTGAAAATTTGAACCCCATCATTTTGGGCCAATTGGGACCCTTTTGAAGCCAAAACAGCAACAAAACAAAAAAAAATCAACTTTGGCAAAAAAATCCTACGGGATTAGATACCATACCGCACTACTAGCCTAGACATGGGCCCTTCAGATTGGCTATCGCTGGCTCCCATAGGCTCTATGTTATAAGATATTAGTGCGAAAAGATAGCTTGCAATATTTCAGTTGATCTGATACCAAAATCATGATATTCCAGTCAAATCTTCTATTTTGTACGATTTTTTCAGTGTCCTTCTCATTTTCGTCATATTTAAGGTACAAACTTGCAAGTTGTACTGAAATGTTCGTTAATTTTTCTATTTTATGTTTGTACCTATGCTGAGTGTGCGTCACCTGTTTAAAGCATGACATGTCGGTGCGTTATGTAATGTTACATATTGGCATTGCACGTGAACTTACGTAAATAGGGCGCCCTCTCTCACTTAAATTTGAACAGCTCATTGGCTGAGAGAAAGAGAGAAAGTGAGTGATCGTGATCTCAGTGCACCTAGCGCAAAGTTCTACGTGCCGGGGTTACCCGACCCAGTTTGTCTAATTGTATTTTTAGGCAAAGACGGAGAGCTGACCAAGTCTAAGTCTAAAGCAGGGCTCACACTTAGCCGAGTTGGAGCCTCGAGTTGTGGCGAGCTGGCGCGATCTTATGGCAAGCAGTTCTATCATTAAAACATATTTCTTGATATCAAGAATTCAATTCTTGATATCACGAAATCGAATTCCTGATAATGAAATAGAATTCTTGATATCAAGAATTACCATTGCTTTACAACATAAAATTATTTCTTGATAACAAGAATTGATTTATTGATATCAATTAATAATAAAACGGCTTGCCATAAGATCGCGCTAGCTCGCCACAACTCGAGGTTCCAACTCGGCTAAGTGGGAGCCCTGCTTATGTGAACGTGCTGCTAACATGACTAAGAGTAAGAGTAAGACTAAGTAAGTGCTAGACCAACTCTAGACCGAAAGCTTCAGTCTCTGATATCGACGGTCGTTCCGCTGAGATTGCATCTGGCTCCTCTGACTACCTCTATACATAGACTGAAGTATGGCCGTACTAGTGGAACAAATGGCTCGGTTCGGTTCGGTTCGGCAGGACCGCGATAAATGAGATATGCAACGAGATTTTCACTCTTTACATCCTCATAAATGCACTTTTGCTGCAATATTAAAATAGGCTTATAAAAATATAAAAAATAACAAACAAATATGGCTTTGACTTACGATAGCTTGCTCATTAAGATCCTAAATTAATGATTAATCTGAGAAAGTCTTGTAGTCGACATGATTCGTTGTCAACCATCTTGGTTTTAATTAAGGCTGCGACGGGTAGTCGAATGCTCGAGTACCCGCACAGTTGACAACTACTCGGGTACGATTTCTCGTACCCGAATATTCGGCCACAAAAAAAAAAAAAAATGTCCAGGCCGCTGGCATGGTACCGTCGGTCAAAATGTTTCCCAACTCAAGCACTGTCAAACTCACCACTCAGAAACTGGGACCAAATGTCCGGATTTCTATTTGGACTTGGAGGACAATGGATTATTCTGCCATCTTTGGTTTTCAAAACAGCATTGTTTACTGTTATTATTATTATTAAATCGGCGCCTTCAACTGCAACTCAAAGCAAAATTGCATGCATTTTTGGCGATACTAGGATACTGCACCAGTGGAATGGTGGTGGCAAAATAAGAAATAAAAGAAAAAAATCAAAAAATAATTTTTTTTTTTTTTTTTTTTTTTTAAATTTAAAAAAATTATTAAAAAACATGGCGTCCGAATATTTGAGTATTCGCTTGTAAGCCTAGGAGTGTACTCGGGTACCTCATTACACTGTTGTGCACAGCCTTAGTTTTAATTAATGAATATTCATTTTTTCTTTTAGAACGTCCAATAGCTACGTACGAGTCAACCCAGTGATATATGAATATTCATAAACCCAATACGAAACGAGTGCTCTGATTAGCCATTCGCTATGTTTTTGTAGCTTGACCCGGAAATATATCTGCCGGGTGATGTCATAGATTACTAGTTTGAATGGATGAACGGTACATTTAACGGTTCAGAGAAAAAAATTGGATAAATCATATAAGTAAGTCCATACAATTCGCATTTGTATTAATAGGTCAATTTTAAATATTCAGTGTAAATAGGAGAACAATACAATCCCATCTACCTAATTTAGATCTATATCTGATTTATAAATCAGAAAATTAGATCTAAATAGTGAAAATCGGGGGAGAAAGCTCTGTCACCGTAAGTGGTAGCAGGATTGGCCAGATTACCTCCTCGGTGCGAGACCTCTGTAGTACAGTCTGTATTTGGGGAATGTCAACAAATGTCAGTTTTATTAAAGAAATGACCCATATCAGACAGTTATTTCTGTATAGACCAACTCATATCTTCCCCGCTCACATCTGCACAACCGAATGACACATGCCGTTAAAACTAAAAGAACAACAACAACCATTTGACTTGTTTTGGAATGATACATGCCGTTAAAACTAAAAGAACAACAACAACCATTTGACTTGTTTTGGAATGATACATGCCGTTAAAACTAAAAGAACAACAACAACCATTTGACTTGATTCCCCTTCATCATAATCATATTAATAAAAGCAAATTACCTCAGAATGCAGTGGCGTGGTTTCACTAGCTCCATCCATCATCTTTACCATGGAAGCACGATAGTTAACATTACAACACAAGACTCATGTCATGACTGTCACAAGAGCAGAGTTTTTAGTCAAATGATCAGGCCAGGCCGGCCAGGCCTCGCAGTTAATTCAGGAGCTAGGTTATCATGTTTGTACACAGTGAATTCGCACTTTGCACTGATCACATGGGCTTGTACTGTGCACTGGTCCGGAGCGAATGTATCACCTGACATACCCATAACCGATCACAATAATTATCGATAAAATTAGACGTTATATTAGACGTTTAGCTACTTTCATATAACCTTTACATTATATTCCTGTTTAGTTACATAAAATGTAAATTTATATTATATAATTAATATATTTAATTTGATTTTTGATATTTTTAATTTCTTTTACAACTTTCTTGTATTTTAATTTTTAATGAAAACATGATATATCTTTTTTAAATGCTGATCACGTCTACGATTGTATGCTGCCAACGCGACGCATAAACAGTACACGACGTGTACGTACGAGTATTGTGAGGCGTTTGATTTATTTTAGGGAAGGGAAGAGTGACTGTCATTGACAACTTCCATATCACTTTCAGATTATTCTGCATAGCACTCTTGGGCAGGAGCTGGTTAACCATTCATTTCAAGAATTAAATAAAAATGGGTGAAAAGGTAGGTTGAACTTTGATAGTGAAGTTGAATGTACTAGACCCTAATTGTAAAATGTTGCCTGACGCGACGCTGAACTGCGCGCCGCGCTGGCCATGGTCAGCTTTGCTTTGCCTGTACTAGTAGGCCTAGCTGTGCAGTGTACATGAAATTAAGTAACGTCTGTTTTACTTTCAAATCTAATAATACTAGAAGTAGAAGTCTATAGGAAATGATTGACTGGTAATGTGGTAAATGAAATTTAACTGCAAATAATCAAAAACATAAAAATACATGGCTGGCGCTATGGATATACTTCATTACTTGTTTTTTGTGAAGACATGTCTAAATTTTTTGATACTCATAAATCTGTGAAATTGAAAGTGAAAGTGTGATGTGAGACTGAGAGTGAGACTGAGAGTAAATCAAACTTAACTTAAGCCAAGGTTCAAACTAGAGTAAGTTCAAGCCCTGGGCCTGACCAAAATATTTGTTCTTCTTTGATTGGCTTCTTCGACTGGGGTGTCTTGGTAAGTTTTGCAGACTTGTAATAGATCTAAATCCTTATGGCTTTTCATCTGTTTCAGTGTTTGTTAGCAAGTGCGGGCCACACTCATTCAGAGCTTCTTCTTTTTATTGCACCTTGACCTCGATCCTTTTTTCTTCCATTTCAGAGTTCATGATTCGTATGTTTGGTGAAGAAAAAAAAATGTTTTAACTTGCATTGACATTGGTCTGCATTTGATAAGTTTATGTAGACCTAAATCATATCCAGCAGTAATGTTCTCAGTGATTATTTTATAGATACTTCTGTTTCTACCTTTTACAGGATAAGGATGATGGAATCAGCATGAAGAGCGGTGGATTCAAATATCAGAACCGCAAGAAGCTGAGTCAACGGGAATTAAATGCAATGCATCCAACTCAAAGGAGCAAATATTTAGCAGTGAGTCTTTTAAAGAATGAAATATTTTATTGCACTTGTGTAATATTGAAAGCCAAAAGTAATATATTCCATTGATCTAATTTGAGAATTTTAATTTAGAATGCATTCTTTTTGGGGGTGAGTTCTATTTTTTTAAAGCAGATTTCCATACATGTCAATGTTAGTATTGTGCAATATGATGGTGATCATAGATGATAATAAACTCTTCCAAACATACTTTTACTTACTTTTTTATATCAATCCTGACCAAGTTCATAGGCCCATGCATAAGTGTTTTTTTTTAAATGCTCTTAATCTTATTCAGGTTATCCCAATATACATGTACTTTGTAACCATATGAGTGACAGTGTTCTGTACAAATGATCAACTTACATTGTTTTGAAATTGGTTATATTCAATTCGTCATTAAAATTTTTTATGATATATCCAATATGTAATATATGATGCAAAAAGATATGAATATATGTTTCTAGAATTATACAATTACAGTAAGTTAACAAATGATATTGTCAATCATTGATATACATGTAGGCCTAGATATATATATATATATATTTGTATTATTGATGTAATTTATTAATTTCATGTTTCTTTACTATCTAGTATGAAGATCCACCAAAAGAAGCGACAGAAGCCATAGCCAGCTCCAAGAAGAGGGTTCTAGATATAAGCAAGAAAGAGGTGGAAGAAACAAGAACAGAAAATCAAGTTGATATGGAGAAGGATAAACACAATCAGTTGATTGGGCAACTCAAGTGAGTAGTCTTCTCATCTTCTTCCTCTAACATGTATGCTAAATATCTCTTTGTTTCAGGTGTTTTGTGAGTTTCTTCCTCAAAATTTGTGTTCTGTTCATTTTTTATCTTTTCCCTTTCATCCTCTTTCTTGTACTTCTCCCACTTTCCTTTTCCATGCTTTTTTGTCAATAAATGTTCACCTGTTAATATATTCTTCCTCATATATTCTAGGCCTTTACATTTGTTTGCCTCTTTCTCTCCCCTTCTTACATTTCTCTTGGATGTATTGTATCTTTATATTTGTGTTCAGCCAAAGTTCTTTCTTCTTCCCCTTTCCTACCAAATCCTCTTCTATCTTTAGTTTCTGTCATGATGAAGTCCTGTATGTTTTCATAGTTTATATTTTGGTTCAAATTTTAGGCCTGGAAAAATAATATTCATTGTGCTCTGTTACTACATATTCACTAAATTTTTGAAAGTTACATGTTAGTTATTACCTCATATCTTTATTTCAGTGTACATGTTTTGGACATTCTTTTGCATCCAGCTTTTTTTTCTTCTTCATTTTCTAACAAATCTTTGTATTTTATATTTTTACTTTTGCATCACCTTCAAATCAAAATTCTGTATCTTTATATTCTGTATTCAGTAAACTGCTTGATTAAAATAATGTGACTGTAATATCTTCTATACGTATCTTCCCACAGAGCTGCTGAAGCTAGGAACAGATTACGGGTCATGAGACTAAGATACCAAGCCAACAGAGTAAGTTTTTAATTTTATTTTTTTTTACTACAATTGATGGGATGGTATGGTGGTAGCAGTGAATATATTTATTTTTTATGGCTAACAGTGTATTTTGCGGGCTTATGGTACTCCTGTTGAAATAATCACCATGACTCTACTCTAGTAATGTAATTATATATTTAAAGGTATTTATTTTGAAAATTTAAAGTGTATTTTACTGAAATTTTATGACTCTGGATTGTGCTATAAATGGGAAATATATCTACATGTACTTTAATTTTACATAAAGAGCCAGAAAGAAATGTCTATCAGTTGGGAATTGGGTGCAAAAAGCTTGGAAATGCATTTAATTTCTCACTTATACATTTCCTATTATTCATATCCAAATTTGAATTACTAAAATATTACAGAATTGCTGATTTCTGAATAAAGTTCACGGAAGAATGAGGTCATGTTTCAAGCAAGGCATCTGTGATTGACAGGTTGTAGATTACACAGGAAATACTTGTGGGTAATTTACACTAGCAGCTGTGAAATGTACACTGTAGGTATGTGTATAAAACAATAGTGAAATTTACAATCATAAATTACAGAAATCTACATGAAAGAAGTGAAGAGTGATTTCTTGGCTAAAATTTGTAAACAAGGAGGAATGCAATTAACATTAATCAGTAAGCATGAGCAGACAGGAGTGAACATTGCCTGCCATGCTGAAATTTCAAAAGGTCACTGAAATGAATATTTATTGAAAATTGTTGTTTCCTCAAATCATTTAGTAGACAAACTAAAATGATCAAGTAGTTCATAAACAAGTTTATACTGGTTTATGAACTACTTGATTATTTCAGTATGTCTACAGTGGATAGTCATTATATAGGCAAGGCAATTTTTTTTCAATATAAATGGAAGAGAAGAGGAACAGTTGTATTAGTAAATTGATTATGAAATTATAACGAAGATTGTGACTATGATTGCTTTTTCTGCAAATTATGTACTCTCTCTATCTCTTTCTCTCCTTTTTTTTCTTCCTCTCTCTCTCTCTTTCTTTCTCTTTTTTTCTTCCCTGACCTCTCTCTTTCTCTTGCTTTTTTTTCTTCCCCTCTCTCACTCTCTCTCTCTCTCTCTCTCTCTCTCTCTCTCTCTCTCTTGTCTGTCTGTCTGCTCCCATCGATCCATGAATCACATATTCATTTTTTTCTTCAAATCTCTGTCAATTGTTTTACCACCATGCAGGCTCAAGAAGTAAAACATCTAATATCTTGCCAACCATCTGCCATCAAAGCAGTCAGACTACAAGCCATGGTCCCACATGTACCAGACAAGAATAGTCCATCAGATACACTGGATAAGCTAGAGGTATATATCCACTCTATCTCATGTAACTAAACGTTCTGGGGCTTTGTAATTTATGCAGAGAAATGCAATCAACGATAATCCCAAACATCAATTGCAAGGCCTAGATGCATGATTCTGTTTGGTGGGAAATTGGTTGAAAACCAGTTGAATTTTATTTTGGGAGTAATGCTCATTAGCATCTTTCATAACTAATCATAAGTATGAAAATATGTAAATACAGTCAAACCTGTCTATAGCGACCACCCAAGGGAAACACAAAAAGTGGCCTTTGTATACAGGTGGTCTTTGTAGACAGGTTCCTTTAGTACATGAATCAATGAGAATCCATTTTCAAGGGAAACAACAAATGTAGCCTTTGTACAGGTGGTCTTTGTAGACAGGTGGTCACTAAAGCAGGTTTGACTCTATATCACGTACTGAGAGCCGATAGTGTTAACTCCTATACTTTAAGAAGAATTTAAAGCCCTCCTGGCTTTGAACAGACCATATGCAAGAGGTCCCTGTTAACCCAGTATTAGTTTTCCCATTGATTACTTTGTAATAGATTTCTAGGACATTTGCATTCTTGCACCCATATAATTGTAGTTGATATAAATCATGTAATTAATTTCATTTATGTGTTTATTTGTCTGTTGTTTTTGTTTTTTCCTTGCAGAGAACACGAGTGGAGACTCTTTTAGAAGATGAGAGAGGGCTGACTATCGACAGAGATCTGAGCTGATCAAAACAGATGTAATCCTCAATCTCCATATTGATACTGCATTTGAAGATGTTGAAACTAGACGTTATATACACTGTATGTATTGTAATAAAATGAAGAGAAGAAAGAAAACCTGATGGATAAAGCAAGTCTTGAGGTCTTTCTTTAGTCTTGTTTGGATCACAGATGAGAAAACTGTTAAGTCCCAGTTATTTGCAATGATGTTGGGAGGAGGTGGGACAGCATTGTCAGAAGGTTTAGTAAACCCAAATTAAATTTTGGAGATTGAATTTTGAATAATCTGATATACGATCACCATGCAAGACTTTTCAAGCAATTGAATCAAGGGCAATGTAGATGTTACATGTCCTTCGAATGATCATTACTAGCTCACCAGATGGCTTTTTTCTATACAATTTAAATTACAAACTCAGTAGCAAATTGGCATTGCCAGGATTATAATCAATTTCTCAGAAAATTGAATATTGCATACCGGTACTGATAGCTCTTTTTGATATTTTTACAGGATGTGGAAGGTTACTTTTGTGTAACATATGTCATTGAGACAAACAGCCATTACCAAAATCAAATCTTTGGAATACCAGTATCTCTGTAATCTTTTTCTGTATGAAATTGGTATTACGGTTGCTCCTTCATTACAAATTCACCAGATGGCTCCTTTCTATACAATTTCAAATTAAAAACAATGTCGCTAGCAAAATGACATTGCCAGGTTTATAATCAATTTTTCAGGAAATTGAACATTGCACTTTGAAAGCCCTTTTTGATATTTTTACAGGATATGAAAGGTTGTAATGCTTTTGTGTAACATATCATTGAGAGAATGATAGACAAATGATGCTTTTTTTTAAATTGATATATATATATATATATATGTATTTAATCTTTGTTATAAGACAGTAAACATTATGAATGATATGTTATTCATTTATCATCTGTCAGTGCCATTAATTGATGCAAAATTCATGTTATGATTACGTAAATTGATTTCAATCTTTTTTTAAAGTCTTTTTCTTTAAAAAATTTATGATAATTTTAAATCTGGTGCCCCCTCATTTGTGAGAATGCAATTATACTGAAGATAATGTAAGGAATAGATAAGGAAATTATGTATGCATTTATAAAAGTCATTGATAAAATATGGTACTTTTTGGTTTAGTATTATATGTCTTTTTAAATAAATATAAGTGTGTGAACCATATTTTCAAGCAATCATTTATGTTCAATTTGGATGTTTTCATATTTAAAATTATTTTCATGCCTTATGCCATTTGTGAAGATGAGGATTACAACTTAAAATACACTGTATGTTGACTTATTTTCTATCTGGTGCATGAAGTATACTCATGTGAAATCATTCCTTACAATAGTATTAATGCAAGGCAACTTAGTGTGTTCTTGTAATGTGATTTTTATGGAATAATGAATCAACTTAATTAAAACAAATTAAAGCTTACCGATATGTAAGGGCACAAAAGAAATCATCCAGAATGCAAACTTCATAATTATTGAAAATCATAATTCTCTCACACACAGAGTTAGAACCACATCGTTAGGATATTGACTTGCTAGTTGCACATATATACATGTACCATGTCAATGAGGCTTAATGTTAGCGTAACTTTCATTCAGATGTGTCCTCCCAAAAAGAATTCTTAATTTACATACGTCACATCACTAACTGTTATAGACTTTGCTTTCCAGGGCCCCATTTCACAAAACTTGTCATCAGTGACAAATGACAGTTTTTGTTATAAGCTACTGAAATCCTTGCTTCTGATTGGTCATCAGCATATTTATGACTGATTTTTCATTGAAAAAAGGCTTTGTGAAACGGGTCCCGGACTCGTCTTTTCGTGCCACTCCATTTCGCCAAGCTACCTTAAGACTTATGAAACCTAACCTCAGTCTTAGTAAAGAGTTCAAATACAAACTACTGTAGTATATGTTTACCAAAGTCTTTGAGGGAGGGGGCTGCTAAATACCTTAATGATAAATAATTAATTCGTTTCAAGTTCAGTTCAGCCTATAGTCTTCCAATAGCCCTAACAGAATCAGGTATGACTTGAAAGCATTAAAGAAGAATCAAAATCTTCAGGAAATGTGTTTTTGATCCTTCTCATTTTCCCATTTAATTCCAGTGTTATTTACCATCAATGAGTACCACATTTGATATGAAGGTCAATTTTGTATTTGCATTTGTATTCACCTTGTGTATGTCCATGTATGTGTGCATAATTATGCATAGATGTGTATGAAAATTCATTTAATAAAGTTTTTTTATCAAATTAACTTCTTTTTTGTGTTATGCATTTGAGAATTTGTTGATGGTGGTCCCATTTATTGTTTCTTACCTCAACTAGAATTAATTCAAACTGACAATTTGAGTAAAAAAAAAGGGGCATGTTTTCACAAAACATGACCACCCAACCCGACCCAATGATTCGAAGTAAGCCCATATGCATGTGCTAAGAGCCCAAAGAGCAATAACCCTGTTGTGAATGATAGGTTTGTGTATCTCTTGTTCTATGAATAGTTTCATATCAAATATCTATGACAATTACCATATACAGTTCACAACTAAATTATTCATTCCCTTACCAAGTTTTGTAAGTAAGTGATGGACAGTCTGCAGAAATTGTTGGATGAGAGAGGAGTGAAAGAACTGGGAGTGATGCTAATAGAGAAGGCTAGGAACCGAGGGTTGTTGTGGAACAGCATGATCGCCAAAGTCAATCGATATGGCACTTACAGAGAGAGAGAGAAGTACCGTAAGGGACAAATTGATTTGTCCAGACATACGTTTCTTGTGAATGTGACATAAAGCATACATCTAAAAGTATTCAACAAAGGCCATAATTCCCCAGTACACCTTTCATTCTTGAATTACAACAACAAAAAATTTACAAGGGATATGAATAATTTAGTTGTATATGTATTATTATGTTAGTTGTTCATTTAGTTTGCAGGATTACCATTGACTTCTTTTAAGTACCTTCTCTCGTACCTTCTCTCGTACCTTACTTCCTTCACAATTCACATCAGCAGGGGGAACAGATATCCTTGACATAATAACAAAACGCAATCCTGACCACATTAACACACAACGTGCAAGTGAACTTTAAAGTGTTTACTTTTATTTAGAAGCAAAAGTCAAAGAAAATACATAGGCTGGAGAAAAAGAATTGTTTTGATACATGTAACCATGAACGTTCATAGTAATACTCATGAACTATAGACAAAACAGAAAGGAAAATGCATTCCTTGGAGAACATCAATTACATAATACTTTTTAAACCACATGCATATCTACATACAAATTAATATACCAACAATCCCTAATAAACAGTACAACCGAAATTAGCTTTGTGACTCTTTTCTACAAATACATTCTTTATCAAAACTAGATCTTTAATTAAATTTCTTTTGTCTCATACTATCACCTGACCATGCCTGCATCTCCTCCAAGCCTTGTTCAGACGTGACTCAGTAAACCACTTAAAGAAAACGGCTGAAACAAAATAAAATCACTTAAAAGTGAAGCACATAAGAAACCTGCAAAACAGAGTACGGTATGCTTAAGGGCCTTTGTTTCACCCAGCCTCTAGTTTTTACCCAAATTTGCTATTCGAACACGATTCTTCTTTTTTGGAGTGGCAATTACTGCGGCAAATGGGAACAAGGCTCTGATTCACCAGTTGACAACTGAATCTCACTCCCATAAGCTTCATACAGGGACCACTTGGTTCCTGTAAGCAAGGGATTAATATCAATACAAATCTAACCAAAAGAAATATCTCAATCATTTTCTTTAATTCACTGATCAATGCATAAGTATCAATGTTAGGCATGCATAACTGATATCAACTCAAGAAACAGTTACCAGAGTTGCATTGATGAGGGGGAAAATACAACAGAAAAAAACAAGTTTACAGGAAACTTTGATTAAACCCGATTTCAATGTTAATGATTAACATACCAGTACCAGTATACGCTATATCAGCAAAAAACAAGATGTGTTGAAGAATGATAAAAATTCTGAAGAAAAGGTAAAAGACAAAATAAGAACTTTACATTACAATATGTGTATGAGACAGCATCAAAATCATTCACATGCAGCGGTTAAAATTGTTATGTGCAGTAGTTAGTAGTCATTTTGCATATTATCAACTCAACCTTAGCACTTGGTAAGTGCTAAATAATTCCTGACCTCTAAAAAAGCCTGTCTTGATAAACAAATCTAAGTCTGATGCAAAATTTAACTCTCTATATTAACACGATATGCATTCTATATGAATAAATTTGATTAATTTACTAGCTTCAATGAAAGCAACCTAGGCTTCATATGATTTTCAAATAAATACAATTTTCAATAAAACAAAATCTTAGTCTAGTCATTCTCCTACATTCGTTTTTCAATAATATTTGCAAACCATTTGCACACATGACCTGACCACGACTAAATTCATGGCTTCCCACAAGGGTCAATATTTGGTCCATTTATATTTTACATGAAATACATTGTAATTCTATTTCACTGTTCACTACATGTACAATGTACTAAGAACATGTAACTTAAATATCAGCACTATATTTGTAAACACAAAAGTAAGATCTTGGGCTGAACGAAACGAAACAAAATGAAAAGACTTACAATGATACCATCAAATGTATGGAGTTACCAGTCGGTCTAAACATTTGAAATCTATCTTTGGTAACTATATCATGTTCTTGACCAGGTGAGTGTCTGTGACAACATCCCTACATGACAAAGGAAAACTCCATTCCTTTAAAGTATTAGGACCCTTACAACTATCAGCTTAACTGTGGGAGCTTAGGTTTGGTAAAAATTCTGAACATTTTTTTAACAATTTACAGAGTAAACTGCTTAGCCCATCGATAAGATTGTGGTGAAGTGAATGCAACTATTCAAAGTCATATAATAAGGGTAGTCGAAGCCAAGGAGTTGTTACGTCTCAAAATTTAGCACACTTTGCAATCAGAAATAAATAACTGATGTTTCCACTGGGATTAGGACAACATTATGTATAATACATACCGGTATATCAAATTATGTCAGAAGTGGGTTCTTTTTTAACTATGTTCATACTTACTCATAAAATTAAAAAAATCCTCCACCTACGTAACTGGTCTTTCATTCCTATCTGATTATATTATTTTCACTTTTCTAAATCAAAAAAACATGGTAAAGATCATAATTATCCAGTTTTTAGTGGTATCTGCAATTCAACATATCAACCAGGCAAGAAAACTTGACAACAAATATTTAATAGTCTACTTAGTAGACTATAAGAGACTTCTTTAATGTACATGAATATGTGGAACTTTTATAGTGACTGCGTGGTTCACCGACATTAAATACCACAGGCAGAATATACAGTGGTTAGGTAGAGGAGTATGAAATCATTTTCTTTCTGTTTTTATCTATTTTTCTAGTTATGACAAGGGAATATTCAGTTATACAACTTACAAACTTAAGGTTCTCTGCAGAAATTATTCATGATTGATGAAATTGAATGAATTCCCAGTGCAGTACCCTATGGTAACAGTTTAGGAGGACTAAGCTTTCTTAAACAGTGAAGGTAGGCACTGAAATATCTATTGCTCTTGTAAACCCCAGACTGCGGGTATCTACCTTTCACATTTTACTTTCTTGAGTTGCACACATGTGGGAGTGTGTTATGTAATGGTGAGAACCTGTAAGTATGCATGAACGTAACTCTCTCTTTGACAATATATCAGAGTTTCAGTAATAATACAGGTGCACTACGTTTACAAACTCTACTCAAATTACATGTTACTGTAAATTAATGTAAGAGACTAAATTTTTATACAACATGCATATTTAATTATTCAAATTAATGTGAAGCATGCAAATGATGTCATATTTCCAATACGACCCATAATACTATAATGACAGAAAAAAGGAATGTCTACATCAGGCCTGGTCTACATCTATGATATATGAGTGTATTACATTAAATGCTGAAATATCTACATGCATATCATCTTTATACGCAAACTTGAAAACAAATTTTAGACATAACTTCAACACTGAAAAATACATGAAATCTATCTCCATCTTTTACTCTTGTTTTTGTAAATAAAAATAAATTCCATTTTGGCCAGATGTATCCCTCTATTTGCAATCTTTTTCTTGCCATAGATAACACTGACTATATGCATAAATAGGAGAAAAGAACGAAAATGTAAAACAAAATTTGAAATGATTAATTTGAAGAGAGGATGTAAATAAAATAATTTCTTATAACTTTTCAGTGGGAATATGGTTTCTGCACAATAAAAACAAAATCCCTAGAAAATAATGTTTGCTCTTTCAGCACTTCATCAAATAATAAAATCAACATTAATATGTTTAACTTTAACATTGCAAAACCAAACTTGAAATGGTTAAGTTAAATCAAGTATTTTTTTATAATTCTATTAAAAAAAAGCATTGAAAAACAAAATGAAATGTAATATCAGGTGGCCAAGGCCTCTTTTTGTGCTCAAAAGTCAGGAAGGATGAAAAAACGTAAATTGTAAATATTGAGAAATGAAGGAAATGTGATTAATTTAAAAACAACAAGCCTACTAAATGAAAGAGTTACAAAAAAGCTCTTTAAGTGCAGAGTTGAATGATAACACTATGGAAACTACTCGAAAGATAACTATATCAAGAACTAGAAGGATTTTGAGAATGATAAATGGAGAACACTTGAAAAGATGTGTTATAAGATGACGGTAAAAGACCAATGACAAAGAATGGAAAATGGTTAATTAAATCTTTCTTTTTCTCCCACTCCTCCCACACTTTTTTCTTGAACTGACGCTCACACGATTTGGAAGGCTGCATGAACATGAAGATGATAAGCAAGGCTGAATTGATGGAAACTGTTGCTAGGCAATCACCCAATGGGCTGAAGAAGAAGAGGACTTATTTCTTCTTAGGCTTGGTCCTTGCCCGGACACTTCCATTTTCTGAGTGGGGGGAGTCAGACGCAACAGGGGAAGCTGTGAGGGCATCAGGTTGCTCACCTCCTTCGATTGCTCGCACTGTAAAAGAAGGAAAGGGAAAGATGATTGACAAATTATGAGCACGTTAATTCAAATTTGAAAATGAAGCTATCATTACATCGAGGGGGGTATCCAATGACATGCACGTTGTCTATCAGTATACTTCCCCCTAGTTTTAATGTGGAGTTCCTGCATGCATATGTATAAATTTACTAAACCTTTAAGGAAAGCTATACATTTTGAAACTTTCAAATGGCCTGTAAGGATAATTGAAGAAGAAGGTGAAAGTTGGCTAATTATATCTAATAATATATTTACCCTGTTTTCAATCAAGAAAATGATCATTTCATCATTACAAAAGAATTTTGTGAATATGTACTATTTCATTCTCATACTCTGCAAACACACAAACAAACAAAAGTATCGAAACTTCAAATACAGTCACATAAAATCTGTTCTTACAGCTTCTTTTCCAACACAGAATGCAACAAAGAAGGAGAACAAAATAGTTGTTGCCAATTTTAAAGAGGAAGGCATTAAATGGGGAGGCTGATTTTTTAAGTCTTTTGGAAAAGAAAAAACAAACCTGTAATAGTCTGTAACATTCTATGCTGCACCCTCTTCTTTTTGTTTTGTTTATTGTTTAATTAATTTTAAGCTGTTTTGATCTGGAGTTAAAGCTTATCTGTACTAGTTTGCCAGGAGGGATTAGACCACCCAGCAAGGTCACGGGACAGGTGGTTATCTCATCAACTCAGCCCTCAATTAACATCAGAAAAAGGGGACCATGGGGGACCGCTTCGGCATTGTTTGCTATATAGAGGGCGCAAGTAGCTTTAAGTAGTGCAGTGGGGCTTTAAGACATATAGAGGATGGGCTCATAACTTACCCTCTTCTTTCTTCTTCTTCTCCTTTGTCTTAGTAGGAGCCATCTTGCGCTGGGGCTTTGCGGTGGCCAGCTGGGCTTCACGACGTCTGCGCAGCTGGAACATGAGGAAGTTGAAGATTAGCCACGCCTGGAAAAGGCACACTGCTGTCAAGATGGTCAGTCTAATTCAAGAAATTAAAGAAAAACAAATCAATCAAAGCTCTGAGATAACAGGCTAAATATCATATTGATGTTGTGTTGTATCGCAATAGTGTTTCTGCCAGGATTTCAAGCCTGAATACTCAATAAAAATGCCAAAAAACGAGCCTGGTAACTTCATAGGTAGTTGAGAGAGATGGTCTGGTCACTGGTAGTTGCTCCTGCTTTGTCAATAAATTCATTACACCAAAATCACCTTCATGTTTTCACCATTATCCTCATCATCTTTATCATCACCAACATCAGCCCAAATCACCAGCCCCTTCATCATCATCTTTCCTATCACCATGGTCCTCTGCATCATTATCATCACTGTAATCACCATCATCATCATCATCATCATCATCATCATCACCATCATCTCTGTCATCATCATCATCATCATCATCACCAACATCATCTTCGTCATTATCATTATCATGGAACCTCATCACCATCATCCTCATCCTCATCACCATCATTATCATTATCATTATCATCATCATCATCATCATCATCATCATCATCATCATCATCATCATCATCATTATCACCATCATCATCATCATCATCACCATCATCATCATCCTCATCCTCATCACCATCATTATCATTATCATTATCATCATCATCAACATCATCATCATCATCATCATCATCATCATCATCATCATCATCACCATCATCTGTCATCGTTACCATCGTCCCAATCACCAACATCATCTTTGTCATCATCATCATCGTCGTCCCCATTATCATCATCTTCATCATCATCATTATTATCTTCACCCTCATCCTCATCACCACCCTCATCCTCATCACCAGCCTTATCATCTTTGTTATCATCATCATCATTATCATCATTATCATAGAACCTCACCACCATCATCCTCATCCTCATCATCATCATCATCATCGGACATGCTCACAATGACTCACCTTGAAAAAGGAGAATTGAAGTTTCCATTAGAGATATCAAGGCCCTGGGTTTCTACCTTGCCTAATCCAAACCACACTGTGAGTGTCGTGAGTGAGATAGTCATGAGTCGAACCAGAAGGAACAGTATGGCCCATAATGTGAAGCTGTGAAAAGACAAGAGAATGGATCATTGAATCAGATGGCGGAGAAGCTGGAGATACAGTCAAACCTGCTTTAGTGACCACCTGTCTACAAAGACCACATTTTGGTTTCCCTTGAAAATGGTTACTAATTGAAACATGTACAAAAGAACCTTTCTACAAAGACTATCTGTCTACATATTTTTGTGTTTCCCTTGAGCAGTCCCTATAGACAAGTTTGACTGTACTATGCTGCAATTATACAGTATGTGCAGCTGAGATTTGTGTCACTGTACCACAGGGGGAGGGGGGAAAGGGGTGGGGGGCAGGAGGAAGGGAAATAAGTGACATCAGGAAATGCACAAAGGTGTGAATAAGAGATAGAAAGAGGAAATGAACGATGGACAGACAGGGGTAAATAAAGAGTGCATGGGGAAGACAATAATAGAACATGCTTAAAAGATACTTCCAGTCAAATCTCCCACTGTGTATGGAGCATCATACAAGCAAGCACAGAAACCTCACTTTCTAATCTTTCTTGGCAAGCACTTTGGCAGTGGGCATGGGTAAAGTCACTGCAGGGCCATAATTCATAGGGGTGATCTGTATCTTACTCATACATGCAAGTGATATACACTCATACCTGTTGTAGTGGCCAAAGCTGTGAGTGGTGAAGTGTGACGTCATCAAAAGTCTATTTTTAGAATTTCTCAATTTTCACTTCACTTTCCGAAATAGCATAAAAAATAATGTCCAAATGTTGAAAATCAATTTAATATATTGAGTATTGGCTGAGATATGACAATCTGAATAAATAGAGTTCCTATAGGAACTTAGTGTTATTTTGCTCTAGTTCATAACATTATGAACCAGAGCAAACATCAAATTTACAAGGGGTATGAATAATTAAGTTGTCAACTGTATATCAATAAACACTTACCAAGGTGCTGATAGTTCTGTTTTTTCACTGAAGTACAAAAGTCTGGCAACATGGAAAGTCAGCTCTGCTATGTAATGTATCACAATGCACATCATCCCAAGCCTCGTCAAACTAATGATGAAAAAACAAACATAAAAAGAACATATGGTACAAGAGAAGTGCCAGTTGGTGAGTGGTTGTGTGTGTGTAATTGGGTTTTGACCACACATAGCTGCATTTATACTATCCTGGCTGTGTATTACAAGCTGTGCTATTGATTCTCAACATTTTACACACTACTGTACCAAATTCAACTGATTTTACTCAAAATCAATACTTTAGTGACAATTAATGACACCTAAATAGCAGTAAAATACAATTTGTTTAACTTACCGATAATAGAAAGAATAATTTAAAAATTCAAATTGTAAGTCTACTGTCATACTTGCCGATCGGCAGGATGGTGTGCATTTGTGTATAATAAGTGTAATGACTATACATGTGTGCAAATGCTGCATATTAACACGTAGTGCAGTGCTAGAGGTCAATACGCATTAGCATTGACTCTCTATGCTTTGCTGGAGTGGGTTTTGACAGACGTGTATTTACGTCTGGAAGCCAATCTTTAACGCCACCATCTGAAAGAGTTTCGAACCTGTGTGCGACCTGAATCAGTTTGTAGGCAAAAAGAGGGAACTGACTGTACCACTAGACCAACTCAAATCTCCCTTGGGAAAAGACTGATTTGGATATGCCCTTTTTATACTCCCGCAATTACAGTGAAATCTTCCTTTCAAAATGAATCTCTGTCATGAAGCAGACAATTGTATTTCATATAGGGTTTCGAAAATGGAAAATTACTTTTTCTTTCACACTAAACAATTATTCTACTTGAATCTTGTTATCGCACAATTGCATAAGACTTCCTAAGGGGTTACTTTTTCTCTTGTGACTTTCTACAGTGCTTATTGGTTGATTTATGACTAATTCAAGTACAGGAAAAGAATCTGTAATACTTACTTTAGAAGGTAGGCAGAAACCACAAAGAATAAATAGAAGGCGGCGTATTGGATCCTGGGACCAATTTCTTCCTGTAATTACACAAACAGATATAGATTGATATTAGTTGTTCGTAGAGTACAAAATAAAATAGCCGAGGGATAAGTAAATCAACTGAGAAACTACATGTACTCTCAACTACAAGTGAGTATAGGATTTCCTAGCTCAAGCAAACACATACAGAGCTGCCAACTAGTACGGATTTTCCGTAATTGGTACGGAAATCAACGGCAATTACGGAAGCACGGAAACCCCTTCAAAAATTACGGATTCCCCGATTTCTGGACATGCCTATGTATTAACACATGCATTATGCATATGCGAGTGTTTTAGCGGTAATGATCGCGATACTTCCCGGGCCTCGGCCCGGTGGTTAACTTTTGAGCGCACGGAAATATCATCCGCGCCTCAGCCACGACCACTGCACACACATGTAGCTACCATCGAAAGATATGCACACCGCCCTGCCTATATGGGCTGCGTGTGCTAGCTTTCAGCATGCAATATATATCGGGGAGACGGCAAACTCGTCCCAAGTCCATTTAGCCACCTTGCAAACCAACCCGTACGGTACCATGTCCATGTGTAGTTTATAGCAGGTCTACAATTTTTTTCCCCTTAGTGATGGGTTCTCATTGTTATGATAATAAAAGTACGACTCGACTAATGATGAAGATGATGATGATGATGATGATGATGATGATGATGATAATTGTCATAAGGAAAATGAATGTACTTCCTTGATTAAACTTGAATTTATATTCAACAATTATTGTCATTGTGTTTTATTTCACATTATTTGTTGGATCATGTTTATTCATTTCATTTTATTCATATACCCCTTTTCATTGTTGATAACAAAATATGATACACGAATAAATTTTGAATGAGCTGACACACAAAGTTTTGACCGATACGAAAGCGCATGCATGGTGGATGTGCTGAAACAAGTGGCACGATATTTATCTGGGCGAAATATGCATTGGCCGAGTGTTACACTACCGCATGTGCAGCAGGTCGGCCGTGGTCGCGTCAAACTTCGAGTAACCGACGGAGAAAAATGACTTCAACTTCATCGAAGAAGCGTTCTAAAAAACTGCAAACCTTCTCAGGTGAAATGGTCATGCATTGTTCCGTCGAAAAGGAATACAAACAGTGCCTGTTGTACACATTGCTCATCCGATTTTGGAATTGGTCATGGCGGTTCGAACGATATCCAGGTACATCTGAAGTCGGTGAAGCACCGGACTGCAGCGGCGGAGGCAAGTTCCAATTCCCGCAGTCATGACATCGCCCAGTTTTTCGTCGCAAAGGACAATTCTGTCACGAACGCCGAAGTGAAGTTTACTCAATTTTTGATAGAGCACAACATCGCGTTTTCAGCAGCAGACCACCTTTCACAACTTGTCAAAAATGCCTTCCCTGACAGTAAAATTGCAATTGTAAAAACCTGAAGTGAATATACACACGTAAGTGAAACAGGGTAATGATACATCAATCCTCTAATAACCATTGTTTTTTTTATAGCACTTAAAATGATGTTATAAACAGAATGTTCTTGTTTTTACTTCAAGTCCTGTCATTCAGAGTGATGCTATTACCATGGTACTAGTAGTTTGTGTTGTGGTGTTGTGTGCAGCTCTACAATGTACGTGCAAATGCAGTCTTCTTGATGTTGAAAGCGCCGCGCTTGAAATTACTGATTTCCATCCAAAATTACTGATTTTTAGCTTTCAGATTACTGATTTTGGTTTCAGAGGTTGGCAGCTCTGCACATATGCACTAATAGTCAAGTTTGATTATCAAAAAACTGCCTATGAGACAGGAAACGTATGGTATCTGTATGAAGCCAATGAGAATTAGTGAATTTAGTAAACAGGGTTGTAATAACTCACCAAATTAATTGGCAATATAGTAAGGAATGTAACTAGGTTTTGATCTATCTATCTAATTTTAATTGTAAGTGTCTCTCCTGACAAGACCTAGACTTTATTTAGGCACTGATAACCCAAGGCAGTTTCATAGCTGTCTTCACGTGTGCATTTTTGCACATTTTACTTCTCCCAGATTTGGAAAGAGAGAACTACTGACATGTCGTCATCAAATTTAACATCTGAATAATGTCAACCAAATTTATTTTATCATCAAAATCATTTGACATTTTTATCACTTTACTATCCAATGCAAGAAGACCAAACTCACCTTTTTAACTTTCTGGAAATACAATTCTGGAAAAGCATGGATCCAGTAGGCAATCTGAAAGAGAATAGCAAGTCATAACAACTTTATTGATTATTTCAATGGAAATTAACCAATTCCCTTTTACATTCAAAGAATAAATAGTAAAACAGCCCTAAAATCTGTAGAGATTATGGACATGAAATTAGAAGAATTTTGTTTATCAATTTGACTTGGAAAGAACACTCATCCATTACAGTTTGAAGGACAATCAATGCTTGGTTATCGAAGAAAGAAAAATGGATCATCCTTTTCAATAATATATATATTCTTAAGCTGCTTATCAATCAACTCTTAAATCATTGATCCATATTATCTTTACCGATGAGTAATTAAAAAGAAATTATCTACAATTGTCATCGTTCACATAATACTGCTCCACATAATACTGCTTCACATAACCTCTTGGACTGAATCTTTATTCTATTTCCAAAAGGGACTTATTACCTCAACATCTTTAAACTAAAGTGGGACTGCACTACTTGTAGCTACGTGCACCCTCTATATAGCCAACAATGCCTAATCAGTGACCATTGGTCACCCATGATCCTCTTTTTCTTATGTTAATTGAGAGCTGATTTGATGAGATAACGACCTGTCCGATGCATGGAGGTCTAATCCCTCCTGGCCAGACTAGTGCAGAGGGGCTTTATAAGCTCCCTGACATTTTGTTCATGGTTTATCTGTAGTGCCCTTGGAACTGTAACCCTCTGATATACTAAAATCATACTTCATAGTAATGCCACAGGTACCATTATTCAAAAGATATTGAAGCATGGTTCTTTGTGTTTGAACAATGCCATGACAAGAATACAAACAAATGGATGTCCATTTAAATTAAATCTTTGATCTTTCAGTTAATAAGTCATAAAACTCTTTATTTCATCTCTCTACAATGAAGTAATCCATTACATGAGTATCGAGTTTGAACTTTGTGCCCTGAATGATCCATGAAGATGGGGGAAATTTGCAGGAGATGATATAAATTAACCTATAAAAAATAAGGAAGAATTACAATATAAGTCTCTAGGGATTTCGCATCAACATCTGATCTCCCATGGATTAAAAAAAAAGGGTAATTTTTGTTACACAGATTTACATATTTGACCTATTCGGCGAAAAATGATACACTTTGCTGTGCTCTACTAACCTGAATGATGAAGTAAAATTTGGATCTGAAAGAGAGTAGAACATGAGGGTAGCCTTCCCATAAGTTAGACAAGTTCTGAGTGAATCCTTCCTGTAATAAATCAATGAAAATGAACACAAACTGATGAAGAATTCTGTCTATGTAATTGCCACAAATTTGGTTTATGACTCTACAATGAATATGACAGTAAAGGTGACATACACCCCAATTTTATGTAATTGACTTTATGCAGTACGAGCAGAACCATACATCTCATTATCTCATTATGATAACAAACAGACAATAGGCTCCATAGAAAGTGTAGAACCTGACAATCATTTTGTACTCTTTGAACTTTGATACATATCATATCCTGTTAGCTTTACAAGTTTATAGCATACTGCTACATGAGAACAACAAACTCTGTGAGTGTGAAGGCCAAATATTTTGTTATCCCTATGAAACAAATACTAAAAATATGCCGTTTTTGTACAGTGGTAACAGTGCATTATGATATAACATCTCTATGCGCTTGCACTTTGAATATTATTACCTCTGCTTTAGCTTTGGCAACTGTAGTATTCAGTATATTTAAGGAATAAATCCTACCAAGTACTCACTCACTACAACCGGCAAATATAGATTAATGCTTTGCCAAGGACATCAGTGTTGCAGCAGGGATTTGAACCCTGTACCTTGTGGTTCACAGTCCTGATACTTATCCACTAGACCACAACACTGTTTTAAGCTCACCTTCATCATAATGTCCATGCCCCAAAAGATCGAGAACAGGTAAAAGGTCACCAGCTGACCTGACTCGTTGAACTTTGAATGCTTGACCTTTGACAGGTGCAGCTTGCGGTTCAGTTTCTGAAGAAAAAAAAAAAAAGTTATGAAAGTTTTTGTGGGTTAAAACACAACCTAGGTGACTAGTCAGCTTAATGGCACTTATATTTTCTACATTTTAAAAAAGTTGCTGAAATGTACATAAATAAACCAGTCACTTGAAATTTTCAGGTAAAAGGATAATCATAAATACACAAAAGGTTCTATAGAGTGTTGGTCAAGCCTCAATTTCACAGTAAATACATATATACAGTAAGATATATTGTTAGTATGAAGGTAACCATTGAAATTTTGAGTCATCATTCAACTACTTCTCAGCATCTAGCAAAAGAAAGAGCCACGTTGGCTTCTGCCAGTTCCCTCCCAGTGTACCGTATGTATCAGCCAGCATGTCACAGTTCAGTACATGGATAAAAAAGACATACATGTAAGTATAACGGTCTTCATTCTAATTTCCTTTATCTACAGAGACTAGCACAACCCCCCACCCCCCTCCCATACTAAAGGTCAGCTTGATATTTAAAAATATAATTAACACTTTAAAATTAAATTCAAATGATCATCAAGAAATATCAAAAGAAAATATCAAGAATGTACATTTCATTGATTATGATTTTTCATGCCACACAGAACTGCACCTCATAAGTACATGTACATCATGCAGTCAGCCAGTCACCTACACTTATGTTTCATGTATGAAGTACACTGCCCTTTCATGTTACCACATACATACTTCCTAGCTTGTCTTAGGAATCATGCACTTTGCAATTCAAGGAAATCAATCCTTTTACATGTAAAAGCTGGGTAAGTCACATTAACCACTGTTGAGAAAAGATTGCGAAGTAGATTACAACTTTCCTTTACCATTATTACCATTTGTGGAATTGCAACTAATGTTGAATGGATTAAGAGCCCAATTGCATAATGTTCATATAATCTGACTTCAAGCCAGAATGAGTTTTTAACCCATTTAGTGATTGTACTGCTATGAAAGAAATATCAGTATTATAGATACGCCCCATCAGCCATCTCATTATGTATTGTTTATGAAATTTTTCATCTCATTTCTATTTTATGATTTATATAAACATAGAGTTAAAAGAAGCCATGGGAGAGAATTGAAGTAATATTAATTTATCAGATGGAATATGGATTGCCAACTCAGTCATTAGCATTATTAGCATTTAGCAAATGTCCTCTGGTTTTTGTAATTAGCCCTCAGGGTAACAACCGCAGTAATAACCAGGTAGCTCACCTGTACCAATCAGCTTGGAGTTACTATAAAAGAACCTAGTGACACCCACACATGTAGAGACAGTGGTCAATTAATGTTTATGCTCTTCTGGGAATCCATTAACATTTTCAAATAAAGATGAAAGCACACTATATATTATATAGCTTTTTTTTTGGAAAGATTTCAACAAAAATGTTTATTAGAGATACAATTTATTTCCCTCTAGTTTTTGTCTTCGATAACAGTAATAATAATAATAAGGACAAAAATAAAGTGTTTTTTGGTCCCCTGCCTGTCTCATTTTTTTTTTTACTATCTACTATTTTGAAGAAAAAAAGCAGCCCCCCCCCCCAAAAAAAAAAGAGACAAAAAGCCACCCCAAAAAAGCCTGTGATATACATTTTGTTTAAATACATGTAACTTCTAAAGTGATACAAGTCATTTTTGTTGTCATACATTGCATCAGTATACTCACACAGCACAATATCTGTGAATAAATAGGCTTAGCCGGCTATGATTAGCATGGCAGCCATCTTGGAAAAAATAGTGATTTAGTAATACCCTGCCTCCTCCTTTTTATAAAAAGTCCGGACGAGAAACACATTATTTTTGGCGTTTTGCCGCACACATACATCCTTAACATTTACATCAATCTAAATTATGTTTATTGTGTACAATATGCCCCACAATATTTGCACAAACTTTTTTTGTAGTTTCCTTTATTTCTTTAATGGTATAGGTGAAAATCTATATATTTAACACTTTCTTTAAAAAAAACTATTTATATGATAGAAAAAAAATCAATGAATTTAACCTTCAAAAGTGAACCTTGAATATTCCCTATATAAATCTCACATCATGTTGAATTTTCAAATGAGCTTGTTTAATTAGATGCTCCATTATCAAACTCCAGGCTAATTGTTTTTTCCTAGGGGTCCACATGAAGCAATATGGACCACATGCATTTTGCCCCTTCAAACAAACAGTTTGAGAGACCAAATTTAATTTGGCTGCCGATGAGCACTTGACCTATCTTAGCAAGTTAGCTTCAGGCTCTATCTATTAATTTCTATAATTTTGCGATGGGTTACCAACAACAGGTTGCCCTGCCATCCTTTAGCAATACACTGATGTCACTCTTAGTGTAAACAATGCACTTTCAGTCCTTGGACAACTGCACTGTATATTTCATACTAGCATGTTGAATTAAATTAAATATTGTTGAGTTGCCCATGGCAAATAGTAGCCCCCCCCCCCCCCCCTCCTCAAAATGGCTCCCAATACTTACATCTAGGATGTACTCCTGAACAACAGCATGAAGAACGATACTGATCAGGAAGTAGAATGCAATACAGAAGGAGTCCCTGGATCCATGCATGTAGCGAGTCTCTTCCTCGACTACAGTCTCTCCGGCTGAAAATGGAAAATAAAATGAACAGTTTCAGCTACACTGTACAGCACATGCTCTTGAGAAGGACAAGACTTTAACACCAAATTAAATATCAGGGTTAACATACTTTTTGTAGCAACTAAAGCAAATGATGATTATTTTCTTTCCTACTCAATTCTTTAATTTGAAAATAGATAATAACTTCTCTTCTTCGTTTGCAGATTAATATGTAATTTATAAAACACACACTCACACCCTGGACTGAATGTCTAAAGAATGAAATCTCATCAAATGTTTTTGATTGGATAGCTGTACCAATAAAGAAAGACACTTACAGTGAATGCTGAGATTAGGTCTTGAAGACTAAAACAAATTTAACTATTATTGTCATTAATATCAGTATCATTATCCATATTAAAGTGACTTGGTTGAAGGTTGATGAAAAAATTGCTTAGTTTTTGTATAAAATGTTACTTACTATATTCCTTCTACTGTACTAACCCTCTGACATGCAAAAAATCCTGAAAAAATTCTCAAACCACGAAGATATCTATGATTTTCTTTGAAGGAGTCGATGTATGACACCCTCTAACAGTGATTAACAGTAAATTCTCCCAACTATTTTTCAATTTTCCCAACTGATTTTCCATGAAAAAAAGACATAAAACAGGCTATAAAAATCTGTCAACACTTAAATGTCTGGAATGGAATGTAGAGCCATTTCATTGCTTTGTGACGATTTCCATTCACCTAAAATGTAATTAAATTGTAATAATATAGTTGGGAGAATAAGGAATCGATCAGATCAGTTTTTCTCAATTTTTACCATGAATAATGGTCCGTTTACACTCAAATTTTCAGATTATCTTTAATTGTACATCTAGCATTGAAGTCACTACCTTAGCCAACTATCTCTCATCTGAACAATGTTACAAAGTCCCTTTAAGTATCAAAATGTAATACATTATTCACCTTCTGTAGTAGTGTTGCTGGTGATGTTGTATTGCATAATCACAAACATGGAGGCCAGGGGGGTGGTCACCTATATATCAATAAAAGTGTGAGAAAAAACTGAGAATGAAATTCATACAAAAAAGAAATTAAAAGCAATTATTGTATTTACTTATCAATAAACCCAAATCAACACTACATACATAAACCTTCTTTATAAGGGAGTCAATTCAACTTCTAAGGATATTGTGAAAAATTTGAGACCCGTTGAAAGACATGCAGTGGGAGCCTTTCTTTTCCTTAGATCTTTTGTTATATATGTCATTGCCAGAAAAAAACATTTACCCCAATTTTAAGTGACATTTTCCCCTAATTCCCATGACCCTCGTGTAAATAATTTACAGATTTTTATCTTAAACGTTCTACTTTGACCAAATTCATGAGTGAAAAGTGACAGTTTTCACAAATAATCTGACAGCATGCAATATTTAAGAAAATTGTTTTAAACCTCTAAAATGAGAGTTTTTGTCAGTTTCTTAATATAGTGTATTATCCCAGTGTCTCATTATACCCATGCTGCATGCTGCAACTCTCCCAATAAAAGTTTGTTGACCCTTGACACAAATCATGGGCACATTAAAACTTTTTTTTTTAAACAGATTTAAACTTTTCAATGTGTTGTAAATTTCAGTATCTTGCATGTATTGCTTAATTCCATGTATAAAATTAAAATGTTATTGCTAGCTGTTTGATCTACTCTAAATAATGCAACAGGAATGAACAGTCATATCTTTATGAGTCGATGACAATGTGTATAATTTTTTGCTTTTCCTGCAAAGACACAGAAGTGCATTCATTTTTAGGTACTTTTTTGAGGACTCTTAAAAAAAAAAATACAATATTCAATAAATCAACGTGCAGCATAAAAAAAATAGATTAAACACGCACCCAAAATTATTGGCACAACTGACCAGAATCTTTGATTGGGTCAAAACATTGCAAAAACATGCAAAAATAGTATTGGTTCAAAACTATCAAATTCAAGAGAAAAGACATTTTCATTAACAATAACATTAACAGCTCTTCAAAGTTCTAATTAAATTTTTCAATGCAATATCAATATGCTGGCAATAGGCAATGCAATACTGACATGTTCTCAGCTCACTCAATCAAAGTCATTACCAAGCTAAGACTAAGAGTAAGAACAGGTAAATTAAAAGGTGACGTGATACTGACACAATTATAAAACAACACTGATCAACTATTTTATTTTCAAATAGCAGAAAATTGATGTCATGAGTAAATCACTCAACCAAAAAAAGTGTCAGAATCTTCGCAGTTCTGCCTTTCTGGGCTTGAAAATATCCAAATACAAGGTCATTATGAAGTCATGCCTTGAAGTATATGCAGAACTAAATTATCTATGTTACCAATAAAAACCTGGTGACAAAACTCAAAACTGTATATCATCTCAGGATTCTCAGCAATCATTCATAAAATGAAAAATCGAAACCATTGACTGTCTAGTCTTAGTAGTCATTACACTGTTAGCATATTGGCATTGCATTACATTGCATTGCAATAGGCCTACTGTGTTACAGTTAGTGAGCTTACAAGTTGCAGACAGCTGGTTATTTTTACGATCAGTTACCTGAAACATAAGGCCAACAAGAATGACCATTGCGAGACAGGAAACGATGTCGGCATGATTCTGGATGATGAACTCATGACTGAAGATAGGAGGATTCTTAGTGCTGCCGTTTCGTCGACGAATCGCCATGATTTTATCTGTAAAATCCGTTGTCGGAGTACGCCACGTCTACGTTCAGCAAGCTCGCGAGATGCAGGGTACACGTACAATATACACGTACGATCCCGAGCGCTAGCAAGCTAGCTAGCGGGGTCGGTCGGGCAGCTCTCAGCACCAAGCCGGGAAGTCCAGAGTTATTACACGTAGACTTATCGCGGCATACACACACTTTATCCATGTGTGTAAGAAAAGTAATTTCCGTCTCGGAGAGCTCTTGGGGTCTCGTGAAGCGCGAGAAAAATCATTTTTGTTACAGATTTTCGGGGAGGGGGGAGCTGAAAGACAGATCTTATAAAATGTTATAGATTCTATATCGTTTTCAAAATGGGTTGTTTATTACTCCACTGCTGCGAGAATCGTCATCATCATTGTCATCGTCATAATTCTCCGACAGGATTATAATAATAATAATAATAATAATAATGAATTTATATAGCGCAGCTTTTATTCAAAATATATTCAGCTGCACTCTAAGAAAAAAGGGTGCAAAAAAGGGTGCAAAATAAGAGTTTGCACCCTTTACATAAAAATGAACCCTATTGAAGGAAAAGGGGTTCAAAAAAGGGTGCAATATAAGATTTTGCACCCTTCCCACAAAAATGAACCCTAAAAACCCCAAAAGGTGCAAAATAAAAGTTTGCATATTGCATGCATATTCATGATTACTTTTCACGTGTTCACATAAAAATACATTTATCATATGATCTGTTAAGCAAATTATGACAATGCACATCAATTTTGTGATTTGTATTTTCCTTCGGCAATCATTAACCAATAGATTATTTTGTCTGATCATGTTACAATTACATTCACGTTTTAGCAATATACTAACCAAGAAACATCATGCATGTTTAATATGTATATGTGTACGAGCAAATGTCACGAGTATTCCTCGATGATGGGTGCAGGATTGCACCTTTTAAAGGGTGCAGGATTGAACCCCTTTAATAAGGTGCTGCTATTGCATCGGTTTGCACCCCTAAAGGAGCATAAAGGGTACTAACATGTCTCCTAAAAGGTGCATTCTGGCACCCTCCTAAAGGGTGCAGGATTTAACCCCTAAAGGTGCTGCTATTGTTGCATCGGTTTGCACCCCTAAAGGTGCAGGATTGAACCATAAAGGGTACTAACATTTCCCCCAAAAGGTTCAAGCTGGCACCCTTTTGAAGGGTGCAGGATTGCACCTTTTGAAAGGGTGCAGGATTTAACCCCTAAAGGTGCTGCTATTGTTGCATCGGTTTGAACCCCTAAAGGTGCATAGTTGCACCATTTTTTCTTAGTGTGTGCGCTGGAATTATTTGTCGCTATTTCTGGGTATATTTTTATGTTGGGAAATGGCCCCACTTTAAGATAATATTATTGGCCTTAGACAGGGTTTATTATTTAATTCAGAATAAAATAATTATCTCCGATACCCATGGACCTATGTTACAAATAATTGTAAATGCAAATATAATTTAAATTATTCTGCTTTTTCATCAAAAAATCATTTCCCTTTTTCCCCTACAATGACCCCGCTGCAGCTGCAAACCAAATTTAAGTACCCCTCGCCCCCCCCCCCAATTATATTGCAAGGTCGAATAATATAATCATGAACTTAACGAAAATAAAGTAGTAGCAGTGGATTGTCAGAACGAAACACTGATTTTTTTTATCCGAGTCCCGGGACCACATCAGCTCACTCACAATTCAAGCAAGCCCCACCCTCTCCTCTCTCTCTCTCTCTCTCTCTCTCTCTCTCTCTCTCTCTCTCTCATTCTCCCCCCCCCCCCCTCTCTCTCTCTCTCTCTCTACGTTTCCCTCTCCATCTTCCTCTCTATTTCAGAAAGAACTACAAGGGCTTTTAGAAGCACGCAGATTTTGTTTAATGTTCACAAACCCCACCAAGAAAAATGGTTACCATGCAGGTTTTATTAAAGCTTGTTTTGTTCATTCTTAATCAACTAAGGGCGAAGCTTTTTCCGCGTCATGATACTCTAGAATGCATATTTTCAGCATTTCAAAATTAAACATCTTTTGGTCCGCTCCCTCGGACAGTATAACAACCTGTAAAGACGTGCTTTATTGGTCTTGTAATTTAGATACAGGCTTGATTGTGTGGAATGCAAATTTCAAATAGCGACTTAGATCTATAGAGGGTCGGTGATTCCGAAAGCCAATGCAAGATATATCCTCCTAGAAAGTATCCTCCTACCCCCTATTAATGTATGCTATACATTGCCCAAAAGTATCCTGTTCGACTGAGCTGCGAGATGAAAAGTGTTCACATTCGACTTCCAAAGTGGGGGGGGGGGGGCTCCTAAAAAGAGGGCACTTTCTGGAAGAAAAAAAAAGGTATCCTGCAAAGGAAAATCTCAAGGCGAAAATATACATTTTTTTTAGACATTGGTACATATACCCCTATTTTGTACATTGTGATAACATTATCAGGGATGATTTCAATATTTGTAGTGAGCACATTTTTTTTTTTTTGATCCTCAAAAAAATTTCTATTTGCACCCCCCCCCCCTTGAGCGCCAGGGGGGGGGGGGGCCCAACCCCCAAAAAAGGTAAAAATCACGTGATTTTACATGATTTTTTTCTCAAGGGGGGGGGGCCCGGGCCCCCCGGGCCCCCCCCCCTGGATCCGCCACTGCTTCTTACACCTGAAAAGAAGCACTCACCAGGGATGAAAAAGGCACTTATGACATTGGAAAATGGGCATTTGTCGATAGAAAAGGGGCACCCATCAGATTTTTATAGGGGCATTTAGAGGTGAAAAGGAATAGGTCCGTTATGAGAGAGGAAAAGAGACGCGTATAATTGTTAGAAGGGAAATTATCAAAGGTGAAAGGGGGCACTGACCAAATATGAAAAGGCCACTTATGCGAATGGAAAAGGGGGCACTTATAAAAAGGAAATGTGCATTTGTTGAAAAAAGGGGCACCGATCAGATTTTAATAGGGGCGTTTATCGGAGGTGAAAGGGGGCTTTCATGAAAAGGGGAAGTGGCTCATATTAAGAAAAACGAGCATCTCTCATATTTGAAAAGGGGCAATTATCGGAGGTGAAGGGGGCACTTATCTGAAGTGAAAAGGAGTAACTTCTCGTAAACAAAAATGGTCATTTACCTAGAGATAAAAAGGGGCACTTAAATGAATGACAATTAAGGGGCATCTATTGCAAAGGAAAGTAGGAACTTGTCGAAGAAAAAAGGGCACGTGTCAAAATAAAAGGGGCACTTTTCAGAAGTGAAAAGGGGAAGGGGCACTTTTACAAAGTAATAGGGGAACTCTCCTATGTAAAAAAGGGGGCACTTTTCCTATGTAAAAATGGGATTCTTTGGGGGTAGTTTATAAAGTGGGAACACTGTGCCCCCCCCCCCTGAAAGCGCCGCACCTGGTTAAAAGTTCAAACTCAAATACGGAATGTAATAAATGTAATTTGTAAAAGGTTGATCAAAGTTTAATCTTCCCCATGTTACATGTAATAGTCAGTATTTTCCCTTGAATGTTGCGTTCCTGGGTCTTCCTCCTTTCCACAAAGGGACATTTGATTGATGAACATAATTATCACCAAATCATCGCATATTTTAGGGATTCTTTGATTGAATGTATTATCACAGAACTGGAAAATATGGATTTTTCCATTTTTGTGTGTACTGACCTCACATCGAAAACTCCAGCAGACGACTCTTTTTTTATAGTCGTCTCAAGATGGCGCTAAATTCAGCGGGGAAAAAATAAAGTTGACATCAAGGCAACATGTGTAAGTTCTGAATGCACACCTAGTTCTCGGCGACATTAGAGTGACCTGGTACGGGGCAGGACCGGCGGGACGATCGGCTGAATAAGGACTGATGAATCTTGTTGTGTTGTCTGAGAAACAAATTTATTGCCTTTAGACTTATGGCATTGCGGTTATCGGTAAGTATGTCTAACACTAAATTATATAGGCTATGTTATTGGTATTGGTATAGATCTAATGGTATTGAAAGCATAAAGTGTTAGTGAGAAACATTAGTGAGATTGAGAAAGTAAATGATTGATACTGTCTGAGTCAGTGAGTGATACTGATGATAGTGATACACTAGTCCGTCTGACTCTGAGTGCGAGTCGGACTGTAAAATAATTTTAAGTCACATTGCATTGTAAACTCGAAGCTACATTTATAGTTATTCTCCAACATTGACGGAGCTCCCATCCCAGTTGTTGTAGAAACCATAATTAACCATATGATAAACTTTAACTCCAGGGAGCCTGGCTCCAACGGAGCTTCTTTTGTAGATTTGCTTGTAGGTTTTCACAAAGTGTCACTGTCGGTGTTGAGTAAATTGGACGAGACCAGGCTATTTGTAGATGAAAGGGAAGTATTTCATAAAAATTACCTCTGCTATTTCTAATATCTTGAATAAAGGGCATGTTTTTTACACAAAAATTGACTAACGAGTCCCCAAACCTGACGAGATGACCAAATTATTTGAAGTAGACTCTAGATCTAAGCCACTAAAACTAGGAAGTACTAAACCACTGCTTTCCATCATCACATGTTCATTCAGAAGATAATGCTTGCTGTTTGTAACAAATTACTAAATGATAAATCTAATCCCAACTGCAAATTGTATAATAATATCAATAATATCACTATAGAGGTCTAGTCTATTCCCACTATAATAATTCCTTCGTCTTCTTCTTCTCCTCCTTCTTCCCTTCTTCTTTGTCAGTCAGGTTCTTATTCTTAGTTTCTTCATAGATTCTATATAAATTATTCATCCTGTTCATCCTCATCATCAATTTCATAGTCTTCTTTCTTTCTTGATCCCTTCCTTCCTTTTTTCCTTCTAAATTCTCCTTTTCCCTCCTCCCTCTTCCTTCTCTTCATATTCTTAACTTCTTGAAATGCCAATTCCTCTTCTTCATCTTCCTGCCCTACATGTAGACCCAGCGCGTATGCAGGGGTGGGAGGTTGGGGTTACCCCCCCCCCCTTATTATTTTGTATGTGTGTGTTTTGGAGAAGGAAACCCCTCCCCCCCCCCCCCCCTCTTCTTTTTAATTTTTTTTTTTAATTTTATTTTTAATTAAATTAAAAAAAATAAATACAAAAATGAATATGCTGAACAATGACCTAAAAATGTGACCTTACCCCCCCCCCCCACCCCTTAAAGAAAATTTTTTGGACCAAAAAAAAAAATGTGCTCTTACCCCCTGAGAGGTTGCAAAATTTTCGGCCCGATTTGAAAGTGTTAACCCCCCCCCCCCCCCCCCTCCACCCCTTAAAGAAAAATTATGCGTACGCGCTTGTGTAGACCCCAACATCTTTATTAGGTAAAATATGCATTTAAGTTTGAAAGGTTTTCATAGGCTAAATGATGAAGATTTTTCAAATATACAAATAAAAAAAAAGAACAAATACAATAAAGATTTTTTTTTTAAATTGTAATAATACTAAGTATTCTTGTTGATACAAATGTTTTTTTTTTAAATTTTATGTCAAGTATCATAATTAGGCATCAAGATGGATATTAGCAATCATTAATGATGAATATCAGTTATATATATTCTATTACATTTTTTAATGAAATAAAAGTTGCTTTCAAAGATATTGAGCAAAATCAGTCAAGTAAACAAATTACAAGTGTGTGTAGACTGTAGACCCTAGTCTAACATAAGAAAGTTTTTAAAGGTTAAATTTCTAAAGGTATATGTAGTTTTAGTTAAATGGCATACCTTTGGGGGAATTTTAAATGGAAGTGTGCTATTTGACTACTATTATATTGCACATATGATGTAGCATTTAAAGTAGTCTTTTTTAATTCATTCAACATAATGAAATTAGATATTCATAAGGATAGCAAGTTCTAAATAAAGTGAGAAAAAAAGAATTTGAAAAAATGGTGTACCGTATATCACTATGGATCAGTAGTCAGTACATGTTAAATGTAAATTGATGAATCAACTTAATCGTTGCCTGATAATTTGTAATGTACCAGCAAATAATTTATGCTAGTTGGAAGCGATTTTTCATGTAGCTCGGAGAAAAACTAACGGAGCCCTGGAAAATTCGAGAGAAAAAGCTATCCAAGTAAAAAATACTAAATCGCAAGTAAATAAAGAAAAAAATGTCCTTGTTCATATGAAAATACTTTTTATGTCAGCTACATGTTTTTATATATGTACATCATGTACATGTATGCCAGCAGACTATTCCATTCACTGATTGTATGAGCACTTATTCACCAGGCACATTTTGCACACTGCACTAAAATACCCAGGAAAACACTAGATCACCACATAAAAACTTATGCATGGGACTGTAGTGAATAACCCATATATATGCTAATGCAGTGACCTATGACCCGTGACTTCTGAGCATGTGCAGTAGTGCTTCCTAGTTTCCTGAGCATGTACATGTACAGGCATTGAGTATACATGTATGTATTATAGCCATATTGCTACTTCTTCTATTGAGGTAATAATCTGGGGACTGACAATGAATCACTGAGTTAGTAAAGTGGTATTTTATTGATATTTTGGTGTCTTGAAGTTCGAAGAGCTCTGAAGAACGCGTTGGTCCTGTAAGTCACCAAATTCTTCATAATATTATTTAATACATACTTTGTGCATGGAGATAAAATCTCCATGCTTTGTGTACATGGTATACCGGTAGTGTACATGTATATCGTACGTATGGTAACAATTTGTGGGATAACATTTATTTGAACTTTCAAGCAAATCTGAGAATTACATATCCGGTACATGTATAATGTTAGAAGAGTTTTTTATTTGTGCGTTTTACAAACAAATTTGCGCAAATTGCAAAACTAAATGATTTTGATCAATCATACTATATACATTTGACAATTTACAATGTAAGTCCTTATTTTGTAGCTCATCCTATGGTGGCCGGTGTGGCTCATTATATATTTACCAATTTAATTTTGTTGGATTAATTTAATTGAGTAATTGGTGATTTACTTTCAGTCCATGTACTTCTTTTCCATTCATACTAGTATAGTAAATTATCATGATTTGTTCTCGACGTCCATATTGGTACTCAACATATACATGTAGGTTTTTTTTCTACATGTACATTATTTGCTAATTTTAGAAGCTCAGCTCAGTCATTCAAGTGTTTATGTGATGTATTTTTTTGAAATGTTGAATAAGTAAAAGGAGTGTAGCCTGTCGAGACTACTTGTCTTTCCCATGCCCTGACTCGGGGGGCCAATCGCAAAATCGGGTATAATACGACTACGGAAGACACGACCGCAGCAATCATGTGCTTGCAACACAAACGCGTGAAACCAAGGCGTGAGGAGAATTTTGGTCTGTTTGGCAAATGCTGACCATGTTGAGATTAAGTCGCTGACTACCGTTAATCAAGTCCATTCGTTTACGTCTGGGTGTCCAAAATAAAAGGTAGATGGCATTAACCAGTATCTACCAAGCTACACTCCCTTTAGGTTTGGATTCAGAATGAATGCTTTATCAGTAAATTGACAGATGACTCTTATTTGATTTTTTTACCAGGTAATTTCATTTTCAATTTGCAGATGCATGCAGACTGAGGGATGACCTTGAAGTGTTCCCTTTGACCACTGTGTTGTAGATGGTTCTCTTCAGTCCTCTGCGGTCACCTGCATGTGAGGTGTAACGCCTGAAGCAGAAACTTAGCAAGGACAATGGAAAGTACTCCGGTCAAGATGGATTTTAGCAACGATGGTCACTTTCCTCTTGCGCTGCGACGGACGCATCGGGCGAATGCAGGGTTGGTATTTAATATTTTTTGAATTGTCTAAAGGTTTCTAACAACTTGACAGAACGGTACTGAGAGCATGGATCTTTGTAGTACATCCATGCTGCTACTCAAGTAGGTCCATGCCGAGTAATTTTCAAGTGAGGACGTTGATAAGTTTGTGTCTTGCAGTAGTCATAGCCTGAAGAAATGATAATGTGTACGATAGATTTTTTTTTTCATGAAAAACTTCTCCTTTATTTAAATTACTTGTTACAAAAATCATTTCTTTATTATGCAACTGCACAATTTTTTGTTTGTACTTGTACTACTGAAGTTGAACAGAAAGCTTTAAATCCAGCTTTTTTTAAAGATAAACCTTAAAAAAGGTATGTACATTGCATCTGATTGAAAGAGCATGGCACTAAAATACAACACCACCTATGTGCTGATATTGCACCCTTTTTCAAATAAACTTGATGCAATGTTGATATTAAGACTTCCATTTTTGTAACAGATGCACACAAAAAGTAATTATTTGTCTGTTTGTGCTCATACAGCCTTGATGACGATGATGGCTTCTTGTATAGCGCTGGTGTCCGCAAAATTTATATTGATTTAGATTTATTCACTTTGTATCTGTAACTTGCTGACATGGACACTGTGTAGTTTAAAAATGTTTTTAACTTTTATGATATTTAGTAACCTTGCCCCCTCCCCAAAGTAGAATAACATATCAATTTTACTTTTTTATAGAGCCAAGAGGAAGCAAGCGGAGGAAGAGTCAGTTAAAGCAAAAGGTAAGAAAGAACAATGAATCTTATTGAATTGATGTGCTGAGAAATCAAAGTTCTTGTTCAAGCTTTTTTTCCCCACAATCCATACTCAAGGGGGAAATTGGAAATGCATAATGTGTGGTCCCCATCTTTGACTATGAAGTAAAGCCTGGTGAAACTGTTGTGATCATCAAAAATAACTTTTCACTTGTGATTTAAAAAGATGTCTTTTATATGTTTCAGATACTGCTAACTATCTTACCATGTATTCTTTTTAGATAAAGAAAAAGAGATGAAAAAGAAGAAGAAGAAGAAGCTTCCTGCATCACCGAATGTTGCAGCAAACTCTCCACAGTCTGTAACAAAGATGGCAGCAGACTTTATCCGGTCATCAAAGACAAAGGTTCCTGTTCCAAAGAGCATCAAAAATTGGGTAAGTAGGGAGTTGTGCAACTTTAATACAGGAATATATTCTGAGGATAGTTCTCTCTGATTTGTGGCCATATGGATAATGGTCACCATGCTTGTCGTAGCACCTTTCCTCTCGACTTGTACATCCCCTAGTATGTTCTTTCAATCAATTCATATTTCATCTCCATCGTGAACGTTACGTTACTAATTGGCCACATTGAGAGGATTCTTTGAATAAATTCACATATTTCCTCTCTATCTTCAACATAAAAATAATGCCGTCTCTTCTTTAACCACTATTTCAGCATCCACACAATGACTTCTACTGCTGGGTGTGCCACAATCAGAGGCGCGACGGTAATTTCTTGTACTGTAACGTCTGTCCGAGGGTCTACCACGACACCTGTGCCAAGCTCCCCTGCCCCCAACCGGACTGGGTGTGTCTGGAATGTGAGGTAAGAAATCCACACTGAAGGTGAAGATATAGACCCCTTGGTGTCAAGGGCAAGTCCAAGATAATAAGCCAGTTCATGGTTGCAATCTGAGCATGAGCAGATAAAGGTCATTGCAGAACAAATTGTGAATACACAGAGACAAAATACTGGATACATGCTCATGAAAGTTATGTACCGGAGTGTTGGCTCAGTCAGTAGAGCGTCCGCCTGACAACTGGGAGGTCGTGGGTTCAAACCCCGGCCGCGTCATACCAAAAGACGTTAAAAGATGGGAGTTGTTGCTACCTTGTTTGGCGTTCAACAATAAGGGATAGAGCAATGTCGATCTGGCGCTGCTCAGTGGCTGCCAGGCTCAAGATCAATTGGGCAAAGAGAAATTCTGTTTCGGTTTAATAAAATTTGGAGTGGACTATTAGACTATTATTATAATCATTATTCATTTATGCACAAGCAGTGCACTCTATGATACACAGGTGGGAAGTATGCTTTGAAAAGGGGAAACAAAAGCCATTTATGTAGCACCTCCATCACTGTAGGAGTGATTATTTCAAAATGTAAAAAGTGGGACATCTTCATGTTTTGAAGATCTGTGGATATTCAGGGTCGTTTTGGACATGTGCTAACCATGAACTGGTCTATTGGTATTTGTTGTCCAATACGTTTAATACTGAGATAAACTTAACACCGCAAATGTCCTTTTTCTTCGTCTGATCCAAGCTGTAGTAGGGCTGTCAACTTGATAAACTCACTTGGTATGCTAAAGACTCCTATGAGGTCTGCTATGTGGGCAAAACTTTCTTGAACTTTCTCTCAAATATTGTATTTTCAGAATTATGCAACTCACATTACATGTACCTTTGCCTTTACGAACCGAACTTACTTCAACTCTTTCAAATTTATTAAAAGCGCAGTTTATCACTCTATTTTCCCTCACGGGCACTGTCTACAACGACATGCAATTGAGCTTACATGTAATCTACTGCAACTAGGCTTGGGTGTTTTATCAACCGCAACTCTAGTTATCAACAGTCGTAATTTATCATTGTGTAAGAACGTTTGTGGTCCCAGGTTTTGAGAGCTTTCAGCTTATGGAATATTTATGTAAACATTCTGTTATAATAGATAAACAATAATAATAATGGGTTCTTGAACAACTTTAAATTATTAAATCTTTGATGAATATGTTGCATGAGTTCTAATCAATTGACAGTGCTGCTTTCCAAATGTTTTACCATAATTATTATTTTTTTTAATAATTAAGAATACATTATATATTTTTTTTATGGTAAATTTTATCTCTGTTATCTTCATATTTGCTCCATCAGAAAATCACAGATGCAGAATGTACGGAAACACAGTCCAATGCCATGGCTTTGCTCTCTGTCGATAAATTGGCAAAGGTTCTACGTACATCTATAGAAAAGATGAAACGATACACAAATGTAAGCGATTTCAAGATTATACTTCTATTTATTATTGGAAGACTTGTCTTTTTTGTGTACGTGTGCTTGTCATTTCTGAGTCAAGTGAATGTCACTTTCTGAATAATATAGATATTGCATAGTACAGCCACCCACCAAGAAACAACAAAAGATGCATAAAACATTCATAAACCTGAAAATTCTCTTATAAAGGTTTTGCAGCTCATCCCATACTTCCCTAGATCTATTCATCTTTTGTCAAATATAGGAAAAATTAAGTAAGTATTTTAGTGCATGTTTTGTCAGAGTTTCCAGTTTGGGGATGAATTCTTGAAATTATTATAGCCTTTTTAGATGCACTGAATGATACTACAAAATGCCCTTTATTATGAATGTGCACTTTATTATTGGACATTATTGGAATATTATTATTATTCACCTTGAAATTGTCATTGTTTCTCCCTAGTCACTGCTGTTCACTCCTATTGATGACTTGAGGGAGTTTCGAGACTACAGACAGTTTGTATATCATCCCATGGATCTGTCTGTCATGGAAAAGGTATTCTATCTCTTTCAATACAAGTTTTCTAACTATCTTGTCTAGTTACATGTACATACGTGTACCTACATGTGCGTTTGGTAGACTGTATTTCAGTAGGACGTATATCATTTTATGCCATCTTTGCACAGATTTTCAGGTAAATTTTGAGTTTGTATATCATCCCGTGGATCTGTCTGACATTGAAAAGGTATTCTATCTCTTTCAATACAAGTTGTTTGACTGTCCCAATCATTAATGATATTTAACTCGTGTAAGGATACTTTCTGCATACATGTACATACGTGCAGTCCCACATGTGCGTTTGGGAAACTGTATTTCAGTAGGACCTATATCATTTTATGCCATCTTTGCGCAGATTTTCAGGTAGATCCTGAGTGTATTCATTGTTACCATGCATGCTTGAATAGTCAGTGCTTGGGACTTGTAACAACTGGTATTAAACGCCATAGAATCTGAATTTGTTTACCTTTTATTAAAATACAGGATGTACCTTTTTTCATGTGAGAATGATGTGTCACTGAAAACAAAGTACTACTTCTGGTGAGGGCCAGATAGGCATTAACTCATAAACTTTTACACAGACTTAACGTCCTTCTGGCTCTCAACAGACTACTAGATTGGAGAATAGCGTTGAAGAGAGTAAAACGCAAGAATGAAACAGAAAGCCGAAATCGATCAATATAAACGGAAACTAAAAGGAACAAGGCGCGAATATAACGAGCCATATCTCCAGTTTTGTAGTACCAATCATCTTTTCAGACTACTAGATGCATTTCATCTGTGAGATATGATATAACAAGTGTTCCATTCAGTAGAAGATGCAGCATCCATCCCACCTCACTCATATACATTAACTCACGTATATCTTTTCTTACGATCTCATCTTTAGAATGTCCAGAGTAGATCTTACGGCTCAACAGAGGCCTTCCTAGCAGATGCCAAATGGATTGTCCACAATGCCTTCGTCTATTTTGGAAGTAAGTGTGAGAGTAGTGATTAATGTACGTTCAAACCTGCTTTAGTGACCATCTGTCTACAACAAGCAAATTTGTTTTTCTCTCTTGAAAATGGTTTCTCATTGAAACATGTACTAAAGGAAGCTGTCTAGAAAGACCACCTATCTATAAAGACCGTTTTTTTGTTTCCCTTGGGTGGTCGCTGTAGACAGGTTTGACTGTACATGTAATAGTTATAACAATTGAAGAAGTTGATCATAATCATTGGTTTACGTAGACATGTAAGAACAGATACATGTATGATGTGAAGGAACCCACCTAAAGTGCTTTTAGACAACTTACATGTCTGCTAGAATAAGTACCAGCTTCTTGGAATGTCTCAGAGTCTCCTCTCTTCCTCTCTCACCCCCCCCCCCCCCCCAAAAAAAAAAATTCTCCTCATCCACCCATTTGTCTTCAAGTTCCTTTATGTGTTATTTAAACCACGCTCCATGTTCCTTTCAATTCTGCAGGTGGGAATAGGTATAGCAATGCTGCTAAAGCTCTACTAAAGGCTTGTGAAACAGAGGTAAGTTTGATATATATCTCAGCTAAATCATAAAAAGACTCCACTATATTGAAAATGTTACTGTATTTTCCTATGAACAAGAACATTCCTGCCCATTGTGTTCACTCTGTATAGAAAATTAAATGCAAGAATGTTTCAGAATTTCAAATCTTGCCCCTCCCCATTATACAAAAATTTGTATATTTTTGTGCAATTAAACTGAGTGTTAATACAAACTAAGGAAAATTTAGATTTCACACACATATTTGTGCCATTCCAAGGAGACTCTTAATATTTTACACCAATCCCGGATGATTTTGGAACATACTTGAAGAAGTATGCCCCAAATTTCTATATCACAGGCTCATGCTCCATAAAGCGTGTATATTGTTTGTTTAATCCTAGATGGCTGAGGTTGAGCTATGTCCAGACTGTTACCTGGGTGCTGTCTATAAGCGACCTCAATGGTTTTCAGAAGTCTGCGTAAGTACTCAGTAGATATTTTTTCTTCCCCTCAGCCCGATGTATACCAGTTCCTCTAGATTTGCACTTCCATTACCAGAACTCCAGACTAGCTTGATAACAACTAATGATATTCATCTCCCTTTCTGCAGAGCTTGTGTAAATTACTTAGTAAGCTGCCGAGGAGAACTTGCTTCATGACCATGACCCATGTTCATTTATGTTGTTCTGTTAAACATTTTGTATTTAGGAGAAACTAAAATTATATGTTTAGTACCATCTATGTGCTTGTCAGTTCAGAAGTAATATACCTTCACATTCTCTCTCAACATACTAGGCTAAACCTTCTTAACATTCAGAGTTAATTTTTTTTTCTTCTTTCTCTAAAAATATGTTTCAGTTTCAAGAAATCAAAAGTTGGGCATAAGCTATATATTATGTATTTGTCAACAGAGATTAATTCTCCTTTACACTTCCCTCAACATTCTTGAGTTTAAACTGTCTTAACCTAATGACCAAATGATTTTGTTTTTGTTTTTCAGACCAAACCTCATCCTCTAGTGTGGGCTAAGCTTCACGGTTTCCCTTTCTGGCCTGCTAAAGTGAGTATTATGTGTTAGTTGGAACATGTACATTCCCACCACCCCCACCCCCCCCCCCCCCAAAAAAAAAAATGTCTTTGAAATAATTGTTAAATTGTTTGACATCCTCCCAATTGTACCCTTGATTTTTGTAATGGTACATTGTATATCAACAATACAGAAAAGATAGTATAAACTGTGATGATTATAAATTTGAAAACCGATAATAAACAAGAAAAAATTCAAAATGAAGGATGTTTGGGTATTATGGTGATAGTGAAGGATTGTAATAATGTAAGTGTTTCCAAGATTATAAACAAAATCCTGTATTTAGCTCATGCTGCATCATAATTATAAACCTTTAGGTCAATCAGGAATACCATGACTTTTACAAGCCGATTGCCTGTCTGATTATCAAGATATTTATGATCGCAAATCAGAATTTCAAAAACCGTTCTCCCAACAGTTTTTATAACACTACAGTTTATTGGGGGAAATGAGTATGGTAAAACCAGTCACTCAAAGATTTTTACATTTTTGAGGCACTTCATGATCATTTTGAAGCGCAATCTTTTCAGGGCTTCAATATTACACCATATCACAGACACTGATAACACGTAGGGCCTTGCATCTCAGATTTAACATTGTTAAACGATGCCTTTAATAGCATTATTACATTATCTTTGTTCATGTGATCTTTCACTCAGGCAATGAAGGAAGAAGATGGTCTTCTTGAGGCTCGATTCTTTGGACAGCACGACAGAGCCATGATACCCGTTCACAACTGCTTCCAATACTCCACCAAGATCCCTTTCCCAGCCTCCAAGAAAAGACTGACGGGGCTCAACTCCTCCATCAAGGAGGCAGAGCTCCACATAAAAAAACTGGAAGAGAAGCGGGGAACCCCCTACAAGTACGCCCCTCACCTGACCCCGTATGACCCCAACAAGCGCTACACCACCAGCTCTCTGGCAGTCATGCCTGACGGGAAGGTCAAGAGCCTCACGGATGCAGGAAGGAATGCTCAAATGAGGGGGAAGATCGTCGTCATCGAGAACAGGGAGGAGGAGTCTAAGAAGAAGGAAGATATGAATGGTGGGGGAGATGACAACATGGATGATTCAGTCGCTTCAAGTATTGAGAATGATAAGGCAGCTGGGAAAGGGGACACAACAGCAGAGATGAAGACGGACCCCAAGGTCTCGAGTGAGGATGACAGTGAGGTAGATGTAACAGGAGATACATTACTCTCTCCTGAGAAGCTCGACCACAGCTATGCATGTAGGGATGCTCAGGAAAATGTGAAGCAAGAAGTAGAGAATGACATACAAGACAAACCGTGTGAGGATTCTAAAGAAAATGTGAGTCATTCACAGGAGAAGGGAAAAGATGACCAAACTGATGCACCAGACAAGAAATGCAGTGACCATGAGGACAAGGAATCATCCATTCGTAGGAAAAGAAAATTGTCTGAGTCACATTCACAACAGCCTGAGAAGGTGCCAAGGATGTCTTCAGTCAAGGAGGATAGCCAGGAAACTGACGAGCCAGATGATGTAGATTCTGATAAGCTACAAGCTTCGAGTCCTGTAGATACCCTGAGAGGGGTAGATACATGTAGCAAAGGGTCGCATGAGTCACCATCTGCAGCATCAAATACATCATTCGATTCTCCAAGCTCAAAGACACCTGTCGACAAAAACAAGGACGGCTTTAGTATCCTTCCCAGCCGCCTTCCTAGCCTTGATGATCTGGAGGCCAATGTGAATTCATCTGAATCAAGCTCAAGCATCGCTGAAAATGATGCGAAGTCTAATCAATCGACACCCAGAAAGGATACCTTTCTCTTGGACCTTGGCAAGACCATTGACACTTGTAAGGCATCCCTGGGTATTGAGGAGGAGATGGAGGACGAGAATGCAGATGATGAGGATGGAATGGAAGATGCTGATACGACAGGTGATGAATCGATGGAGAGTGAGGTTGATGAATATGAAGATGCAGAGAAAGAAGACACACAAGTTACAAACACCTCCAATGACACTGGTGCCATGGATGATGGGACTGAGGATAAAGAGCATGCAGGAGAAAATTCGATGGAAAACAAGGAAAATGGAAGGGTAAAGGAATCTAAAGACCTAGTTAAGCAGGTAATTGAAGGAGATGATGACTTCGAAAATATGGAAAATAATGAGATGGCTAAATCCAAAATATTGGAACAAAATGCACGCACTGAAGAAGAGAAGAAAAATGAGGAAGAGACAGTCAACGATAAAAAGATAGATGAAGACTTGGCAGAGAAAGGGTTAGATGCCTCTGCATCCATCACCAAGACATCTGAGATTGGAGGTGAATCCACAACGAAAGAACCATCTGGGTTAGAAATAAAGAATGAGCCCCAATCAGTTGGACCAAGCAAGTTGAAAGACGCACCATTTGAGACAGGTCCAGCTCAGGGCAGGGAAGGTCAAAATGATGACGATGATGATGATGATGATGATGATGATGATGTTGATGGAGGTGACGAGGACTTTGATGATGATGATTCATCTGATGGAGCGTTGCTCATTGATGAAGGAGAGGACTCTGGGATTCCAAACAAAAAACAAGATGGGACACCTACCAAAGTGAAGTCGGCAGATCAGGAAACCAAGACTGGTGGGGATTCAGAAGCTTCTCCTGCAGATACTGTCAACAAGAAGGAAACGATTCCTAAAGAAGCGCACCCTGAGCTCATACAGGACACTGTCCCTGGTAAATCAGCAGGGGCTGAAGCAAAGAAGGAAGAAGCAAAGGGCAAGGAAAGCAGTGACAAGGATGCCAGGAAGCTATCGGGAGCGGAAGGCAATAAAGTAGCAAACTTGTCCGAGACAGCCAAACAGTTGTTGCTGGGAACTCCAAAGCCAGTGATAGTAGACCCAGACTACAAAAAGTTAATTGCCAAGGTAAAACAATTTTATTCATTGCAATGTATACAACTAACACCTCAGTATTTATACAAGTTGCAGACATGTTTCAAAGAGAAATTGGTACTAAGGTAAGTTTGTCTGTACCATGCAATATTTACATCTGGTTTTTATGACACATTCTTCAGTGACAACCCCCTTGGGTCAAGTACGTAAACTATGCATATTTTGAACTCCAAATATGGACCAAGCTGTATACCTTACCCTAAACCTAACAAAAAGGCACATGGAACCCTAACCCTGCCCCTATATCCTTGACATAAAAAAGCCCTTGGCATTTGTAGCCTAGCAATGGTAAAACTTGTATTATAGATGACACCGTAACATCTCCAACATGCTTCTCTTCATTCTAGGTCGTTGACGATGCCATAAAGTCCTTCAAAGAGCTTGATTTGAGTCTTGCAGATGCCAGCGAAGACCTCAAGAAAATTGTACTCGATCTTAAAAGGGAGGTCATTTCACTCAAGGCTAAGCAGGAGCTCCAAGAGAACGAGTTGCTGCACTGCAACAGTAAGTTTAGATTCGTTCTGTTTGCAGAATCTGTTGCTGCCACCATCAAAGGGCTCTGCATTTGGCCTTAATTTCACTATTTGTAATTAAATGATAAAGAAATTAAATGAGCTTTGTACATTTATTGTACATTGTAATTTTTAGCATCTTTATGTAGATTTTACGCAGTGTAACCATCTACCCAGTCAAAGAAATTGCTTCCTATTAAAAAAAAGATGATTCCCTTGTTTACCATATGGATACAAACTGAGGAATCTCACGTGGTAATGCGCGAAGAACAAGACAAAGACAACTTGTGAAATGTCCCGAAGCTCATTAGCACACTTAAATCTGCACATAATATCAAGGTACTTGGAGTGGGTAGTTCCAAGTTGTGCATGTACAATGCAGTAACAATAAGTGCTGTCTTTTTCAGTATAATGTTTAAGGGCTTGTGTCAAAGAGTCTAGAATATGCATTATATATGAGATGGGCTGAATTAAAAAAAATTGATGATGTGCTGTAAAATAGAAACGGCAGTAACCGTCCTGATTTTTTTGGTTGATAATTAGAGCTTGCTGCAGCGGAGATCCGCCAAGTGATGGAATACAGTCGAGACTGCAAGCTGAACAAAGTCAAGAGAAGGTTCGACAAGCAGAGACGAGATGCCATCTTTGCCACCAAAGGAAAACAATGGGTGAGTGGAAAGGAAGAAAGTAACTAGAGAATGAATTTGTATGATATGTGAGAATAAAAGGCAGTTGAATTGTGTCCAGTGTAAAATGTACCTTCTCATCTTCAAGAGCTCTCTTGAGATATTGCTCAGAACTAGGAGTGACTATAATTATGTTCTCTTGTTTAAATCCACAGCACTGTTGAGATTTCCAGATCAATTTTGGAGCTTTCCATAGCTCAATTATATGTAGCTCTCAACTTGGAAGTTGTTGTGAATGAGAGTAGGCCTTGTCACATATGTATTTCATACCTTGGCAGTGCAGTGTACTTGTCCAATCCTTGTACAGTTACACTGGAAGGAAGTTCAGCTTTGATAAGATAATATTTTTTGGGGAGAAAATGTATATTGTGTTATTGTTTAATGATTTGAAGAGTGATGCCTTACACAAAAGAGTGACTCTCATCAACTTAGACTTGCATGAATTTCTGTCATGTTCTCCATAAAATGCTTTAAAACTGCAATTTTTGTTGGTACACTTATTAGTGATATAAATAAGAATTTCCTGTTGTTTTTGGTTTTGTTTGGTGTTGTTCTTTGATAATCTTGAAAAAGGTCAATATAAATCATATTTGAAATAACAAACATAACTATATACTTACAGTGTGTTAGCTGCTCCCAAGAGGCAAACTATTTCTGTTGCTGGAACACAAGCTACTGTAGCTACGATTGTCAGGAACGGCACTGGAGTAGGCATGAGAGAAAATGCCAGCAGAAATCTGGGAACTTCCCCTTCGTTCATCCTGGCTCGGTAAGTCTGGATCTTTGATGAAGTTGGACTGAATGTGGATGAAACAACGGGACATTGAATTGATTTAATTTGTATCCTGCTGATGGTTTTTGCTTGATTTGTATTACAAAATTTTATATATACAAAGAAGTAGGAAATTTAATACCCTTTTTTTAATAATGCCAAACATTTCCATACATAGAAAATATTGTCAAAAGAAAAGAAATAAGCAATGTTATTAAAAGGGGAGATTTATTTTTAAAAACATATCGAACACAATCTGCATTTTTTATATAAATTTTAGTGGTACCATTTCATGTTTCTTATATATTAATAACAATAATAATATTCAGCTTTTATATAGAGTTTAATACATCTCGGACGTCTCTAGGCACTTTACACATATACTTTTACCCCGGTTATTGGATTCAGTGCTTGCCCTCACACTGTGTGCACAATCTCCACTCCCTGGGGAGCATTCCAGCCAGGCGTTACTTGACGCTCAAAAACTGTTTGACCAACAATGACGGCCGCATCCTACTGGGTACCCATTTTAATACCTGGGTGGAGATTAACAGGTGTAGGCTAATATCTTGCCATAGGATATTAGTGCCGTATTGTGATTCGGACCCTCGACCTTCGCATCACTCGACCACAACACTCCCACTATATTTAGAATGCTTCCCTTGCTCCATACTCTAAGTAGTGATATGAAGTGACAACCATATACAAACTTTAGGATTATGCAATGTGTGATTGGAAATGAGCATGTTTGTCCCACATAGTTTGCTACTTTCCAAATGAGAACAAGTCAGATTTGACACAAAATGAGGGAGCTTTCAAAAAACCAGGCCTGGGCTATTTACAAGGGGCTCTTTGTACGATATTACCAACGATTAGCATCTCCTTGTTTTCTATCCTTATGTCTCTTTCTTATCAGGGCTTTGATCCTTACCGCAAGAAGAAGAAGAAAAAGAAGAAGAAGAGAGAGGAAGAGCAAGCCTGGCTGCGAGAGTATGGTTTTGACGAGGAAAGCGACGATGGAGACCCAACTTGGGAACCAACCCCAGAGGTATGAATCATTTGAACTTCACAAATAGTTAAAGCCCCACTGCACTACTTGTAGCTACTTGCTCCCTCTATATAGAAAACAATGCCTAAGCGGTGCCTGTTGGTCCCCATGATCCTCTTTTTCTTAAGTTAATTGAGAGCCGAGTTGATGAGATAACCACCTGTCAGTGACGACGCTGGATGGTCATATCCCTCTTTGCCAAACTAGTACAGACTGGCTTTAAAAGCCAGGGGTGAGCCTTCCTCTCCCTCCCCAGCCCCGCCCTATCACAGTCATTCTAAAAAGTGGACCTCTTTTATCCATAGCCTGCTTTGCCTTAAATTACTGCTCATGATAGGAAAGGACAGGCTGGCAAGAAAATTAGCCCTGTAAAACATAATTGAGATGTGTGTTTGACAATTTACAAATGGTTTATTCAGAAGGTGGTTCCAAGGAAACTGGCCTGTTATTGTAAATGACCTCATATTTGAATGATCAATCAATTAAGAGATATAGCAGAATGACTTCTTCAAATCAAAGCTAGTGTTGAGCCTTGTGTAAGGGACAGTCGATTATATGGTTCTTGTCATACAGTCCATATAATTACTGAAAGAAACATGTAAAATAAAGTTTTGTGCAAGAGCTTGAGAAGATTGGAGGGAACCTGATTCGATGGACCATCTGCCGTACTGTGTACATATGAAGAATTTCTATTCGTTGAGTGATAACTTCAGTCCCAGTTACATGCACTATTTCATTCTATGATAACAACTTCCAATATCACTTGTATGCTCCCTTGTTGTAGGGAATGCTTACAATTTCAAAACCAAAGCTGAAGATTCCCTTTCACAAATCTTTCCAACAAAATTATATTCTTTGCAGGAACTTCCTACCATGGTTCATCCAAAGAAAGGTTATACACCGCTTCCTGGAAGCTCATCTAATAATAACCCCAAGGTCTTGAACCAGCAGTGGTCTGCTAGCCAACACAAGCCCAATCGCACCTTGACCCAGCCCTCAGGAAGTCTTACAGCTCGTCCAAAATTCAACTACTCTGCGGCGTGGATGCCCAAAGGAATCAATCAACAGCTGGTTAATACTGCACCCAAGATGAACACACAGACTTCCTCCAAAATGGTGACTTTTGTCTTTATTTTCCCCATTTCTAGTTTTAGATTTTAGATGCAAGTTCACTTGCCTGTGAGCTTATGACACACTTACATTGCAGTGAACATGTTCTCTGAAAAAGATTATTCATGACAGAAATTTTCACATATTTTATTACAAAGAGAGTGTTCCTGTCACTACTTAGCAATAATTATGCATGATCCAACTGTTTGTTTTTAATAATCGACTACATTCAGGAAATTTAATTTTGTAATGCGTTTGTCATTATTGTTCCCGTAGGATGAATAAAGAAAATTGAAAAGCTTCTCCTGTGTTTGAGTTGTTTACTAATCTATGAATACATGCTGGGAAAAAAGTGGAAGTTTGATCATAATAATTATTCAGGGGTATGTCCTTATCAACTTTTTCTGGTGTAAATTAATTTCCCTTTGATACAGACCAAAACATTATTTCCATAATTACATGTGCCTCCGGAATGCCACTTTTCGTGCTATTCACTGATTCAGGCCATTTTACCTCTCTGTTTCAGGCTGTCTATTTTACGTTGTATATTGTGCTGATATCAAACATGTGTGGGTCTTGTGGGGGAAGGGGAAGTTATACTTTTGATGATTCTCTTACTCTTTGTTTCTTTTTGGGGATACCTCGCTGTCCACGACACTTAATGTCGGCTTAATATACATGTGTCATAGAAAAACATGTTGCATTCATGTAGTGTCTTTCGTTGATGAGACATGGAACTTATGTTTTGTCTTTCATTGCTTTGCAGGTGTACATTCCAAGACCACCAGTACAACAGAATAATATGCCTGTCATGAGTCAGAATCTACCTGGAGGACAATCGGTGATCATCAACCAGGGTCAGAAGCCTCTGAGGTTTGTGACGTGTCCCAAGAATGAGATGGCCACGCCAGCCAATGTGGTTTATGTGGGAGCTAACCAGCCAGGGATAAAGGGGCGGGTACCTACCAACCTGACCATGCAGGCTCCTACCGGTGGCACCGGTGGGATACAGAATCAGGGCTCTCCTACCATGTTACAGATGGGACCAAACAAGATCGGTATGTCCTCATTGGTCCAGGCGATTGGACAGCAGCCCCTACAGCAGGGTGGCAAGTTCGTCATTCAGCTGACACCTGCACAGCAGGGAGGCAACATGGTCAAGGTTACGCAGATAACACAACCTAATCAGACCGCCGGCAATGTGCCAGTCATGATTGGCAGTTTACCCTCTCAGGGTCAACTTACCCCTGCTACGATCCCGACCGGCAATCTGGTACAGAACCTTCAACCTGTCGGTAAGAAGCAGATCATGATTCCAAGACTGGCACCTGGTTCAGCACCAAGCCCGAAGCAGATAGTTATGAGTTTGCCCGATTTTACAAATACTGCTGTAAGCTCTATTAGCGTTCCTCGTGTTGCCCCTGTAGTTGTTTCAAAAACCGGTGTAGGCGGTGTTGGAGGAAATATTGCTCCTGGGGTTCATATACAAGTGGCTTCTAATGCAACTCCAAAGGGCACAACGTAACTGGAGAAGCAATTTTGATTACTAAGTATCTTTCCAAAGCCGTAAATTGGCAATAATCAAGTTCAAACGTCATGAATAATAATAATACTAATAATTAATTCATAACTATGACTAAGAAAGTGCTTTTCAAAGATTATTACGTAAAAATACCTTAGGAGCGCACACATGGGTCTGAAGAAGCTTGCTGGTGTACAGCAAAAAAATGCTTCTTTAAACAAACTTCTTTGTTGACAGGTTGTAATGAAATGTTTTCTGTACCTGTGAAAGTAGTGTAATGCTTAAGGTTTCAACCCTAGTCCGTCATTTTTTGTGTTAAAATGTGGTGTGAACATATTTTTGGGGGTGCAATTATGTTAATTAAATGTTAGTCAACAACACTCATGTTTTTGTCACAAAATGGCAACAAACATCCTACAGTGCCCATGCTGTTGTGTGTATAAGTTGATGTTGAGTGTTTATGGTACAATTTTACGTGAGAAGCTATTCTCATCGGTTCACTATGTATGAAATGTGAGTGGTTGTGTATTTGAGCTTTGGGAACTATTGAAATCATATTAAAAAGATTAAGTCTTAATGAATACATGTAGCTAAGCCCTCAGATATTGGCATACAGGACTATGCCTACCCAAACATACGATCAGTAATACTGTTGCGCTTGATACAAGCATGCACAGGGGATAAATCATTTCTACTGACTTATATATGACACATGCAAACATTTAAAAAAAGATTAAAGAAGGAGGTGCAATGGCTCAGTGGTAGAGCATTGGTCTTGTAACCGGGAGGTCCAGGTTTGAAACCAAGTCAATAGGCTCGTGCCATTTAGTTAGGCATTAATCCTCATTACCATGTCCCTCGGAGAGGACTTGAAGCCATCTTTCCCCTGGTTGCCTACTTACAAAGCATACACATGCTTTCTTAGCGGTCATGTCAAACAATTATCAAACATTTTACATGTACAATGTTACTAGACTTCTACCACAGGGTAATGATTTTAAAAAAGATGAGGTAACTGACAAATCATTTTGTAGCTGTGTAGATGGAATTTTGTCCTGTTATTATTTTGTGTGTGATGCTGCCCTCACTGTTCCAACTTATGCATGGCTTTCCTTGTGCATACGTTTCTTTTCACAATAACTCTCTGAGTAGATGCATTTCATGTTTGGTATAGAAGTGTATCATTGCAAAATGGAGATGCCTATCTTTGGTTTTGGTGTTGCTGCCCCCAGTGTCATAAATCATATAGGTTAAAAAGTGTGTTTTGCACTTCCACATTTATTTTTCAAAGATGATTTCTTTACAGCACTACGTTTTCAATCAATCTGCTGAAGCTTCTCACAATATTAACCATCAATTGATTACATTTTTCAAGAGGTTCATGTCATAGTTTATAGTATTCAAAATCAGTTTGAGTGGCATGTAAATTTTTTTTTTTTCTTTTTTTTTCTTTTTTCTTATTTTTTTCTTCATAGTGTTAAAGATCCCCCCCCCCCAAAAAAAAAAAAAATCAAATATTATATTTTGAAAAAATAAATTTCAAACCAGATTGTTATATCAGGTATGTTCTTGACTTGTTTTTAGTAAATGAGCTTTCAATTTAATATCTAGAATTATAATGGTATGATGCAAAACTATTCCACAAAATTATGAACAGCTAAGTAAAAGAAAACTGTGTACTTTGTTATGATTATGAAAGTGTCTAAATTTTCATCATAAGTTGAGGAAGCACACAAAGAATTTAAATGGTCACCATCTGTAAAAGAAATGGTTCTTCTAAGCAGTAAATGATGATAATTTGTGAACTACTGTTGAGTACTGTAGCAGATAAAGGGGATTACATACCTTAATTTTTGTATATTTTTGACTTTCATCTTGCATATAATCCAGTAGACAAGTAATTGAGATAATTGGCTCAAAAGAAGAATAATGATTGTAATTTAAGAGGAAAATTATATAATCCCAATGGGAAAATTTAATTCATCTTGTCAGCTGAAATACTGAGGTGGGAGATTATGTGTTACTGTTGATTTATATTCAATTCTTTCAAAACATTCATTCTTTGGAAAAATTTGTGTTCTGCATTCCTCCTTGTTATAATTTTGTTTTATATAGGTCATTACAAACATATTGACAGATTGACAGTGAAATAAGGGATTACCTAAACATGAATTACAATCAATTTGTGTATATATTTTGGAAATTGTGTTTTGTTTGTTTACAAAGACAAGAATCTTGTACATTTTTGTTACAATTTGGATTGATATAAAGGCCTTTTTTAAAACTGAATGTTCTTCTGATATGGCGTAAACATTGTTTTTTGTACTCACAGAAGTTTAAAGTGGTAAAGAGATGGGAAAGCAGAATATATTGAGAGAGGATAGGGAAAGAGAGGCAAAAGTAAGAATGAAAGGCGAGTGAGGAGCTATAGTTTGGTTTGGTTTGGTTCTATTTACATTATGAAAAACGTGTGTACATACATAATTTTTATAACCCTAAAAAATAATGATTCATGAAGTTACTTAAAAATGATACAGATGGATTGCTCTATTCAGAACCATTAATTTAATGGTTCTGTTCTTCCTAGAGGTCCAGTTTAGTAAGAAAGAAAACTAATACATGTACTTCAAAAGGTGAAAGAAAAAAATGAAAGACAGTGATGATGCAAGATTTCCACATCAAACAAACGGTAAAAAGTTTTTTTAAATAATGAAAATGAGAGAGAGAGGGAGAGTTTGTAAAAGGAGATGTTTAGTAAGAAAGAAAATATATTATTGAAATAGGAAAAGAGAATCAAAGAGAAAATGAGAGACAGAGAGTATGCAAGATTCCTAAACAAACAAAGCTTTGGGGGAAAATAAAGAAGAGAGAGATAGAGGAGGGAGAAAGAGAGAGAGAGAGAGTGGGAGTCGAAACCAAAGAATTGTACTGATAAACAAAGGTGCTGAGATGGTGATGTATGTGGTTGATCCTAATGCTTAAATGGTGTGGTGGAATAGAGGCAGTGAGAAAGAAAGGGACCGAGAAATATAAAGAAGCCCGAATGTATATTATACTCTCACGCTGCATTGGAACTGTACTCTCCCATTAACGCATATTACGTAAGGGACAAGCCAATTTCTGTAAATTGAGCCTATTTGCATCCCAGTGGGGTAGCGACAAACTGGCTATGATATAGCGCTTGATCGAGCGCCACGCGCCGCCTCGCTGTGTCGCCTTTGTCTTCAGGGGAAGACGAGTCGATTAATGCTCCGCCAAAGAACATTTGGAGGGGATGATTTTGTTTAATAGGAGGTACAGCTATTATCTCCTTCATCTCGCGTAATCTCATCCCTTCTTTCAATTTTGTGGCCTTCTTGTCCTTTTTCCTTCTTTTTCGTAGTGCCATTCAAGTGGCAATTTAGTCCTCCCTTTCAGCCAATATTGGAATTTCACTTCTCGTCTCAGCTTTTGTTATCCCTTCCATTCTCTCCCTCTCTTTCCATCTCCCCCTCTCCCCACCCCACCCCCGCGTATTCTTTCTTTTCACTCTATATCTCCCCGTCTCTGTATTTTGATATATATCTCCGTAGTTTCCTCCCTCCCCCTTGCCTTGTGTACCGTTTATTGAGGGATAAGATTTATTGTAAACCATTTGAACAGTTCATGTGTATTTTCGGCACTTTTAATAGCCTACATATTTTAGTTTCAAATTCAATTTTCTTTAAAGATAAGAATATGGTGCATTTGGAGTCAATTCAATTTATCTGACATATTAAAGGAGAAAGCAGAGTTTTAAAAAAACTTTTATGAATGTCACTTTGTTACTTTTGACAGTCCCCTGATGTTACGCTTCTTTTCTATTCCGCCTCCTCCCCCCCCCCCCCAAAGCCCAAAAGAAGAAGATGTCTCCCATCCTTTCATCTCTCCAACAAAGGATTCCTAAATCGATATCATCAAGTTTTTAGGATCCGACCATTTTAAGTCCATCTTAAGTAGCTTCGACTGGCGCGTGGCAAATTAGTAAAGAGCTCGGTCATTATAAAGAAAGGAGAAAACCAGCGAAGGAACTTGTTTTGTATAACAAAAGCGCAGCGACAACGGAAGACGGGATTATTCAAAGTAGGCACGCGTCTCCACTAATCTGGTTAAAAAGAATTGTTACAGAATAATGTAGATATATCGTCTTAGAGCTTGTTGGTTGCGTATATAACAAGATTTGTCCATCATGTCAAGGGGTAAAACCATGGTGAAACAGGTGTATAAACTGTTTTGAATTTATGAACAATGCGCCGAGAGACTGAGTGTAAAAGGGTGACTCAGTGCTAAAATTGCCTTACTCTACTTGTGTAGACCTATACATTTCACTATTAGAGGTCTATACTTTGGGTCTCAAATTGAACTTAAAATAATTTTGATTACATTTATATCTTGATAAATTCATACAGCAATTTAGATATGCTGGTGAATAGTGCGTATCGAAACTGCGGTAATAAACGTCTCAAGTTTAGTATTTTTCAATCTTCAAAATAGCCCTTCAAAATACTTTCTTCACTTAACAAGTGGTCAGCAATGGCATGAATTATAGTCTACTTACACTATTTTAAACAACAACAAAATATATACATGTAAATGTAAATTTCACAATATATTAAAAACAAAAGATGACGAATTGAAGAAGATGAAAGCACAAAGATAAGATACGTCAATAAAAGTATTATGAAGATGGCTATGATATTACAAACATTTGGGGTTTTCCTTACATTGAAGACAAAAATACTGGTTACGCCCCTCCTTGTTTGGAGATCATCAGACTCTTCATGATATCGTGCCCTTGGAAACTCAATATACCCAAGTAATTAGCCCCCAAAATATTGAGCGCGGTAGATGATGATCATCATCATTATGCCACGCTGGTCTTCCTTATCAACGACCATCGCCAGGCGAACGAAATGAGAAGGAGAGAGAGAATGATGCGAGAGTGAGACAAGGGGCGTCGCTGATGGTGGTGTGAGGGTTGTAGCCCCAAGCAATTTCAAACTTTCCATTGAACACGATATTGAAATTGTCCTGTTGATTTCTTTAAAGTCTTTGCGATCGCGGTGTTATTGGCGAATAGTTTACCAATTATGGCAAATTTGTACAATTTGAATAAAAGATTTCCACCCATTTATGCCGGCTAATCAATAAAGAATACCCCTTATTTTAGAGAGAGAGAGAGAGAGAGAGAGAGAGAGAGAGAGAGAGGGGGGTGGCCGGAGGCCGGGGGGGGGGAGGGGGAAGTATTTTCAAGAATAAAAGTTGAAACCTCTTCCGGCAATTCAAGATGACATGATTCATTATTCTTTTCACCTGTCGACAAAATATCGAATATGATGATATACTTATTTCCACTACCCTTATCGTTTACTTGCTTGGTGGAAAAAAAAATGATTTCGTCTCATCAGAAAATGTTGAATAACACACCCTCCCCCTTTTAAATTATTCTAGCGACACCCCTGATTTAGGGGGATGCGAGGCGGTGACCAGTAGCCAGGGAGCTGAATCGTTACGCAAGGCCGCGACAGATCCGGCTATATGCGACTGCAAACATTAACTCTTCCTTCGCGCTCATACTCTCTCCCTCTCCCGTATCACTTGCAGCCCTCTTCACATTGAAAACTTGAATCGGAAGAGATGTTGTGACATTGATAAAGATGAAGAAAAAAAATAGTATTAACAATATGTAACATAATTATGGTTAAAAAGCCCAAATAAAACAAATTACAACTACTTGTATCTTCGTATGTATCCATCATAAAGTTTCCCTTACGTTTGGACGAAGTATTGATCGATCATCATTTTCATTTTCATCGTCCTCATCATAATCATCATCAACATTATCATCATAAATCACCCTCATCATCATCATCATCAATAAATCATCATCATCATTCCCATCATCATCATCGTCGTCGTCGTCATCATTACAATCAACATCATCATGATCATCATTAATCAATCAATCATCATTATCGTCATTATTATCTTCATCATCACCGCCATGATCAATTTCATAGTAGACGTCAAATTGTTTCAAATTACATTTGCGCTATTTTCATAATCACGTTTGAATGAGTTAATATATCATTTTTTCAAAATATAGAGTGTTTTCGGTGATTTCGTGGCCTATTTCGTGATCTCTAAAATATTGCGATTAGAAAAGATATCATAATTCTAATATACTAATCGAATCACAAATCTAAATTTCAACAATCAACATAATTATCATGTGTGATCATTAGAGCCATCACATAATAGGCCTGCGTCGGTGGACCGACACCACCCCTCACTTCCTCCCCCAAACGAAATGACTTTGTTACACAAATTCTCATTTGCGAAAGATATATAAAGTGATTACTACAATGAACAATATAATTATGCGAGAACGTTGTATAAAACACCAGGTAGTATTGTTAAACTGCAATGATTTATCTTAGTGTCTGATGATCGTTAAGATTCTATGTTTTTCATGTGAACTGGGGCAGAAAGCACTTTCCAATAATTGGATGTGCGTGCACTTACTCGGAGCCTCTAATTATCTTTGTACGAAGGGCATATATAATATATATGTATTTCACAAAGCGACTCGGCAAACAAAATTCGCCTCGTTACGTAATACTTTAATTGCATACGCTATCCACTCTCTCGCATCGCACCATATCACCTTCGCAGTATATTGCAACTTTCGCTTTTTTTGTTTGTTTTATTATCCCGACCTAGTTAGGTTTTGCCGCTGATGAGTCGTTAAGATTGGTGGAAAATAAAGGATGACAAGAAGGGGGTGAAATATAGCCTCACCAAGTGGGAAATTGATCAGTATGGTGGAAAGGGAGTATGGGTGAGAGAGAGGACGGATGATGAGATAAAGTGAGAGGGGGAATAGACTAAGGATGGAGAGATCAGGAGAAGGAGACTACATGCATAGTGAAAGAGAAAAAAGAGGAAAGAAGAAATACACAAATGAATATATATATATTTATGAGAGAGAGTAAGAGAGAGAGAGAGAGAGAGAGAAAGGAGTATGGAAGAAAAAAAGAGATCATTTCATATAGAGAAAAAAGAAAGAGAGAGAAAGGGAGAGGGGCAGTGTTACAATGTGAGAAAACTTAATTGCGGACGAGAGAAGTGCACAGAAAGAAAAAAAGGTCAAGAGTTTTACAAGAACGAGAGACCAAAGATGAAAAGTCAGCACTGAGAAAGAAAAAGAAAAAAAGTATTTTGTCCGTCTTCCCTAGAGCCTTCATCAGACCGACCACCATTTGATGTTGATTATCGAGATTAGTTTTTGTTTTCCGTTTTAAATCAAAATAATGGAGGCCTCAGTTAGCTCAGAAAAATTAAAGGAAACGAAAATCGAAGGTCTCCAAGAAAATAAAGAGGGAGGAAAAATGCAGCAACTTTTCGGAGATGATATTTAATGGAGATGATAGTGATGAACGTATAGTCTGGTAGAATCTGAATTAGAATAATGACCAGTTACTTGTTACTTGTACATGGTTCATAAATGGGAAAAAACCAAAAACATTAATCTAACCATTATGTAATGTGTCACAAAAAAATTTACAATGTAATTCTTGTTGCCTAATTGCCCTCATAATTTATTATATATACAGATGCGAGCTATGAAAACATCTAATTGCATAAAAAGCCCAAATGTTGTGGAACACATCTCGTGTAAAGACATAATCTTTAAATAAGGCCAGCTTATAATACAAAAATTGGTCAATGAAAACAATGTAATATGTAAATTAGCACAACAGATGATGAGGAAAATAAACGGAGGAAAAGGAGGTGAAAAAGAAAGGTGTTAATAAAGGAAATGAAAAGAAATAAATCATATGAGTAGACTTCCGGAAAGTGGGCAGCTGAAGTAAAACTGTGCGATGAGAATTTATATTTTAACATGACATCCACAGTACTGTTATCGAAAAGCTACAATACAATATATGAAATTTTCTTAATGCCTTTTTTCTTCCGAGAGGAAAAAAAATCCCATATTACACATTGAAATGAGAGGGGGAGAGAGAGAGGGGGGGGGCTTCTAAATAAACATCAGCTCTTCACAACGGCAGCACATCCAATCACATTCACGTCGAGGGCCCTGTTTCACAAAACTTGTAATCAATAGCAAGATACAATAGTTGTTATAAGCTAGTGTAATCCTTGCATTTGATTGGCTATGAGTACGTTTGTCATAGATGTGTGGCATTCGTCATTGATAACAAGTTTTATGAAAGAGGGCCCACAGCTCTTTCTCACAAGGCGAACTGATCTTTCATCCGGCCGAGTGAACATCATTCGCCTTTGCTCGAGGAACTGACCAATGAACGAGCGGTCAGCGGCTGCTTATCCGCCACTCCTCTCACCCCTTTCTCTCTTTCACATGTTATACATGAAAGCAACTGTCCCCTCATGTTTGACCGATCGGCCGGAGAAACAGATGCCCAATATCGACCACTACCCATCCACTGAGCCGAACAGCCTCACATCATTTTTGAGGCACATCGGCATTGAGAGGACATCTCCTCTTTTACTTCGTCAACAACAAAATTGCGAAGTTATTTTCTTTAATTTTAAAAAGAAACACTATTAAAGCTGCAAGTGCTTCAAGTTCAACTTCCTAAATCATAAGATTGTTTATTCACACTGATAAATGATAGCATTTTTCGTCAGCGAACTTTGATTTATAGCATTAACATCATCCTTTGCCAGAATAAGTGCGGTTATTATATTCCTTATTATCGTTTTTTTAGGTTTCACAAAAGTGAAATACTTGAACACTTTTTATTCCTCAATCGTCGACCGGTATTTGCATAGAATTCATCATTCGACTGCTTGTATCTCATTTTAGTCAACGTTTACGACATTTCACCTTTAATTCGACAGGACATGAACCATCGCTAAAAAGGGGTAAAAGGTGAGTGAATTTTTGTTTTATTTTGTTTTGTTTTGTTTTGTTTTGTTTTGTTTAAACAAAATTTCATTATTGAAGTAGCCATTTTTTAATTTACTATGAACAATATGAAATTTGCTGCAGTATTTTTAACGTTTATCATTTTATAAAAGTCTTAATCAAATTTGTCTATTATGTACATCAGGAATACATTCATAAGAAATGACTGATGAAACTCTAATTTCCATAATTTCTTTTTTGCATTCGTGCGCATTATTATTTATTGTAATCAAACTTGTTCAAAACATGTCATTATTGTGCGTAGTTCTTTTATTTTGCAATCGTTATTTCCAATATTTATGATAATAGTGTGCACATGACACAACGGTCACAGCAGGCGAAGTGTACTTATTTAAAAGTAAACCTTGAATATACTCTAATAAGAAATACGACAGGTACATGAACAATGACAATTTCATTTATTCAGATGTAAATCAAAGAAACTGCCCACTTTTCCTTTATTCATTTCGATGATTTAGAACAAAAGTGACCTCAATATTTATCTGCAAGTTACATTTTCTTCTCGGAATTTTTACTTTCGCTTGTGGCATCTCAGACAAGCCGAAATCTACCTTTATAAAAACTTCCGTTATGTTCTATTTGGAAAATTTGCTTTGAAAACACTATTTTACAAACAAAGACTTTGAAAGATAGCAGGAGTGTAATCCTATCTTAGCGATAGCCCTGGAAGAAAAGGAAGCCCCATCTTCTAGACCGTGCATGGCCACCACCTGCTTTAGGGTGAGCGGGCTGGAGGAGGGAGAAGGAGATTGTTCTCTTTGCTGTTTGTTGACGAGATCTTTGGATGGGCACAGCATGAGGCTGATAGCCGAGCTTTTGTTGTCCAAATTGCCTCCGTTGTAGTCAGGTTGTTTTGAAAGGTCTTTAGCCTGGTATTCATTCATGACAAAAAAGTTTTATCTATCAGAATTTCAGCTGGCTGAAGTCTTCTCCTAGTTGCTCGGATGAGGTCGTGTTGAGAGGCATTTTAGCACTCATTCATTACATTGGATCATCTATCAGACTTTCTGTTGCATGTTGCCTGTCAGAATTCCTCGGTTTAAGTCTGGTTTTCTCCAACGGAATCGACGGTATGCCATTCTTTCAAGCTCATGTCACAGTATCTATCAGAATATCAGTTGGCCGAAGTCGTGTCCTAGTTGCACGGTTAAGGACATTTTAGAGGCATTTAGGCATTCATTCATCATCGCAGTGCCTATCAGAAATTCTGGTTCCATGAGTTTTCTCCGAATTGGTTTATAGGTTAGGTGTAAGACATGTTTTCTAGGGGGTCTTTTGTTATTCTTTCACCCTCATATAATATCCATCGGGCTTTTCGTTACAAAAGTATTGGTAGAACTATTCCGTATTCGGTTTAAGTCATGATTTCTAAAGAATAATTCAAAGCATAGTATATTGAATTCTTTTGACTGAAGTGTCGTCCACATTGCTCAATCTAAGCCAAGATATCTAAAGACTCTTTCGACATTCTCTCAACTTCATATAAAAAATTATCTGTCAGAACTTTTGTTGATTGAAATGTAGTCTCAATTGCTATTTTTCCAAAAAAGTCTTTGTCAGATTTGTTTTCGTCTGAAAATCATACGCAGCGTTCATCTGTTGCAAATTGACTTTTTAAAGTTGTTCATTCGAAGATATTTGATAATACAAAAAGACATACTTGAGATTTAACATTGCTTTGTATGCATTACCTGTCTTTTCGTTGAAATGTTTTTATCATTACCATGTCTTTTTCTTCTTTTTAAATTTGGTTCATAGCAGGGCTCCCTTGTAAAACAAGCCCTCCGTGGCTTTGAATGGGACTACATTGCCTTTAAAAGAAACATGATTATAAATACATAATTATATAAATAAATAACATTGACTTCATTCATTTTTCAAATAATGATTATAAGCGATATTAAAGACCAACTAATATGTTTATTCTCATCGGCTTTAGACACTTTAATTTACACCATGCAGTATTGCCCCTCCCCGTTTTTATGCACGTTGATTTTTTTCTCAACGGCTTTAGACACTTTAATTTCTCACCAGTATTGCCCCTCCCCATTCCTATGCACATTTAATTTTTTTCAGTATCCATCTGTTATTTCAGTCATTTTGTTTCCACCAGAACTTCAATTGACTTGAGCTGTATTTATTTGAAACTGTCCTGACATACTTGTGTATTTATCCCCCTAACTGTCTGAGATATCATGAGTAAAATATTCACATGTTATAATTTTGCAATATTGTATTTCTATCATTTCTATCATTCAAACGTCAAACTTTTTAAAGACTATAAAGGCACAATTATATTTCACTTAAAATGACAAAGCGATTAAAAAAAAATATATAACCATGCTTTAATAACCGTTTTATTTCAATTCTCACCTTCCGTGAAATAAAAAACTCAGAATCCAATTATGTTCTATGGATACGCATCCAATATTATCACTAGGTATGGAGAAAACTTAAGTTAACGTCTCTTCCATAAGATATGCATCAAAAGCATTCGATCATTCCAATTTTGGAAATGTCAATTTACTTTCATATTACATTATTTGCCAATAAGTGTCAGGTACAATTGCCTCTCAAGATTGCAAAAAGAAAAACAATGTACTTTTTATGTTTACCCTAGCGACATTATGTTTACAATGGCAACAAACTAATGTTATATATATATATATACAACAGTAATTTAAATAGATCCTACGTATAAAGTTACCATATGATAGCCCCAGAAAGAAACAAACACTAGAGGTTTCTGTGAAAATTCACCAGTCGTTCTTAAGAAAGTTAATATGTTGATATCTGTTGTTCTCATGTTTTGGTGTTTGCCAATTCACTCGTTTTGAGAATGGAAATGATTGCTTTATTTTTTTTTCTTTATAAGCAACGGCTATACCAATTTTCCTAATGGTATTTTATTCTTATGTTCTCCAGAGATATTATATAAATATACCATATTGGCATACGAGAGAGGCTTTTGACATTATAAGACGCAGCTAAGTTAAAAAAAAATAGAAAGTCTTTTAATTGCTTGCCCACTGGTGATAAGCCGCTACCGGTTTAAGATTCTCTATTCTTTTGATACACAGGGATCTTCAGATTGTTTACCAAACACTACACCCGTTTCCTCCCTTCCTAACAATCGAACGTTTTGTTCTCTGCAGAAGTGTTTTCATATATCCATAAGAAAAGCTTTCAATCTCCTTGGAATGTCGATGTTTTGCTTGATGATACGCTACAAACCAGCTTCACTCCTCTTTCCAATTTTAAAATGTCAATACTCGAAAATGCAAAACTGATCCGTTCCGACAACTTCTTCAAACACTCCGACCTACACATCATGCATATAAGTCTAAAAGTTGTATTCTGGAGAAGTTTGTCGATGAAGGGACTATTGTTGCGTTTTGTTTGAACGCCACAAAATCTCGACACTTTTCTTTAGACTGAGTGGCCTTTGCTCAGCCGATCAAGCTATTTGATGGGCGCTCACGATTGCGTTTGTCCCCGGACCCTCCGCGGTGCCAACCCTTTCTCTTTCGCTACTATTGGATGGGAGTAAACTGTGAAGAAGTGGGCTTAAGTATAAGTCTGCGATTCACGAAAACAACGTATTCTCTTAAAAGTAAAATAACAGTAGAGATAAAAGAATGGCAATCTCTCAACCTGTCCTTTATTTCAAAAGCTTCTTCAGATTCTTTTTTGGAAAAGTCAAATTTGCTAATCCTTTGCCTTTGTTTGTTGAGAAAGGCTTTTACTTTCACTGTGCAACAAAAACACTTTGTAAATACGGCTCTGCGTTTGTTTAAACAAGAAACTTTTCAAGTAGCTTCCTTTATCAATGTCTGTGCAATCGACGTGATCAAACATATTTTCTGGTATTAGCAACATGGCGTGAATAATTGTAAAAGGAACAACATCTAGACCTATCAAGACAAGACGAGACGAGACGAGACAATTTGATTCGACATGCTATTTCATTTTACCTGTTAAGTAGGCCTACCAACAACGAAGAAAAAATCGGTCAATCCTACTTTCCAAAACGTGATTAAAGAACAAAATTATCCTCAAGAAGAAGACAAAGTATTTGGGCAATTAGATCTATCCATCAGTATCTTTATTTTAATATTTTACATTTCTTTCTTTCCGGGCGCCTAATTCCTGGGCGAAAAAGACATTAAAAACGGCTGGTATTATAGAGCAAGAGCACCCAAATATAAACTATTTTAAAATATCACAAAAAAGGACAAACTTTATATCCTGGTTACTTTTTTATAAAAATCTTTTTTGATTTTCCTTTAAAAAAAGATACAACCCACATAATAGTTTCATTCATGCCTGGTTAATATCTGTTAATTTTTTTTATTTATCTATTTGTTTGCATTAATTTAATATTATTGTTGGATTTCATAATAGTCAAAATTAAGATACATGTATGTTTACACAGTTTCAATGTCGGACAAACATCTGATAAGCTTAATCGATATTAAAACCAATGTGGAAGATGTGTTCATACTGCGTAAAACTCCATTTTTGAACTGGTAAATTGATAATAATCAACATAAACCAGATATAACAATGTATGAGCATAATTATTTTAGTATTGTTTACTCTGAATTCGATGTCTGTTCTTCTTCAACCAAATTTGATGTGGATAAAGTTATACCTTGATTAAAATGCAAAGATTATGACATAAGATTTATCACAACCCTTCCGAAACATCGAATTATCTATCACATAAGCATTGATCTGATATTTTGTTTGACAACTTACGTCGGCATAACCATTAACAAACTTCACTGTGTGATAAATATATTACCTAAAATCATGTAGGCTATGCCGATAATAATTTCAAAGAAGTTTTCTATAATTTGTTTTTGCAGATTTTTATGGGAAATGACTGCCATTCAATTCACTTAGATCTGTTCTTAATTATGATTAAGATTAATATTTAAAAATATATTATCATTTCAGAACATTTCTACCACTGACCTGGCGTCCGAGTCAATTCACTCCTCGCAATTCCTCCGCCGTTGGGCTTCGGCGCCACGAAGCGGCAACAACATCCAGAACGCCGTAGAAAACTAGCAATTAAATCACCTAAACTAAACGCCAAGCTAGCGAGAATTCGTCGCCAAGGTACCGGGAAGTCTGCCGTTCACTCGCAACCATGCCTCGTGCCTTTCTCATCAAACACAAGCGAGCTCGAGTGGATAACATTGCAGATGAGTTGCTAGCTCGTCATGAAATGGGTCATGGAGGTAAGCAGTTCACCCAATAATTTTTTACTTTTTTATATATCTTTTGTTAGTTTGTTGGTGCTGTTATTTGTCTTTCTTCTTTTTTGACTTTTTATTTCTTCTATTTTCATTTGACTCTCCTCTGATGTATTCCTGCATTGTTCTTTTAACATACACTGTTGCTCATAACGGTGGAATATTTTTTTTTATCCCAATTTATGGAATTATTTTAAAAATAATTTTAAAATACTAGATCTAGATAATAGTATACAGTCTCAGATTTTATTGAATAATAATTTGCCAATATGTGTTTTGCGTGACTGCTAAAGCATGTATATTATGCTACTATGTTTATCAACTAGGGGACCTATGCCCTTAAGTCATAAAGGACAGTAATGAGGATTAATGCCTCACAAAAGGGCTCTGATATAGCACATCGACACGGTGTTGATCCTGGGGCCTCACAGTTACGAGGCCATTGCTTTGTCACTGAACCATGACTGTACGCAGCGGGGGCTATGGTAGGGGGCAGTTTCCATAAATTTAAAAAAACACAGAAAATGCAATAAATGTTCAATAATTTATTGCATTCTACCCCGGTCCCCAACATAAAAAAATCCTCTGGACGGCCATGCATTATGGCTCAAGGCATGGGCACACAAAAGATTTTTTATGTTGGGGACCGGGGTAGAATGCAATAAATTATTGAAAATTTATTGCATTTTCTGTTTTTTTTTTAAATTTATGGAAACTGCCCCCTACCATAGCCCCCGCTGCGTACAGTCATGGTTCGGTGACAAAGCAATGGCCTCGTAACTGTGAGGCCCCAGGATCAACACCGTGTCGATGTGCTATATTAGTGCCTTTTTGTGAGGCATTAATCCTCATTACTGTCCTTTATGACTTAAGGGCATAGGTCCCCTAGTTGATAAACATAGTAGCATAATATACATGCTTTAGCAGTCACGCAAAACACATATTGGCAAATTATTATTCAATAAAATCTGAGACTGTATACTATTATCTAGATCTAGTATTTTTAAATTATTTTTAAAATAATTCCATAAATTGGGATAAAAAAAAATATTCCACCGTTATGAGCAACAGTGTATTTCATATGTGAGAACAGTTACTGTTACGTATTTCGTTTCTAATTGGTCTGGTTATATTATTACTTGATTTCTTTTATATATTGCAGTTGTTTCTTTATTCACTCCAGTCAAGCGAGAGAGATAATGTAAAATGATCAGCAAAATGAGAGATAAATAAATGAAATGTTCAAAATCAAAAGGCCTATACTAGAATGGCCTTTTCCGCTTAGAATTAAGTCATCTAGTTGAGGAAGGAAACAAAAGCAATACACCAAAATTAGTACAACTAAATAATTGTAAAATATATTATTTCCTTCATTAAGTTTCTTCCTTTTTTTTTTAAATATTTGATAATTCGATGATGATTTACATCATCATGTTAATACGGTTGCCTCATACAAAGCAAATAAAAAGTCATGCAATTTTATGCAAAACTAAATTCATTATCCTTTGACATCCAACTGTTTCATTTACGATTAATGAGTTATCAATACGTTACGTAACTGACACATTGATTAGAGGATGAGTCAGAATATCCGCTCTGAACTGATTGTTAATGACTTTCAGATAACGCCATTTTTAATTTTCCACTTATTGTTAAAATTACTTTCAATGCTATTACTCTTCTTCTTCACAATAATATCATCAATATTATTACCATTATTATCACCATTATTATTATCATCGTTATTATTATATTTTATCTATCATATAATTACTAATTTTCCATTCATTCATGTTGTGATTATCGGTTATCCTATAGGTCGTAATAAAACGGTAAATTTTTATACTAGTTATTGACCGCTGTTTTCTAAACGTTATTGTTGTTGCAGATGGTGAGGACATACGTATGAGAGGTTCGGAGCGAGGACTTTCTCCGTCACGGTTTGGTCAACACATCTGCACAAAAGGTCTTTCAAAGCGCGAACTCAATGCTGTTGAGATGGACATGGAAGCACGAGGCTTGATGAATTTTCACCCCGCTTACACACTGGCTCCTGGTATGTACCCTCCTCCTCCTCCACTCCTCCGCATGTCCACTGGTTCAGCTTTTGAGAAGGTTCATCCTGGTGCCCCCATGCCAGAAAACCTCGGAGTTGGGTTTGGCCCTCTAGCTGGAAGCGTAGACCCACAGCGGTTGGTCCTTAACCCATGGCTGGCTGGATACCCCGAACTCGCGGGCCATAATATCCTCCGCGATCGCCTCTTGAACCATCCCGCTTCAGCGTACCTCATTGCAGATCCCAAACGCGGATTGTACCAAATGCCACATGGAGCTTTTCTGTCAAAGCCTTTAGATGAACCTCTGGATTTGAAGGTTCGTGGACCATCTCGAGAAGGGCATGAAGATGAGAAGCGGGAGTTAACCAGAATGTCTAAGGACTATCATCCAGAAGACGTTCTATCCTTTAAGAAACGCTCTCTAGGAGGGCCAGTTAGACTACCTGTCGGGACAGAACCCGATGACTATCCACGATATCCTCCGATGTCATCAGCTATTCACCCATCGTCCTACCCGTTCTTCGGTATTCCATATGGTCATCTCTTGGCTCAAAAGTACCCTGGTGGCTTTGGCCTAAGACCAGTTGAGCGTAATCAATATTTGGGTCAGCGGGGACCAAAAAGGATGGAAATGTCGCCACCAATGGCATCCCATGCATCACCACAGCCTGACTTGGACCAACCGCCAATATGCAGTGTGAAGCCCATCTTTAATGAACAAGACGAAAGCAGCAACTCCCCATCACCACTCTCGAATGCATACCTAAGTCCGACTATCCTAAATCAGCCACGTTACGCCCTCTCTCAGGAGAGCATTGATGATGACGACAGTGACAATCAGTCACCCTCACCGGTCGGTGGGAAGCGTCTCACAAGGCAACCCATTCTGGGCGTGGAGTACATCCAAAATGGCATTGACAACGAACTTCGGCATGACTTGGACAGCTCCCAGGAAGCAGAACAACAACACCTATCACAAGACCCCGAAGAACAGTATCTTCTGCAGGATGAACCAAACCCAATCCCGGAGACGGATGCAAAGACTGGATGCCAGCCCAACGTGGATGAGAAAATTAACCTTCCCATGATTCCAAAGTTCAAGGGAGAGACCAAGGGTCGAAGGTCAAACAGTGCAAAGACACCACAACCCCGGAAGTACATGTGTGACGTTTGTGGCAAGGGATTCAGCAGAAGCAATACATTAGTCACACACAAGGTAAAGCAATATATTTTTGTACAATTTTGAGATTTAGATTGCGTTCTTGAGAAAATGTATGAATAATATTTTCTATTTCAAATAAGACATGTAATATATCTGGAATTCATACAATTTTTTTGTAATACGGGTAATATTTGTTGCAAAAAAAATTTGTTGATCTTGCAGGAAATTATAAAAATATGAAAATAGTCAGTTTATAAAATATATCACTTAATTCTGTGTTTTTGTATATTAAGCGCTTTACATTTTAATTAGTTATCATTCTTGTACTAGTAAGTCTACGAGTAAGCCTAAGAGTCATTCCTGTTTTGTGTCCGCCATATTGCGCTTTTGGAATTAATCGAAATAACAAGATTTGGATAAGCTTTATTGCGTCCCACTGAGAGTGACATTATATTCCGCTTTAACGTTTTAAGATACTCTCAGTTCTTTCTCATCCTATATTCTCCCTTGCATTCATTCAGCCATTCATGTTGTGATGTTCACAGCGGCAGCTGGGCACAGAACTATAATCTACAGACAAAGCAGGCTTAACTGGCTGATCTCTGTCCGAAATACTTATTACCACTTTCCCTGGTTCTATCTTATTTAACTTGTCTCACACAAAGAAGTGAAACAAATAACGGTTCCAATATCTTCTTTTCAGGGGAAGGGGTTTCTGTTTGCTATATGCCAGGTGGGGGTTGTGTTTAAATTTCACTCTCTTTTTGTCCAGCTTTATCTGACCCAAGTGGCACAAAAGGGTGGCAGCTTGGGATTATTACGTAAGAATGAAACGCCGGGTATTTTGTTTGGCGGATCAATAGGGTATATGCTTATCCCTCCAAACCCCTGCATCCACGCGCCAAATATCGATTCGACTGGGTGATAATGCTGGGGAATAAAAGAGGGGCACGCGAACGAACTAAAACGATGTTCAATGCCCCTCAGGATATCATGCACAAAGGATAAAATTTATTGTGGAAGGTTTCTTCAATGTTCATTATGTCACTTTGTGGCTTCCCAGTACAATAGTTTCATACATTGTGCAATTCGCTCATTTGTAGACAAGACAGTGTCATTCAACTCAAAATAGTCAATGTGTGTATATCGATAATGGTGAGCAAAGATGGAAAAATGCAGACTTTTGAGAATCAGGGAATCCTAATCAGGGTGAACAAAATAAAAAGACCTAAAATTGAATAAAAATGTCTTTATGAAAAATTAAGCGTATGTTTTGATTTTGGTGGCTTTGCATGGGGAGGATGGAATCTCAAATTTTTTAATAGCCTCATCGCTGATTTTTTTTTTTTTTAAGGGTTTATTATCAATTACCAAAACATATAACGTGTTAAACAATAATTTTTGCTTTCATAGCCAGACCATGTCAGTCCAATTTAAAGTTAACCATACCAACTCAACATAATTTATAACATATTCCGACAAGAAAGATTCCAAGAACCAAATCTTCTTCTTATAAAAAGAGAAAGAAAAAATTACATGTAATACATGCAACTTTACTGAAGCGACAGCTGAATTAATGAATATTACGCTTGTAATTTAAACTGTTTTCTTGATGAAATCGATGCAATGTCAGGCCTATTAGTAAGCTGCTGATATAGAAGAAGAAAATCACCACAATTATCCTTGCCATTCACGTCGGTCATTCACTAGTTGATAAACCCTGGGGTTACGGCGCAAAATGAACCGGAGGCTAGCTTCGGCTCGTATCGATTTCTTACCTAGACCAATAGAGCAATAGCGCAATTAAAAAGACACTGTCGTATTATCACCCTCACTTCCAAAGACTAGCCCTTGTCCTTTTTGTCTTCCATATTTCCAAAGGATGATGTTTCTAGGGGATCCACAGCTATAGGCTGTAGTAAGAAGGGTTTAATTAAAAGGATACAGAGGCCCCCTTTTCTCTTCTTCTTGGAATGGAACGTTACGTAACATTTCGTTTACCAATTTAATACATGAATTGCTGAATGGAGGAGGGGAAGGATGTGTTGTGTAACTGCGTATTTTCGGAAGCCAGTGTCTTTAGTTCATTCTTTTCAATCGTTAATTATAAACCATTTTCAAAATAATACTTTAAGTGTTTGTTTACTTGTATAGTACACTTGTATGTTACCTAAGGAGGTATAGTGTCCAAATACAATATATATAATATGCAATACCGTTTGCCGTCTTCTGAAAATTTAAATCTCATTTTTTAATCACCGTATTTAAATAAATACACAAACAAACATACAAAAATAATGCATATATTTTTATGTTTCTTTTCTTGTAATTTTCATGCGATATTTTGTTTCATATGTGTTATTTTACTTATGTTTTGTAAATCAAAATATTCATGTACCATGTTAATGAAATTTACTAACGAAACACATACACGATGATGATTCAAAGAATTTAACATAATAAGCTATTTCATTATAATTATGATTAAATTTGGTGAATAGATTTGAAAAAAGAGACACTGTATGGTAGGCATGATATGTTGCTTATCCAGAAATTTAATAGTCTAAACCTATGGGATTATTAAAGTGGAGGGGGTGTGGTGACATGTTTCCTTGCTTTGCAAGATATTTGATATGCGAAAACTGATCAAAAGAATGATGCAAAGTAGGATAACTATTCTCTCTTTCTCCAAATTCATTAAGGCCCCTCATTCCATTCATTAATTCTATCTCTACTTTCTTCTTCAAATCATGTAGCGTATCCATACGGGAGACAAGCCGTTTTCCTGTGAGCTGTGCGGGAGAGCATTCCGTCAGCCCGGGAACCTCACCCGTCATCGACTCACTCACACCACGGTCAAGCCCTACGTATGCTCGCAGTGTGGAAAGGTAAAACATAGAAAATGCAATATTTTATTTCAAAGCAGCATAAATATTGTCACCTCATAACACATTTAAACAATGACTGTTCAACCATGGCGCAAATTATAGGGAAGGGAGGATGGGGAACACAATATCAAATGTCAGTGTCGATTTTTTTTTTCATTGTCTAAAAAGAATAATCAAAATGTTTTGTTTCTATGTACACACTTATATTTATTTCATTGGGAAATAGGGATTTTTTTTCTTTATGTAGGCCTGGGTGTAGGCAATTACCATTTCATATATGTTTTCTTTCTTTGTTAATTGCTTCGTAATGTTTTCAATTTTAAAATGATTTATCAACGATACATGTAAAGTGTCTTTTGAAAGGTATAATTATTCAATTAATTTATATTATGATATGACTACTGTACATGTATATTGAATTTTGTTAAAAATATATATACATGTACCTAGTTACATAATGTATTAAATTGCAAAAAATAAAATCAAACTAACAAAACAAATGTGAAGTATTGTAAAAATTTGGGTAGCAATGCTACTGATTCCTAACAACTAACAAAATTACAACACATTTCAACTAAAAATTGCAAACTGTGAAGGAAAGTAAAGATTTATTACCTTTCAACAATATTTTTTTATCCATTCCACATTTCCTTCATAAATATTACATTATAAAAATGTGAATAAGTAACACTTGGCAAAAATATTCAAAGGCTTCAACTGCAAAGTTATGAAAGAGCGCCATCACACCATCATCAAAACAAAACAAATTGCAGCCCGAACAAGTGATGCGACAAAAGAGGAAAAGTGCAATATGTTTTAAATACTTAATATTTGAATAAATGATTGCAAACCGTCGAACTTATCTTGATTTCTCCTTCTCTGTGATCCTGCAGGCCTTCAACCGAGCATCGAACCTTCACACTCACATGAGGACCCATACCAACTACAAACCATTCGTTTGTCAGTACTGCGGCAAGGGATTCCATCAGAAGATTGATATGAAGATACACTCCTATACACACACCGGTAAGAATTCTCATATATTTCATGAAATGAATATGGATCCCCCCCCCCCCCCACTTATAAAAATCGTATCAAATACACATCGATAAACTATCACAATATTCTTTTGGTCAACTTTATTTTTTCTTGGCAGGTGAAAAACTGCAGAAGTGAAAAGAAAACAAAATTAGCAGACAATTTTAATATTAAGAATATGAACCCCATCCACAAAAATGTAAGCCCCTCTTGGTTAAAGTCATCAAAAGCATTAATCTGATGGAGAAAAAAAATTGTACAATCTTGAGGCTTTTGAGGAGCCTATAACGCGATCGCAAAGACATTCAATGGAAGTAACCCAAAGTAATTTCAATAGCCTTATCTACCACCTTTTGAAATGCGCAAACAATTTTGGGAATGGGCCCACATTTTGTGTTAAAAGATCTGCTTCTTTTTTTGTTCTTTTTTTTGGGGGGGGGGAGGGGGTGGGGTGGTATTCACCTTTAAAGGTAGTGATATGCCTTTCAACATCCTAACCTAAAGAGTGAAAAGGGGGTTTACCTGGAGAAGGCTACCATCAATATACAATTTAAATAAAACCTTTATTCCATTTTATCTTTTTTTTTTGGAGTTGTGACAACTAGTGTTTGATTTTATCATTATGAAATATTACAATTTCAATTCTGTGACGACAATTTTCATACTGGTTTTACAGCATTGTTGAATATAAAACAAGAATGTGTTTAAGTATTGCTTTTGGTGAGAGGGAACACCAAATCAGATTTAAATAGATGCTATGTCACATCTGCGGCTCTGCCCTCGGAACCTTCATCCTTTTCCACTTAGAGCCCTCAACACTTCATTTGTATTACCCGTGTATATATCACTATTCGGAACCCAAATCACAACCCTGAACAACTCCAATTGAATATTATCATCGAAGGCCTCAGAGGAGTTTTTAAGTTTTGAGCGTTTGTTTTTCGAGATTCGACTTCTGCCAGTATCAAATTCAAATCAGTTTGTTGATTAACGTGATCCGAGTGACTAATGATGAGTGTTTACGTGTGTTGTTGGTGTTATTAGAATATCTATTTGCGAAATAGATATTCTAATGCAGTGGATTTAATCCACCGTACTGAGACACATCCGTTGCATCTATTTTTAAAAAAAAGAGAGAGTCACACCCCTTCCCACAGCGCTTGAAAAAAGAAATCATTCTAAAAGACCAATGGATACGTCGAATAACAATTTGTTATTGTTTGGTTATGCAAATATAATAACTATTGGCTGAAAGTTAATCGTCAAATTGAAAAACTTAAAGCCTTAACAAAACCAGAGCAAAATATGGAAATATACTCTGAAAGCAAAACTGTAAAATATACATCGATAAATCTCAATATTCTTTTGGTCACCTTTTATCTTTTCTTGGCAGGTGAAAAACCGCACAAGTGCAAGAAATGTGGGCGTGGCTTCAAGCAACTGACCCACTTGACCTACCATATGCGCACGCATTCGGAGGTCAAGATGTATACATGCGCCTACTGTGGGAAGGGGTTCAACCAGAAAGGCAATCTACAGGCACACATCTACCGTCATACCGGTAATTTTAACTCCTTACACAAATTTATAGGAAACAAATCGGTTTCAGTATACTGGATGTCATAACTTAGGAAGGGAGGTTTGCACTCCAATAGGGCAAAACAACTATGTTGCGTTGATCAAAACCTGTTAAAGAGGATTGACATTAATTTTAGGTCATAGTCCGATTTCAGGCCTTTTCCTTTTCAGGCTTCATATTGTACAGCACAAAAAGACAAAAAGGGAGTCTAACATGTCAGAGTCTCTTAAGTGTAGATTCATTGGTTGGAATTAACCGGTATTCCTGTTGATTAATGAAATGGACAATAACAGTGAGTACTACTGCCAACCGCGTCTTAACCTCTTCTTACCACTTTTATCTTTCTCACAGGCGAACGTCCCTACCGCTGCGAAGTTTGCGACAAGGGTTTCACGCTGGCGAGTACGCTGAATACTCACCGACGCACACACGCAGAGAAGAAACCGTTCGCCTGCCAGTACTGCGGTAAAGATTTCTACCAACGCAACGCCTTGAAAAGTCACCTACTAGCATCTCATCCGTACTCAGGGGGAGAAAGTCTGTTATAAACACACTCCAATGGAATACAAACGATTTATAGATGGATTAAGATATAATAAATTTGTAAACATGTAAATCATAGGTTTGTCAGACTGCCAGGATGAATTGCCAGTCGGGCTTAAACTGCTTTCCTAAGTTTCAATTTTTTCTTCTTCAATTTTTAACTCATTTTTTTCCTTCAATTTTCAATTAATTTTGTTGTCAATTGTCAGACGCAGACTATAGGGATATTTAAAACTCTCTTTTAAAGAATAAGAAAAGATTGTAAATGTCTATCTTTCCAGGTAGTCAGAAGTTTTATATATTTTTTAAGCAAATAGAACATAGGAGCAAAACATGTTTCAACGAATTATCTACTTGATTTTGAATAATTGCATGAACATCAAATAACAAGAAATTACAAAAACTGTACATTCAATAATCATGAATTGCAATCAATATTGCACTTATCAAGGGCAATGCTTCGAAAGCAAAGATAAGAAAACATACCGTACATCAGGTAAACATATATTTCATTCATTTTTATTCAAAGTAACATATTAGGAATAAGCTATTTCAGTTCATAACTGGAGAAAACATAAATATCAAAACTTATTCAATGTCAACAGTACTAACGATTGTTCTGTTCATCAATTTTGTCAGTTATTGAAATATTTTCAAATCCTATTGGGTATTTTCATATCCTATTGGGTATTACGAGTTATTAGATCAATTACCTTTTAGTGGAATATTACATTCTTACTTTTATTACTTGGGATGATTATTTATTTATACTTTACATTTTGATTTTAAATTGGCATGCTTATCTTCTGTTTCATATCGTTACGTACTTTAACTCGTACATTTACTTGTGCCATTTAACCAAAATAACTCGCGTATTAATGTCGATTATATATTTTTCTGTTAGTGTAACGAACCGTGTTTGAAGTCTTATGTAAATGTGCAATATATTTGTTGTCATATCAGTATTTAACAAAGTCATTTTTTAAGCTAACCTTGAGTTAACGATATCATATAGCTAACATGTAAATATTTATATTAAATGCACAACTAGAAATGTTACATTGAATTCATATGAACTATTGAAAACAAAGACAATAAAAAAAAATCATATTGAAGAGCTATATCTCAGCCGTTGTCCGATGTCTAACAGGAAATAGGACTATGTCCGGCAAAAAAAAGATTTTGTGGATTTTGTAGGTCTGGAAGGGCACCGGTGGTTTATTAAGTACCTCGTTCAGCGACGGAAAACTTAATTGTGCATGTGGTATACGTTAGGAAAACATATTTGAAAAGGAATCGTATTTGAAGCTGTAGAAATCAAATAGTTCATACTCACAATGTACAATATGGAGAGCTTAAAAGACTATAATATTGTATAACAGGTAATTCACATCTCGAGATATCTCCAGTGCGTTTAAATACAGCTCTTTGGCAAATTCTATCAATAAATCATGCTTTCTGTCACACATTAAATATGACATGTACACACAAACAAAATAATCATAATTTGTTGTCGTTGTTCCTCGTGACTGTAAGGGTGTGTAAGTGAGTGTGTGCGTGACTTAAACAATTATGATAGTAATAATAACGATAATGCTGCTGCTGCTAATAATAATAATAATAATTATGAAAGATATCATCTCCCCTTTACCTTGAAATACTGATATCTAAGCTTTGAAGATAGGAATATATTAAGTAGCTTTTATAAAAGACTAAAGATATCTTCTGCATTATATTTTGATTTAAAGTTTTAAAAAAATAAGAGGAACAGGTCAGTGAAATTTTGAGTAAAAAGCGATTAAAAATAAGAAAGTTATGAGTTTTTGAGGGTGCGATCAATCAAACACAAACTGGCAACTCTATGACGTATCTTGTGAGGTCCCCTCCCATTTATCCTGTAATAAAAAACTTGTACTATTGTATTATTGCAAATATAATTTGTATACAACCTCTGTTTTAAACAAGTTTATTTCGTCATCAATAACATTAAAAAATGAAAGTTTATGACATTATCTATACAGAGCAAACATGAGAGAGAGAGAGAGAGAGAGAGAGAGAGAGAGAGAGAGAGAGAGAGAGAAAAGAGAGTAAAGTATTGTCATTTGGGGGGCCGGGTAAAAACAAAGTGCATAAATCTTCTCAAAGTTTTTAAAAAATTGTTTTTAATTGATAAACAACAGGTGGCGCTCTTTTATTTCTTGTATTACTAACTGCTTTTGTGTCACGATTCTCTCTCCAAACTCACTATAATTACTTCCACAATGGTAAAAATTGAGCAAAAGACAATCTTATATTGACCGAAACAGTGCTCATACAAAACTCATTAGCTCGATGCCTGGTGGACAAGCTAATTTAAATGACGCTATTATAGCTGACTAAATCATATTCCAATAACAAAATGGGAGAATACTGTTACCCTTACGGTGAAGCTTTCTCTCTCTCTCTCCTCCCCCCCCCCCCCGGTTTTGTATGTCAATTTTAAGGCATTAAATAATCTGTAGTAAATGTTCCGAAAGTATACATTTTATCATCATCATACCGTCCTCTCAATAACCGGAAACAACTGGAATATTCAAATAAAATTCAGTAACATGCTCCCATGTCAACCTAACGATAAAATGTGAAACGCTTGTCTGCAGTCCAAATATAATATAACCCCTATTTATCCATTTCTGGATACACCACTGTATGAGTATTTTGGTTTTAAAAAAAGGGGTTTCAAATCGCATAAAAGACCACTACAGGGGAGCTGCTATATGCTGTAGAATACTATACGTTTACAATTACGTGTATTTATATTTGAACAATAAATATTCACGCATTTGTCCATGTTAACTGAAACCACCATTGACCTACATGACATAGACAGTCAACATAATTATACAAGTTAAGTAAATTTCACTTGAATTATTTACATAAGCAATAATCATATGTTTGTAGACAAAATTTCGTGAGAGGAGGGGGATGCAGTAGCCCCCGCGCCATCCTTTCGTCATATTCGTATATGTAGAAGCTCTATATCTTGCAATAAAGTCAAATTGAATGCTCATCATCATTGTTCATATGTTATTCTCGTTGCTCAAGGCCTGAGAGAGTCGAGTAGAGCGTTTTCTGCAGCGAGAGCAGTGGATGGAGCAACACGTAGAGCATACACCAACACAGCAGAATATGAAAGCAATGTATGCCGTCAGAGCTTCCAAGCAAGCAAACACGATCAAACAGATCCCAATAGCCAGCAGTTGCGACTATAATGAATAATGAATAATGAATAATGAATAATGAATAATGAATAATAAATAATGAATACTGAATACTGAATACTGAATACTGAATATTGAATACTGAATAATGAAAAATTAATAATTAATAATTAATAATAAACAATGAATAATGAACAGTGAATAGTGAATAACGAATAATGATTATCGAATAATGAATAATGAATAATGAATAATGAACAATGAATAATAAATAATGAATACTGAATACTGAATACTGAATACTGAATAATGTAAAATGAATAATTAATAATTAATAATAAACAATGAATAATGAACAGTGAATAACGAATAATGAATATCGAATAATGAAAAATGAATAATGCATAATGAATAACGAATAATGGATAATGAATAAGGAAAAGTGAATAATAAAAAAGGAATAATAATTCCCCACCACATCCACCCCATGCTCCCTAGCATTTCATTGCCTGGTGTACCAGCAATGCACGCACAACGACTGGATCATCGTTACACTAACACTTATACAAATTGATTATAATCTTTTATAATAATGATAATAATTGGGTCTCATTAAAGAAGGGTAGCCACGCCATTGACAGTATGAACATGATTAGTACTGCACTTCCTGCGGGCCCTGCAGTTATCATTATCCAACAATTGCGAAGTGCCCATTTACACCCGGGTGAAGATAGGCAAACGTGGATTAATGTCTTGCCAAAGGACCTTAGTGCTGGGCTGGGATTCGAACCCTCAACCTTTGGACCCAGAGTTAAGTGAACGAATCACCATACCACGACACCTCCGCATTCTATTTCTTCTTACTTATAACCTGCATGATTCCCCTACTCACCTCGTCGATCTCACTGGGATCGCATGGGTAATAAATGTAGACTATCCCTCGACAGGAATTGGTCCAATTGATCAGTTGGGCCACATAAGCGCCCAAGGTAATTGTATAGGCCATCGTGCAAAATGATAGAAGTGATAGGATCATGTATGAACCAATCTGCAAGAGAGTTATACAAACGAAATGATCTCATCATGCCTGAAGGTAAAATAAGTTACAAGTAAATGGTTTATGAAATAATTTACAGCTAACAATTTAAGTTATCCAAGTTTGTAATTTTTCAAGGATGTGAAAATGAATTTGTCCCGATTTGTGTTTCTTGAGAAAGTGACATATTACAGCTTACATCTAAAAGTATTCAACAAAGCCCTAGTTCAGCAACTCTACCTTTCATCAATGAGTTATTAAGAAAACATAACATTTACAAGGGATATGATTAATTTAGTTGTTAATTGTATAAAAAGGAGATGATGGAGAAACTTTACTCAGAAGGTTCTTCTAAATTAAAAAATTGCCATTAAGGGATAATAAATGCACCCTTTGGATTCTTTTGATAGGACTACAGAAATAAACCTGTATATAGTACACATGTATATAGTCTATACCACGACTTTATCATTTTCTTCTGCAATTAAATCCTCATGAAAAAACTGTGGTACCAGTCATGGCAAAAATAAAAATTGAGCTGATGTTTTAAAAACGCTTCTTACTATGATTTTGCTCATGTCGAAGGATAGAATGCCAATGGTGCCACATGTAAATACCTGAGGGAAAAGAGAGACAGGCGGATAAACCATTAATAAAGAACCATTATAGTTCAGGTGTATTGTCAAATGAAAAAGTCTTTTGGCTAGCTAGTGGACATCTAGGGAGAACAGAGCCATTATATTAATGGTCCCGAATAGAACCATCCAGCCGTATACTTTTCAAATAATTATCATTATTTGTTATGTTCATACATGCTTTGTTTTACTGAAAAGAAAACCAAACCAAACCGAGGATAAATCACCGGACACATAATCACTGGTAAAGGTTCTGTGTCCCTGCGAATTCATAAACCCCCTTTGACAAAAGAAAATAGTCAAAGCCAGATCTAGAGTCTTGCAATAGACCATTTTCTTAATGTTTGTTAAGTGACATGTTGAACTTAATGGTAACGAGGCACTTAAAGATTTGTGCATTAAAGTTGATTGCATTACGAAAATGACCTATTACATAGGTATCCATTTATTGTTCCGCTTCCCATTGGTTGGATAACCCTGATGAATAACCCTAACCTCAAGCCAAGTGAGACACACTATACATGGCTCCTGCCCTTTACCGGGGCCGAACTAATTCGGCGCTATAGGGCGGACAGGGCATCTGGCCGTGATTAGGTTGTAGTACAAGCTATACAACGGGCTTGTAGGAAGCCTTAGATTTTATGTTTTATAAAAATTCCATCACTTTAAATTATCAGCATTGCATCTTATTGTTTTAACACCTTCCTTTCAAATCATTTTTAAATGACAGTGCCAATTTAATTTTGAGATCGGTTAAGCCGCTATAATTCTGAGTTTACCCTGGCCTGCCCTTTATAATTATAATCTTGTAATCTAAAATAAAGGGGAAATCTACCCTGCTATCAAATTGCTTTAAATATAAACCAGAAAAATGCGAAAAAGACAAATAAGTGAAAGTTTGGGCATTATCCGATTAAAAAATATATAAGAGTTACTAATTTGTGTTTGATTGATCGCACCTTCCAAAATGCATAACTTTCTTATTTTTATTCGTTTTTTGCTCAAACTTTCACTGACCTATTTTTTTCATTGTTCTGCTTCAATCTATTACCCAATTCGATATCAGGGTGAACTTCGCCTTCAATTGGCCACAGGAACCTAGGGCCAATGGACTCAACATAACATTAATTTTAACGTCCAACTGATCCAAAAGCAAAGCCTAACTCCGCATATCAATTGAACGTACTACACTGTGCAAAGGACTGGACAATATTTTTCCAACACTTTGCCTAACGTTGTACCAACCATCTGTTGGGCAATATTTTGCCCAATGGTGTTGGTAAACGTAAGTACCCTACTTCACACGTACATAATAGTTTGTCCAAAATGTGGGCAAAGATATGACCCTTCAACTGCCCGACTACGGTAGCCCACTTGTTGGGAAAATCTTGACCAGCTGTTGGGCAAAATACGAAACACAATTATGCACGCATTTACGTTTACCAATACCACCGGGCAAAAAAAATAAATAGATGTTTGGGTTGACTATTGGCACAACGTTGGGCAAAGTGTTTGAAAATATTGCCCAACCTTTTCACAGTGTAGGGCTACAATTAAGAATCGACGCACTGTCTCATGGTCCCTACCAGAACACCAATTGACATATTCACGCAGAATGCTTCTATGGCGCCGTGCAGGATTAACATAACGCAACTCAATGTGATGATGCCCATGCTCCACATGAGCTGCAGAGAGCCGGTCAACCGTCCTGACATCCTACTGTAGTCCAGGAACACCCGGGGGCAGGGACAGCATTTGTTCTTAGATGGCTTGTTCAAGTTGTAGATGACGAACTTGGATGTGTCGTTGGTGATGATGGTCACCCCTCCGTCACTGCCGTAGAGTGAGACCTCATCGGCAGAAACGGGAATGTTCCGGTCGGTCAGCATCTGTACGAGTACGTCGAGAATAAAAGAGACACAATCCGATCCGAAAATTAAATTCGGGTTAAGAGGACTTTGCACTGACTTCTCTTTGCCATGCCTGTGCCACGTTTTTATTTATCATGGAATAAATATACCAAATGGTTATTTAACTGTTTCCAGTGCAAGAGTAATATATACTGATGTTAAAAGTTTGTCATGTAGCTAAGCAAAACCGGAAATAGGCAATTTTGCAAGGCTATTGTTTTAGCTTCCCTCTGATCTATTGGTACCATAGAGATATATACTTAATATCTCTATGATTGGTACTTATCGTTTTGTACCGAATTGCAAGTGTGGCAAACGTACAACCGTGCACACTGGCACTAATGGCAAACTAAAGGTTAAGGCCAGTGCAAAGTGATATAATTCTTGTTTTTCTAACCATTTTCACACGTTAAAATCCTTGTGGGAATATCGGAATACCTTGAAGATAATTACGAACAACTATCAACAATTTCATATTCCTATAGCTTCATTGGATTGGAATAACCGATATATATTGCTCAGTCTTTCTCTCCTTAAAAATTAAGATTCATGGAAAACGACACTTCCTTTGATCATGCGAAATACAGGTACTTGATAGCTATGAGTGTAAAATGATCAACTCCCTTCTCATTTTAGAGTATATCCTGAAAGATATTACATAAGTATGTGCACTATTACAGGCACCCATCATTTAAACACTTTGATTTCTTTATTTACTTCCTCAATATAATTCAACCTACTTCAGCCCGCCATTTCTGTCAAGAAAAAAAAGAAGAAAATATACATGGATGTCATAAGAAAAGTATATGTGATGTTCATAATTAATGTATGCAATATGATAAAGTGTAATTACCTTAACTATCCTCCTCAGATACTCCTGACGACGGTCTGCAGTGCTATGTTGTTACCAAATTAGATGTATTTCTCACTATACCATTGCTCTGCATAACCTGTTCTCATGCAGTGAAGCATATTTAAAAGCCTCAAAACGCAACAGGTGGTGGTGTGTTGATGTAGAATCATGACGTCATAATAGTCAGATGAATATTGATAGAGTAAATCAATATTTCTTCCCAACCCGAGGTTGAGATTTGTTAAGTAGGCTTTTGTAGGATCAACAGAGGATGTCTGAGTATGTATGTTCTGTATAATGTCTGTATGTAATGTGATGATGAACATACTTTTTACTATCAGATTTTCTTTTGGTCGAGTTGAATATTCACAAATTGAAGGGGTCATAGAAGAAAAAAAAGACAATAAAAATAAATCACCTTGCTCGGAAAAAAATGGTTTATGATTTGACAATCTTATTCCATCGATGTTGATATTATTGCTATTATAAAGTCGAGCAAAACATTCAAACACGTTCAGTGTACATTCAATGTACATAGTTTTATTATACTTTACCGTGTTGCAACCAATCGTAAAATCAAAATCGTATACATAATCATTTTCATGATTACATCATAGTTACATCAATCAATTTCACTTTCTTCTGATATATATCTTAGAAACAAGGGAAGACAGAACAATTGGATCAGAAATAAGAAACGATTCTTTCATTAAATATTAAGCGACGAAGTGAGAAGAAAGTTGTTTGTTCTGGAACAAAAGGAACAAACATAACCTTTGGTATAAGCTTATCTAAAATAAATACATACCATTAAATAAATATTGAATATCCTTGTAAAGAATGATTATACGAGTTATAGTAATATAACTTTTCACATTACATGAAGTTGAGACATCCAGTGCATGTGTCATGCTCAGTGGCACAGGGTAATCGACGCTGGACATGGTACGTCATGTAAGGCCAGTATCTTACTTGCCTCAATATCAGGAATAATGAGAGAAATTCATCACGAAGATGCTACTGATGCTACTAATTGATTTTCGACGAAAGACGACATGGAAGAGAATGAATTACATTGATGTCTTTCTTGTTCTTGGAGTGCGTGTAAATAAAATTAGCCAGATTATACTTCTTCTTTTTTCTTTCAAAATTTATATTTCATAATTGTCCTTGTATTTTTTCCTTTTCCATTTGTGTTATTATTCCTTCTAAACGACAGCCTGGTTCCTCATGCACGCTGATAAATTTGCCGTAATAGATCCACAAAATGATATCGAATAAAAAGAAACATTATTGTTGTTTGTTTGTTTCATTTATCTTATTTTGCGTCCTGAATTATAATTATATTCGGTTTTTGAAAAACACATAATGCATTTCATCTATATTCGAGACAAAAGTGAAAGTTCCTACTTAATCTTTTTACTTTATAACCAACAATGAGGATATATTTCGAGAAAGGCCACACATTGTTCAAAAGTAATATTTACCGTCACAGTAATAATGATAGTAACAATAAAAGTAATGGTAATATAAATGGTAATATGAATAGTAATCGTATCGGTAAGAGTAATGGTAATATAAATGGTAATATGAATAGGAATCGTATCGGTAAGGGTAATGGTAATATAAATGGTAATATGAATAGTAATAATATCGGTAAGAGTAATGATAATAGAAATGGTAATATGAATAGTAATAGTATCGGTAAGAGTAATGGTAATATAAATGGTAATATGAATAGTAATAGTATCGGTAAAAGTAATGATAATAGAAATGGTAATATGAATAGTAATCGTATCGGTAAGAGAAATGATAATAGAAATGGTAATATGAATAGTAATAGTATCGGTAAAAGTACTGGTACTGGTAAAGGTAGCCTATTATTAAGAATAATACATGTACAAATGAAAAAAGAGACTAAAACATTGCTATTTAGTATTCTAAAGGTTTAAACCTAACACTCTTCCCTGCATGTTCTTACTGCTCGCCTTAATGCGACTTTTAACATTGGATCATTATCATGCTTGTATGTCTCCAGCACACTCTCCCACTTGGGGTAGTCATACTTGTATTCGAGACCAAGCTAGACAGGTGCTAATAGCTAAAATTCCAGTGGCCAAAATACAAACGGTCATTTCCAACATAGCATAATCTGATAATGTCCAGAGAGAAAAGAAAGAAACGATGCTAAGTAAAAGTCCAAAGGATTGTCTATATCTTGCACACTGCTGGATAGTACAGTATTTTATTTCGGCATTACATTTCGCGGATAAACCAGCCAACTTCATTAGGTGATAGGACAGCAGCAAAGCAGTTTGTTGAAGCAGCGATGCCCCAAGGCTCAAACTCTGGAGCCGCGGAGTCATTCGGCAGGTAAGTATCCACAATGCGATCACCATTCTCCCCATACACCTCGAGGAAAGCCCTTTTGGTACCCTGGATGTCCTGATGAGATATCATCCACATGTAGCCTTCTTGGTCGCAGGATACTTTATCAGTCTCTCGGATAGGTATCTTCCGATACATACCGCCTTCATCGGAGCAGGCAATTAGGAATCCATCGTTCTGCACTATGACGATCTTTCCTCTCGTTGTCGATCTCATCCTCAACACCACGTTGAATTCGACGCAGTTGATGGGGATGACATCCATAGGTTCCCCTCCATCTGAAGAAAACCTCACGACCCTTGCGACCCCTGAGTACAGCAGCAATACATTGTCGTGGATATCTGTAGCGATAGATCTGCGAATTCGTCGTCTTCCCTCGTCACAAACTCGACCTGTTGGCTTTCACCTCCTTTCCCGTAGATCTTCACCGTGTTTCTTTTCGTCAAAGTGACGAACCGGCCATTGGACATTGCAGCCATGTCTCTGGCCGAGATTGAAGGGCCACGGATTCTGCCGCAACTACCGTCTGGACTCATGACCTCCATGTGGCCATCTCGATAACGAACCAAGATGCTGCCATTCGTGTAAGGTGTCATCAGCTTTATTCTGCCGCATACCTGGACACGTAGCGTGAGAAGAAGTCTTTGCGTTGGGCGTTGCAGAAGTGCCATTTCTTTATCTATAGAAGAAAGCGAGAGAAAGAGAGAGAGAGAGAGATATGTGAGTATTGAACGTCACGGTTGAATGCAGAAAGTCCATTTGTTGAATATAAAAGTATATAAATACATTTCCTCTCCGGAGTGTGATATTCGTAAAAAAGATGGATGTTTGTCCCGTTTTATATAACAAAAGGCCAATTAATATTTATTCTATCGACTTATGTATGCAATAGAGAACTGGTCTTTATCTGGTCAAAAAGTTTATTCCCTGAAACCCCTGAATCCACCCCCCCCCCAAAAAAAAAGAAGAAAAGAGCGATAAATTTGACGAGCGAACCTACGCGTAGGTACGCTGCATATAAACTGAAAATATTTATATTTCTCCTATACTCTTTCTCAATGTTCGTACGAATTAAATATTTCAAGTAGAACATATGCTAGTAAATCGTGTTATTTTTCGATTCGCCTTAATATTGTAGCAGTTGTGAAATAAGCTAAGGGTAGAAATAATCTTTAATACTAAACAATAAGGAATACGATAGCATTAAAAAGGGTGTAGATTTCTTTGTTTGAGGGGACGGATCGGTGAGGGGAGGGAGCTATTCTATCTCCTCTTGACTCTACCCACATATATATGGATTGATATGCTTTATAGTTCGCACATGCCTACACATTTCCCTAGTTCCTTTCAGAATTTGGTTGATAAAAATCATATATAATAGTTTATTGACCTTGGTCTTTTCTTTCTGGAACCTGCTCCCCAAGGACGCCTAGCTGGGGCACATCAAGAATATGTGCATTGCTTTCGAAGAACTTCAGAGACCCAACCATGGAACATTGACGCCTTGCATCCATATCAGAAGGAATTTGTTGGTCAATCCCACGAAGGAGGCGCTTTGCCCAATCCCTGTATTTAAGAACCACTTCCTTCGGGTCACTACTGTCCAAGAGTTCTTCAGCACATTCGATTTCATCAGAGACATTTGAAATTGCTTCCTCCACAGGCAGTAAGATGTTGTCTACGGCCTCGATGAGATCACTTCGATTGGATTCGACCCTTGTCATGAGATTCTCCTTCTTACGATTGATCATATCAGTAAGAAGTTTTAAGCAAGTACTGGAAGATATTTGAATTGCTTCCGAGATGTCGTCTAGTCGCTTATTCCCTTCCACTTTTTTCTTCGTATAGTCCATAAAGAATTCTTGATGAGACGCCATCCACATCGTTGCTTTACTCATCAATTTGACCATTCCATCCACCTTGGCTTTCGAAGCATCTTCCACATTTTTAATCAAAAACGTATGCTTGCCGTGGGTACAAAGAGCGCATTCACTGCAAATTAGTACAGCGCATTTCTCACAGAAGAATTTCTTTTCTGCACCGTGCTCCTTACAAAGTTCTTTTGTCGATTCAGAATCCTCATGGCGTTTTAGTTCTTCGATAATCTTGTTGGCCAGCAGATTTGGTCTCAGGGTTTTGGCTCTACATTTTGTTTCTTCACGGCATACCGGGCATCGGACATGATTTTCTATAAAGTCATCATCTGAGTCTGAGTCTGAGCCTACAGCTGTGTCTATGACGCCGTTAATGCAGCTCTCACAAAAGGTATGCAAGCATTTGAGGCATTTCGCATTTTCGAATCTACGGTAGCAGATCGCACATTCCAGGTGAGCCGATATGGCTCCTACAATACTCTCAGCCATGGTTATGTTTTGGCAAACGAAATTCCGGTTTCTAAAGTGTCACATGTATAGCTCTTATTGAATCTTGATAATCGTGAAACCAGTCATGTCTTGTTGGTAACTCCAAACACGACAAATAGTTGTCATACGTGTACAGTACTTCCAAAATTGTCACAGCTACTAGCCACACCTACTTTATACTATTGGCAATAATAGAGACGCGGGAATTCCCCACCGACATCACTGAACGTATATATACGTATTGTCAGAGTTCAGTGAACGATATCACATATTGGATGCGGCAACGCCCTCTACGTTTTATGCGAGTTATAGCAATGAGGGAATTCCAAGATTCATTTTCTTCTATTCTGTCTCGACACCTCATACATAACATAGAATTGACATGTCTTTTCAATAAAATTTTCCCTTCCTATTTACACCAGACCAAAGTACGTCGTTCGTACTGTCGAATCAGCCGAAACTGTAGTCCAGATCATTACCCAAACTAATATTAGGCACACTCCCGTTTGGAAAGATATTGCGAAACCCAATCGAATGATGTTAGAAGATGAACATGTGTTTCAACTTCCAAGTATAGACAAGAGCTAACCCTTGCATAGTAATTCACAGAGATTTTGATATAGAATGAAGATACAATACGATAGGGTAAGGAGTATTCTGAAATACATGAATAACCTAAATATTACATTCCACTGCCGAGAAGCTAGGATTGTTTGAGTATGGGGGAGGAGGAAGGGGAAGGGCGTGGATGGCGCTAAATACCTCTATATTTAAAACAAATCGATTGAGATTTATGTGTAGCTGTAAACTTGAGAACGACAACAACAATAACAAATTAATGTTTTAAAAAAACAATTGCTCCCATTCCAAAGAAAAAAAGACTAAGCGTCCTCCAAAATGTACCTTGGGATACATGAATGTGAAAAGTCTTTAAAAGGCTGAGGATAAGATCAGCTACGTAGATGTGAATGTTTAATCATGGTTGTCATCATGGTAGGGTTTGTGGTCAAATGCATAAAACAACGCCCCTATTACTTTAATTATAAAACGATCTATATCATGTATGTGGTGAAATGATTAAATCTATGATGAGACGTTTGCTATTATTAAAGGATGCATGCCTCCTAAATTTTGAGGCAGTTTATCCCCTCAATGATAATGTACACATAGTTGGGACACCACATGTCCCTTTCACGGATGTGAAGTACCTAATAACTATCTAATGAAAATTCGATACTTAAAAACCCAAGCAAAACGAACTAACAAACATAAATTCAATTCATTCAATTCATTTTAAATTAAAGGAACGGTTTGGTAGACAATATGTTTTGCAGTGATGAACTTAATTGAGCATGTATATGAAAAATAAAAAATAATATTTAAATTCAGATTACATTGTAAAAAGTTGTGATCTGTTCAGTAGACTTTTGTAGGATCAACAGAGGGCAGCTTAGTATGTGAGTATGTTATGTATAAGGTTTGTATTAACGTGAATATGAGAATAATTTTTACTATCAGCTTTTCTTTTGGTCGTGTTGAACATTCACAAATGGAAGGGGTCATCAAAAAATAAAGAAGACAATTATAAGGAAAATACCTTGCTCGGAAAAAACTGGTCTATGATTTGGCAAGCTCATTCCATCGACGCTTATATTATTGGTAATTAAATATAAAGAAGTCGAGCAAAACATTCAAACAAGTTCAGTGTACATTCAATGTACATTATTTTATTATATTTTACCGTGTTGCAACCAATCATAAAGTCATAATCATATACAAAAATAATGTTCATAATTACATCAAAGTTACAACATTCAATTTCACTTTCTTCTTATATAAACTTAGATAAGGAAAGACAGAACGATTGGATCAGGAGTAAAAAAAAAACGAGTCTTTCATTATAATTATTAAGCATCGAAGTGAGAAAAAAAATCGTTTGTTTTGGAATAAAAGAAATATACATAACCTTTGGCATAAGCTTATCTGAAAGAAATTCATACCATCAATATTGAATATCCTTGTAAAGAATGATTATACAAATTGACTTTTCACATTCCATGTACTTGAGACATTAGGTGCATGGGTCATGCTCGGTGGCACAGGGTAATCGATGCTGGACATGGTACCTAATGTAAGGCCAGTATCCCCGAATAGCAGGAATAATGAGAGAAATTCATCACGGAGATGCTGCTGATTAGACTGATTTTAACTCATTAAAGAAAATATGGAAGAGGATGCGTTACATCGAGGTCTTTCTTGGAGTGTTTGTAAACACAATTAGCTAGATTATGCTTCTTCTTTTTTCTTTCAAAATATAAATTTTATAATCGTCCTTGTCTTTCTCCATTAAAACAAAAGCCTGGATTCCTTATGTATGCTGATAAATTGGCCGTTATTGATCCACAAAATATATCGTATAAAAAGAAACATATTTTCGCTTGTTCGTTTTATTTAGGTTATTTTGCATCCTGAATAATAGTGATATTTGTTTTTTGGAAAACAATTTTGCCTATATACGATTCGAAAATGAAAGTTCCTACCCTAGCTTTTGTCTTCATAACGAACGTTTCAGATGTATATCAAGAAGGGCCACTAATTGTTCAAAAGTAATATTTACCGTTACAGCAATAATGATTGCTAACAGTAAAAGTAATAATAGTAGTAATAGGTATAGTAATAGTAACAGTAAAAGTAGCCTACTATATATTAGGTGTAATAGTATAAAAGAAGAAAGAGATTAAAACAATGCTATTTAGTATTCTAAAGGTGTAAACGTTATACTCTTCCCTGCATATCAGTACTGCTTGCCTTAGTGTGACTTTTTACATTAGATCATGATTATGCTTGTATGTTTCCAGCACATTCTTTCACTAGGGACAGTCATACTTTTAATTGAGACCAAGTTAGACAGGTGCGAATAGTTGAAATTCCAGTGGCCAAAATACAAATGGTTATTTCCTCCATAGCATAATCTGATAATTTCCAGGGAGAAAAAGAATACAAATAAGCTAAGTGAAAATCCACAGGATTATCTATAGTTACACTGCTGGATATTACAGTATTTTGTCATGGTATTACATTTCGCGGATGAACCAGCCAACTTCGTTAGGTGATAGGACAGCAGCAAAGCAGTTTGTTGATGCAGCAATACCCCAAGGCTCAAACTCTGGAGCCGCGGAGTCATTCGGCAGGTAAGTATCCACAATGCGATCACCATTCTCCCCATACACCTCGAGGAAAGCCCTTTTGGTACCCTGGATGTCCTGATGAGATATCATCCACATGTTGCCTTCTTGATCGCAGGATACTTTATCAGTCTCTCGGATAGGTATCTTCCGATACATACCGCCTTCATCGGAGCAGGCTATCAGGAATCCATCGTTCTGCACTATGACGATCTTTCCTCTCGTTGTCGATCTCATCCTCAACACCACGTTGAATTCGACGCAGTTGATGGGGATGACATCCATAGGTTCCCCTCCATCTGAAGAAAACCTCACGACCCTTGCGACTCCTGAGTACAGCAGCAAGACATTGTCGTGGATATCCGTAGCGATAGCATCTGCGGATTCGTCGTCGTCTTCCCTCGTCGCAAACTCGACCTGTTGGCTTTCACCTCCTTTCCCGTAGATCTTCACCGTGTTCCTTTTGGTCAAAGTGACGAACCGGCCATCGGACAGTGCAGCCATGTCTCTGGCCGAGATGTTGGTTGAACGGCCACGGATTCTGAAGCAACTACCGTCTGGACTCAGGACCTCCATGTGACCATCTCGATAACGAACCAAGATGCTGCCATTCGTGTAGGGTGTCATCAGCTTTATTCTGCCGCATACCTGGACACGTAGCGTGAGAAGAAGTCTTTGCGTTGGGCGTTGCAGAAGGGGCATTTCTGTATCTACAGAAGAGAGAGAGAGAGAAAGAGAGAGAGAGAGAGAGATGTATCAGTATTGAACGTCACGGTTGAATGCAGGAAATCGATTTATTGAATATAAAAGTATATATATATATTTCCTTTCCGGAGTATGGTATTCGTGAAAAAGATGTATGTTTTAACAAAAGGCCAATTAATATTTATTCATATCGACTTATGTAAGCGATTGAGATCTGGTCAAAATCTGGTCAAAAAATGTATTCCATGAAACCCCTGAATCCCCCCCCCCCCAAAAAAAAGAGAAGAGATGAGCGATAAATTTGACGAGCGAACCTACGCGTAGGTACGCTGCATATAAACTGAAAATAGTTATATTTCTCCTACACTCTTTCTCAATGTTCGTACGAATTATATATTTCAAGTAGAGCATTATGCTAGTGAATCGTGAAATGTGTTATTTTTCGATTCGCCTAAATATTGTAGCAGGTGTGAAATAAGCTAAGGGTAAAAATAATTTTTAACAAAAAAGGAATGCGATATGCATTAAAAAGGGTGTAGATAGCAACAAAAATCTTTTGGTGTCTGAGGGGACGGATCGGGGAAGGGGAGGGGAGGAGGGGGGGGGGGGCTATTCTATCTCCGCTTGACTCTACCCACAAATATATGGATTGATTTGCTTTATAGTTCGCACATGCCTACACATTTCCCTAGTCACTTTCAGGATTTGATTGATGAAAATGATATACTGACCTTGGTCTTTTCTTTCTGGAACCTGTCCCCAAAGGACGCCTAACTGGGGCACATCAAGAACAGGTGCCTTGCTTTCAAAGAACTTCAGAGACCCAACCCTGGTACACTGACGCCTTGCATCCATATCAGAAGGAATCTGTTGGTCAATCCCACGAAGGAGGCGCTTTGCCCAATCCCTGTATTGAAGAACCACTTCCTTCGGGTCACTACTGTCTAAGAGTTCTTCAGCACATTCGATTTCATCAGAGACCTCTGAAATTGCTTCCACCACAGGCCCCAAGATGTTATCTACGGCCTCGTTGAGATCACTTCGATTGGATTCGACCTTTGTCATGAGATTTTCCTTCTTACGATTGATCATATCAGTAAGAAGTTTTAAGCACTTACTGGAAGATGTTTGAATTGCTTCTGAGATGTCGTCTAGTCGCTTATTCCCTTCCACTTTTTTCTTCGTATAGTCCATAAAGAATTCTTGATGAGACGCCATCCACATCGTTGCTTTACTCATCAATTTGACCATTCCATCTACCTTTGCTTTCGAAGCATCTTCCACATTTTTAATCAAAAACGTATGCTTGCCGTGGGTGCAAAGAGCGCATTCACTGCAAATTAGTACACCACATTTCTCACAGAAGAATTTCTTTTCTGCACCGTGCTCCTTACAAAGTTCTTTTGTTGATTCAGAATCCTCATGGCGTTTAAGTTCTTCGATAAGCTTGTTGGCCAGCAGATTTGGTCTCAGGGTTTCGGCTTTACCTTGATCATAGTTTGTTTCTTCACGGCATACCGGGCATCGGACATGATTTTCTATAAAGTCATCATCTGAGTCTGAGTCTGAGCCTACAGCTGTGTCTATGACGCTGTTAATGCAGCTCTCACAAAAGGTATGCAAGCAATTGAGGCATTTCGCATTTTCGAATCTACGGTAGCAGATCGCACAATCCAGATGACCCGATATGGCTCCTACAATACTCTCGGCCATGGTTATATTTTGGCAAACGAAATTCTGGTCTGTAAAGTGTCACATGTATAGCTCTTGAATCTTAATATTCGTATTCAAACCAGTCATGTCTTGTTGGTAACTCCAAACACGACAAATAGTTGTTATGAGTGTACGGTACCTCCAAAATATCACAGCTACCAATCAGGCCTACTGTATACCTTGCTATTGGCAATACTAGAGACATGGGAATTCCCCCATCGACATCCATGATTGGATGCAGCAATGCGAGCTATAGCAATGAAGACATTTCCAGACTCATTGTCTTCTAAGACACCTCATGCACAACATAGAATAGACATGTCTCTTCCTACTTACACCGGGCTGAAGTCGTTCGTACTGTCAAATCAGCCGAAAATGTAGTTCAGATTCTTACCAAAAACAACATTAGGCACACTTCCGTTTTGAAGGATATTGCGAAACCCAATTGAATGAGGTTACAAGGTGACCATGTATTGCAAGTTCCAACTATATACAGACACTAGCTAACCCTTGCATAATATATTACAGAGACTTTGATTTAGAATGAGGATAAAATAGGATAGGACAAGGAGTATCCTGAAATACATGAATAACCTAAATATCGCATTCCGCTGCCGAGAAGCTAGGATTGTTTGTGTATGGGGGAGGGAGAGGAGGGAGCAGTTGGCGCTACTATATATTTAAAACAAATTGATTGGGATTGATGTGTAGCTGTAAACTAGAGAACAACAACAACAACAACAAATTAATGATTAAAAAAAAACATTGCTCCCGTTCCAAAGCAAAAAGACTAAGCGTCCTCCAAAATGCACCTTGGCAAACATGAAACAATGATGAATGTGATTAGTCTTCAAAGTGCTGAGGATAAGATAAGCTACGTAGATGTGAATGTTTAATCCTGTTTGTCATCATGGTAAGGTTTGTGGTCAAATGCATAAAACCACGCCCCTATTAATTTTATTAATAAACGATCTTTATCATGTATGTAATGAAATGATTAAATCTATGATAAGACGTTTACCATTAAGGATGCATGCCTTCTAAATTTGGGGTCAATGTATCCCCTCAATGATATAGGTGGGGCACATGTCATGTCCCTATCACAGTTGTGAAGTACTAATACGATCTATTGAAAATTCGATACTTTATCAGGGACCTGTATACCTGTGATAAACCCGAGCAAAACGAATTAACAAACATAAATTCAATTAAAGGAACGGTTTAATAGACGATATATTTTGAAACAATGAGCTAAATTGCACATGTATATACAAGCTTTAAAATATGATTAAAATTCAGATTACCGACACCGAGGTAGACATATAATATTTTGTTCAGTAGACCTATGAAGGATCGACAGAAGGCGTCTTAGTAGGCGTTATGTATAATGTCTGTATGTAATGTGATGGTGCGAATACATTTTGCCATCAACTTTTCTTTTCGTCGAGTTGAATATTCACAAATTAAAGGGGTCGTGGAAGAAAAAAAAAGACAATTAAAAGAAAAAAACCTTGCTCATAAAACTGGTCTATGATTTGACAAGCTTATTCCATCGATGTTGATATTATTGCTTGTTAAATATAAAGAAGTCGAGCAAAACATTCAAACAGGTTCAGTGTACATTCAACGTACATAGTTTTATTATATTTTACCGTGTTGCAACCAATCATAAAATCATAATAATGTTCATAATTACATCAAAGTTACAACAATCAATTTCACTTTCTTCTGATATAAGTCTTAGATACAAGGGAAAACAAAACAATAGGATTATGGGTAAGAAAACGATTGTTATGGTAAATTATTAAGCATCGAAGTGAGAATTCTCTCTTTTTTTTAAATGAGCAAAAGAAATAACCATAACCTTTGCTATAAGCTTATCTGAAAGAAAACATACCATTAATATTGAACATCCTTGTTAAGAATGATTATACAACTTATAGTAATATGACTTTTCACATTACATGAAGTTGAGACATTCAGTGCATGGGTCAGGCTCGGTGGCACAGGGTAATCGATGCTGGACATGGTACTTCATGTAAAGCCAGTATCCACTTGCCCGAATATCAGGAATAATGAGAACATTCATGACAAAGATGCTACTGAAGATTCTACTCATTAAAGATGACATGGAAGAGAATGAATTACATCAATGTCTTTCTTGGGGTGCTTGTTAACAAAATCAGCCTGATTACGCTTCACATTTTTTCTTTTAAAATATAAATTGCATAATTGTCCTTGTATTTTCTCATTTTCCATATTTGTTATATTCCTTTTCAACAACAGCCTGGTTCATCATGCACGCTGATAAAGTTGCCGTAATTGATCCACTAATATCGTATAAAAAGAAACATATTGTTGTTTGTTCTTTTTATTTAGGTTATTTTGCGTCCTGAATGATAGTGATATTCGGTTTTTGGAAGACAGATAATGCATTCTGCCTATATACGATCCCAAAATGAAAATTCCTACCCTAACTTTTGACTTCATAACCAACATTCCGGATTCATATCGAGAAAGGCCACAAATTATTAAAAAGTAATATTTACCGTTACAGCAATAATGGTAGTCATCGTAAAGGTATAGTAATACAAATAGTAATAGTAATTGTAATAGTAATAGTAATGGTAATGGTATAATTATGAGTATTAGTATAAAATAAGCCGAGATTGAAACATTGCTCTTTAGTATTCTAAAGGTTTAAACCTTTTACTCTTCCCTGCATGTTCTTACTGCTCGCCTTAATGCGACTTTTCATATAAGATCATAATTATGCTTGTATGTCTCCAGCACATTCTTTCTCTAGGGGAATTCATACTTCTAATTGAGACCAAGTTAGACAGGTGCTAATATCTGAAATTCCAGTGGCCAAAATACAAATGGTCTTTTCCACCATTTAATCATCTCATAATGTCCAGGGAGAATAAGAATAAAAATAAGCTGAGTAATCTAAGTTACACTGCTGGATATAACAGTATTTTATTATGGTATTACATTTGGCGGATGAACCAGCCAACTTCGTTAGGTGATAGGACAGCAGCAAAGCAGTTTGTTGATGCAGCAATGCCCCAAGGCTCAAACCCTGGAGCCGCGGAGTCATTCGGCAGGTAAGTATCCACAATGCGATCACCATTCTCCCCATACACCTCGAGGAAAGCCCTATTGGTTCCCTGGATGTCCTGATGAGATATCATCCACATGTTGCCTTCTTGGTCGCAGGATACTTTATCAGTCTCTGGGATAGGTATCCTACGATACAAACCGCCTTCATCGGAGCAGGCAATCAGGTATCCATCGTTCTGCACTATGACGATCTTTCCTCTCGTTGTCGATCTCATCCTCAAAACCAAGTTGAGTTCGACGCAGTTGATCGGGATGACATCAATAGGTTCCCCTCCATCTGAAGAAAACCTCACGACCCTTGCGACTCCTGAGTAGAGCAGCAAGACATTGTCGTGGACATCCGTAGCGATAGCATCTGCGAATCCGTCGTCCTCCCTCGGCACAAACTCGACCTGTTGGCTTTCACCTCCTTTTCCGTAGAGTTTCACCGTGTTTCTTTTCGTCAAAGTGACGAACCGGCCATCGGACAGTGCAGCCATGTCTCTGGCCGAGATGTTGGTTGAACGGCCACGGATTCTGCCGCAACTACCGTCTGGACTGAGGACCTCCATGTGGCCATCTCGATAACGAACCAAGATGCTGCCATTCGTGTAGGGTGTCATCATCTTTATTCTGCCGGATATCTGGACACGTACCATGAGAAGAAGTCTTTGCGTTGGGCGTTGCAGAAGGGGCATTTCTTTATCTACAGAAGAGAGAGAGAGAGAGAGCGAGATGTATCAATATTAAACGTTGAATGCAGAAAGTCCGATTTGTTGAGTATAAAATATATCATTTCACAGAAAAATAAAGAGATGAGCGAATAATTATTCGAGCGAACTTATGCGTAGGTAAGCTGCATAAAAACTGAAAATAGTTATATTTTGCCTAATCTCTCTCTCTCAATGTTCTTATAAATCATATATTTTACGAAAAACATATTCCAGTTCATCGTGAAATGTGCTAAACTTAGATTCGCCCAAATATTGTAGCATTTGTGAAATAATGTAATGGTAAAAAAAAAATGTTTTAAAAAAAACGGATTGGTAAAGTTACATTCAAAATGTGTCTTCAAGTAAAAATAAGGAATACGATAGGCATTCAAAGGGTGTAGAAAGCAGCAATCATTTCGTGTGTTCGAAGGGAGGTATTGGGGAAGGGGTGTTGGGCTGTTGGCTATTATATCTCCTCCTGACTCCAACTTCAAATGCATCCATTTATATAATTTGTATCTCACACCTGCCTTCACATTTCCTTAGTCACTTTTAGATTTTAGTTGAGTGAAAACTATATACAATCTATTGACCTTGGTCTTTTCTCTCTGGAACCTGCCCCCAAAGGACACCTAGCTGGGGCACATCAAGAACAGGCGCCTTGCTTTCGAAGAACTTCAGAGATCCAACCCTGGTACACTGACGCCTTGCATCCATATCAGAAGGAATCTGTTGGTCAATCCCACAAAGGAGGCGCTTTGCCCAATCCCTGTATTTAAGAACCACTTCCTTGGGTCACTACTGTCTAAGAGTTCTTCAGCACATTCGATTTCATCAGAGACCTTTGAAATTGCTTCCTCCACAGGCACCAAGATATTGTCTACGGCCTCGTTGAGATCACTTCGATTGGATTCGACCCTTGTCATGAGATTCTCCTTCCTACGATTGATCATATCAGTAAGAAGTTTTAAGCACGTACTGGAAGATGTTTGAATTGCTTCTGAGATGTCGTCTAGTCGCTTATTCCCTTCCACTTTTTTCTTCGTATAGTCCATAAAGAATTCTTGATGAGACGCCATCCACATCGTTGCTTTACTCATCAGTTTGACTATTCCATCCACCTTTGCTTTCGAAGCATCTTCCACATTTTTAATCAAAAATGTGTGCTTGCCGTGTACAAAGAGCGCATTCACTGCAAATTAGTACACCACATTTCTCACAGAAGAATTTCTTTTCTGCACCGTGCTCTTTACAAAGTTCTTTTGTTGATTCAGAATCCTCATGTCGTTTAAGTTCTTCGATAATCTTGTTGGCCAGCAGATTTGGTCTCAGGGATTTGGCTTCACCTTGCGCATAGCTTGATTTTTTTCGGCATATCGGGCATACTACACAATAGTATTCCCCTAAGTCTAGGTCATATTGTTCTTCTGAGACGCGGTTAATGCAGCTCTCACAAAAGGTATGTAAGCATTCGAGGCATTTCGCATTTTCGAATCTATGGTAGCAGATCGCAC